ATACACCAAATATAGTTGACATATTGCTTAGGGAGCAACCATTTAACTTCAAGGGGGGGGGGAGTGGTTATGGATTTTTGTCTTGAGTCAGAAAAAAAAAATGAACATTTTTTTTTTGTTTTTCGACGCTATCAATCAAATTATTTTTTTCAAAATTTAACACATTAAGGTATGAGGAAAATCTTGATTCAGAATATTTTTTTTTTGTCATCTGCTTGACCACAATATTGTTATTCAGCAAATTGGGACTCAGAATATTTTTGAGGAAAAATACCCCCCCCCCCCCCCCCCCCCCACCCCTCCCCCTGAAATTAAATGGCCGTTCCCTTATAGTATCTAAGAAATGGACTTGATCACGGAAATTTACATTGACCAATGAACCACGAAAATGAGGTCAAGGTCAGATGAACCCTGCCAGATAGACCCACACATAACAATCATTGCATTCACCAATGATCAATGTCAAGTTTTCGTGGTTTTGTCAGTTTATCAGATACTATAAGCAATAGTAGTTGACCTATTGCTTATAGTATCTGATAAACTGACAAAACCACGGAAACCGGACATTGATCAACGAACCATGAAAATGAGGTCAAGGTCAAAATGAACACTGCCAGACAGACATGTACACCTTACAATCATTCCATACACCAAATATAATGTACCTATTGCTTATAGTGTCTGATAAACTGACAAAACATGACAACTTAAGATTGACCAATGAACCATATAACTTAGGTCAAGTTCATATGAAACCTGCCAGTGAGACAGGTACACCTTACAATCATTCCATACACCAAATAGGGTGGCCCTATTGTTTATAGTATTTGAGAAATAGACAGAACCGCAAAAACTACACATTGTCCAATCACAAAAGGAAATAAGGTCAATGTTAGATGAGGCCTGCCAGTCGGACATGTACACCTTTCAATCATTTCATACACCAAATTATAGTGGCCCAATTGTTTATAGTATCAGAGAAATAGACCAAACCACAAAAACTAAACATTCTCCGATCAATCATGAAAATGGGGTCAACGTCCGATGAAACCTGCCAGTCGGACATGTACACCTTACAATTATTCCGTACACCAAATAAGTTGACGTATTGCTTATAGTATCTGAGATACAGACTTGACCACGCAAACTTAAACTTGATTATTGATCCATGGCATGTCAATTAAACGGAAATTTACCGTTAGCAACAACCTTTCAATTTTAATGCAAGTGTATGCAAAATCTTGTACAAATCTGTGACTTGACCCATTTACTGCGTCTCTGTTGCAGTGGCGTAGCTTGGCCTCTGTTATTACCGAGGCAGGGGGTCTGGGGGCGCAGCTCCCCCCCCCCCAGAAGCTATAGATGTTTTGCAATTTGAACAAGAAGAATCTATTAAAAATGATAGTGGTTGTTTAAATCTATTTCATCATAATACTGTTAGTATGCCTTACACTAAGTTATACTACAGATTATTAGTTGATAACTGGTACATACACGAGTCATTTTCAATGTTCAGATGAATACATATTTTTTTCAAATCTAATCCTTTTAGTGAACTTCTAGGATTTTAAATTCATTGCGAATAAAAGGAGATGGATACGAGCAAGGATTTGTATAATAATATACAAATCCTTGATATTAGGTATACAACAATGACACAGCAAGCTAACAATACAAGAAAATCAAAAGTCATCTAGAGGTCGAAATACGGTCTCAAGCAATATATATATATATATGTACTTACAATATGTCAAGCTCCGAAGTCACTTTTTGACTTTTCTCTTCGTTTGTGAGCGACTGAATACGAAGCACGTCAAGTTACCACATAAGACAACTACTGACAAGTTTCCCAAAAGCCAATTCAAATACATCAGTAATCTGCCGTTATTTTTCCATGCCATCGTACACTCTAATATTGATGGCTGTACCTCACTGTGACACAAGCTTTAACGTCATACCAGAAGGGAGACAAGACATTGCTCGATGACCAGAAGAAACCGGTACATAATTTTCAATGCACAAAAACGAACGAAACGAGTAATGTTTATTTAAAATAATTTTAGTGATGATCATTTATTCGTTTATTCATGGACCAGATGCTACATGTAAAGTGCACCACGGCACTTTTATTGGAGTGTTTCGCCCTGATATTTCTTGGAAGGTCTTCAAATTCTTTCATGGTTTTAAAATTTTTCCCATGGTGAAAATTACAACCGGCGAAGTACTAACGGAAAGACGTTATTCTGAAGTCTGCATGCAGAATAAATAAAAACAATATTTGGTTAACATTTTTAATATATAAACTGACATCTGTATGAAATAATAGACATATAGTGCAAAACTATGAATTTAAAGAAGCGAGAATATCACATGAGAACAACATACACGTTATTTTCTGTGCATGTTGAATGATGTATATTTTATTTTGATTGGTATCAAAGTCAATAAAAGTCTGAGTAATTGGAGTACTACACGTAGGGGGAAATGTCAACACACAAATATGTTTCAATTTTAGACGTTACCGGGTTACATGTATGAGTGAATAGGGTCTTCAAATATTTATTTTTTAATTCTTTTCGCCCATAAAGTACCAAACGGGATCATTGAAAAGGTGCTGGGTGTGTTGTTTCATTTGGGCTGTATACATACGCAGCCTCGTCTCATTACAAAATTTACGTGAACTTCCTAGAATTTCCTAGAATTATACAAACGTTCTTCTGTCTTTAATTTCAATAATGTTCAATATGTTTAAGAAAATCAGCTTCTATACGTCATTCGGTCCTGTTATAGAGTTGTCTCATTTGGCAATCATATACCCCATCTTCTTATTTTTTCTATATGGTAATTAATAAGACTCGCGGCTTTACATCATACTGATAACGATATCTGTAATCCGAAATATTTATTGATATTTGTATTTATTGACTTTTTCCTTTCAACTTTGATACGAAAAAGATGCTTTTTTCAATAACAATCAGGCGAAAAAATGTTTTCTTAATCAATGTTGATATTTTTAACTAATTTTCATGAGTCTTTTGTAGACGAAACGTGTTTCCGGTGTACAATATTAGACACCTGGTATCATTGGTGAGTTTTTACAACCCCTGGATCGATACCACTCTGGTGGAGGTTTCCTCCTCGAGGGTATCACCATCCCAGTAGTCATCACTTTTGTGTTGACATGAATCTGGTCATATTTATAAATTTACTGTTTTTTTAATTTTTTGAAATATTATAATATATGAGAATGTTCTACCCCAGGAGATATATGTAATACCAGAAGTCCATTACTCTAGTAATACCTAAGCTCTATTTGGCAAAACCTTTCGGAATTTTGGGTCCTCAATGCCCTTCAACTTCGTACTTTATTTGGCCTTTTAAATTTTTTGATTCGATCGTCATTGATGCCGGAGTCTTTTGTGAAACTCGTGTCTGGCGTATACAAAATTATATTCCTGGCATCAGACCGGTGGTTATATTTTTTTACAACCATTGGTTCGATGCTACTGCTGGTAGAGGGTTCTTCTTCGAGAGTATCGCCAGCCCAGTAGTCAGCACTTCTGTGAATTATTATTTATATGGTCATATTAATAATTTTCTGTTTACACAATGACTTTGATTTGTTCGAAGTACTAAAGATTTTCTAGCCAAGGAATAGATTACCGTAGCTCTATTTGATCAGGAACATATATATTGACCGTTAGATATACTGTTCCCAGATTTGATACAACCTTTTGGCTGGATTTTGTGTACCGATCCTTAATGCTCTAAAACTTCGTACTTTATTTGGCCTTAAATTTGTTATTTTTTATTTGATCGTCACTGACGAGTCTTTTATAGACGAAACGGGCGTCTGGCGTACAAAATAATTATTTTTAATCATTGAGGAGTTTTTTTTTCAAGTGAAACAAACTATTTACTTCGGCCAGGGACAGTTTATACTAAAAAAAGTCCCTGCTTCGGCCTTCTAAAACAAAATTATGTTTTCAAAACATTCAAAAGCAAACCTTTTATTGATATACAAAACATGTGTCCCATCACACAACACACATAAGATGAATGGTCGGTTCCCGCTATACATGTCCTATACTTTAGCATGAAAAGTGCGTTGAAGGTGGTCGATCATTGAAAAAATAAAAGTAAAAGTTAAAAGGAACAGTTTCTGCAATCCGAGGCGGATTTAGGATGGGTCAGAGGGCCCAAAACCCTTAAGGAGCTACATAATTATATATTGTTAATGCATATAATTTTTTTCAAAAGCCTAACTCCTAACGTTGCCTTGGTGCATCTTTTTTGGGTGCAAAATCCTGAATCACAGCGAATTTATTTGATCATGGTTATATTTATTCAGTAGGTCATTGAAATAGCGCATAATTGAGAACATGGACAAAACTGAATAAAATACCAAAGACATATAACATATGGATTATTATATGTCTCTGAAAATACTAAGAAAAAGTTCAATTACACGCTCATACCGGCTTGAAGTGACCCGAGGATATCATAAGAATCAAACAGATTGACGATCATTGACTAGGAAATAAACTTCATTTGCCCAGTCTGACTAGTTTTGACCGGAATTGCCTATCAGACAAGGATCACTATAATTTTTACTTCATCACCTCTGCACATAAGTAACATATTTTTAGAGGGCCATTTACAAAATTGACATTCTTGCTGACAACATAAATATCGCAACCTCCTTCCTTAAAAAAAAAATAGAAACTGTGAACAGCAGCAGTCTTCTTGAAACCGTAGTAAAATAGGCGAAAAAATCAGTTCCTTTATATTTAGGCAAGAAAATTTCAAACAAAGTGAATTTTTACGTAGTTTTGAAAACGATTTGTTGACTTATGACTAAATTTGTACATTTTTTGCATTCATATCAAAGTCAAGGTCAAATTGACAATCGTAAAATTATTAATATATATCGTACTACGTCCGTGTGCAAATGGTGAGTAAATGAATTAATCATGAATGGGCTTGTTCCCGCGCATGGATACAACCGTTAGTAAGGAACTACTTTCATTGGCGGCATCGGCCATTTTAGAACAGTTTACGATAGTAATTTACAATCTTTCTGAATCTTTGGTAAATTGTGGTCATCGAAATGGCTGATAGAGAGGATTTAGTTTACATGGCCAAGTTGGCTGAACAGGCCGAGAGATATGATGGTATTTATTCGTTTACGATACATGTCAACGATTCAATCAAAATATGTCGGCTATCTTGCATTACTTCCTCTCGCATAATTTAAGACGAGGAAGCAGTTAAAACTTCTAATGTATGCCTCTTATTTACCTATTTGTCTGATTTTCTGATTGCATGTTATGTAAAATACTTTACTGGTTTATGTTTGAAACTGTTTTTGTCTGTAGCGGATAATATTTGCAGTTGTGTCCATGGATATTGACATGACACTGACGGTCGCCATTTTGGGTGATTCTAGTTGATTCTAAATGCAGGTTTTAAATATTAAATGCCAGTTTACTGATCTAAATAAATGAAAAATATGCTATATGTCCTTGTATCGTTTGGTTTCTTAGTTCGAATCTATCAACCGTGTTTTGTTTTGCAGCAGAGTACATTGATAATCATTGAAAATGTATTGTACATAATTTGAAAAGTGTACATGCCTACTTGAAACTCCCAAACGTATTAATGTTTTATTTTTTAAGGTTGATCGTCCTGAATGCTTATAATTCAATGAATTTCCATACATATGTGCAATATGATTATGTTTAATCCTCCTGTAGTCACGATAAAACTTTTGTATGTGTAATAATGTATAATATAAAACTGGAAGGAGTGGTCTTAGTAAAAACCTAGTCTGCAAATGTATGCTATTTTATAGGGCTTATTTACAATTGCATCTGTGTGATGTCCGGTTATTGGGTAACTTCGAACGTGCAGCCAGTCTTGACTAAAATTGGCAGTCCATGGCCATCAGTCAAATGGTCTGATAGTTTTGATTACACCTTAATTCTTTTATCTACATGTCACAACTTTTTTGGTTAAAATTCAAGGTAAAAAATATGTGTCTATAATTAATAGCAGCCAACCCTAAACTTTTCCTTGGAAAAAATAATTTTGAAAATTTGCTTTGATAAAAAAAAGATCTTCCTATTAAGTGTCTCAAAATCGCCTGTACCTAATTGGCGCTCTTGTAACAACGTTTTTTCAACCGTTAATGATAACCATATGGCCAGCTAATGTTAAAAATTATGGCAACTAGAATGCTTGCTGTGTGGTTGATGGAATGCAACCATAAACACAATAGAAAAACAGAGAAAAACGTTTATGAAGGACAGTTTCACACTTGAAAACTTTTAAACAACTGTTCTAAGAAAACAATGCAAGAAGGCAAAAAAAAAATTCTGACCAACTGACCCTAGTTTTTAGGGTATGAACAGAAACCACACCTATTTTTTTCTTCACAATACACTTTTGCAGCAATAGGCATAAAGCTTGTTTTTGGAAAAAAATGTACACTATTGTCCTGTTGTTATAATTCTAAGCCCCAGTAGAAATTTTACTACAAGCCTGTGCTGGTGGGCAGATTTTTCCACAATTGTCTGTTGAAATATTTGGTAGGTCGGATTAATCATTGCAGTACTAGTTTGTCTGGTCAAATAAACTTAAAACAGACCTTTCATAAATTAATGGCAGGAAGTCTGTGGAGCTTAAACTCTTGCTTCATTTAAAAAATTTATAGTGTTGTTTTCATTATTTTTTTTGGGGTACTCAATGCAAAAAGATGAATCTTGTGAGGTAACATTAGAAATGGAATACATCAATTTCTTTTTTACTTAAAAGTGACTGTTTGAACATTTGGGTGACATTCATATAACTTACAGGAAAGCAACTTCGCTGTAGTCCTTGAGAAGCACAAGCCATGTTTGTTAATGGGCAAAGATGTTTCTTTTCTTTGTCTTTTATAATTTAACACATTTTAATGATTAACTACACCCACTATAATTATCAGAACCAACAAGGGACTTGTTTTCTGAAATACTGTTAACATTTATTTTTATTTTTAAATTTGTTTTACTTCAAACTGTAGTGGTCACCTGACTTAGCATTGAAACATTTTTTTTTATAGAAATGGTTGAATGTATGAAGAAGGTTGCACAAATGAATGTAGATTTATCAGTAGAAGAAAGGAACCTTTTATCTGTAGCATTTAAAAATGTAATTGGAGCAAGACGGGCATCATGGCGAATAATGAGTAGTTTAGAACAAAAGGAAGAATCGAAAGGGGAGAGTGAAAAGAAAGAACAAATGAAAGAATATAGAACTAAGGTAAAAATGAAATAAAATTTTGGAACACCAAATATGTCGAGTCCCTGTAGTGTAACACATAAAGGAAGACTCTGTACCTAATTGGTGTTACAACATAGAAGTTATACAATACATTCATACAGTAAATAACACTATATTCTATTAAAAAGCTTGACAGTGTGAAATGGAAATTTAAGGAAAAAAATATTTGAATATTTTGTCTGGCAATTTGACAGGAGTCTTTTGAAACACCAATCAGATCGTTCACTTTTCTCTTGGAAGGTTTGAAGAAGTCCCATAAGGAGTGATATTAAGTGACCTTTAAGCATCCAATCAAATCTCAGCCTTAGAACAGTTAGCATATTATTTACTATAGACTTTCACTCTCAAATATCGTTCAGTAAACTATTAATAACTTGAGAAATACTCTGGAAATTTGATGATCTAACTAGATAATTTCCTGACTTGATTTCAATTTAATGCACTGACCTCCCAAAATATTCAACAACTTGAGCTTCATTGTTATATTCATATTTTAAAATAAGAAAAACGTAAGATAACATCACAATTACAGCAAAAGTTTCACCCATTTGATCTATTTTTGCCAGGAAAAATGATAATTTTAGTGCAAATATGACACTAAAAATGTTGTTCAACAAATTTCATAAAAGGTGATCAGCAGTTTCAGAACATGATCCCTTATGGTCTTCAGATCTTATGTGAGCAACAAACAAATATGGAGTAATTCAGTAAAGTAAAAGATCTTGATCAGGGCTCAAGGGACAAGTTAGAAAAAATGATAATGTAGAGGCCTGTTGATTTCAATGAAATTATTTTTCAAGTTTTCTCTTAATCTGAGTAAAAAAGGAAAAGTATGGTGTATTTTGATATAGTTGTGCAGATCTTTTGAAGATGGTCAAACTTTGCCATAAGATTTATGTTTGAAACATTTTGTTTCATTCCAATAAAGTTTCAAGAGATTTTACCAAAATGTTGCATAGGTAAGGTTATGTGTAGATAATCATTATTTTATTTTATTTTTTTTATTACCCGAAGCCTATTTTCTATGGGTGTCTTTTACTTTATATAAGACCAATGTACGAAAAGAGGGAAGTCTTCATGCAAAGCATATTTCCTTTCAACTTTAATTTTAAATCGTGTTCCAAGACTTATTATTTCTCTGTGTTTTGCTTCAATCTAATTCTGATACAAGGAAATACTGAAATTACAATTCAGACAAACAAATATCATACTTTTCTCAGGAACAACAAAGCAAGTGTCCTAAAATTTGGTATTAAACAAGCTTTATGTGGTAATGCTATACTGTATGATGCATTTTCAAATTCATCACTTATCTACTTCCTGTTTAATGAAAACTTATAGTAAGGTTCATTAGCATGACTAGTGAGCACTAGAAGCATTTGCTCCCTTTTTGTACATGTAAACATTTCTAGTTTAGCCTGATAAGGATACGATTGCTTTAAAAATTTGCTCATTAAACATTATTCCAGGTTAAGTTGAACTTTGTTCATTTCTTTTATAGATTGAAGAGGAGCTTAAAGGCATTTGCAACAGTGTTTTAGATATATTAGATAAAAATCTGATCCCACAAGCAACAAATGGTGAATCAAAAGTATTTTATTATAAAATGTGAGTAGGATACAGTACTAAAGTAATGGATTAAGAATTTTCTGCAAATGTATCATTTGGATTATATTTTGTTATGGTAGATCGAAGTGACAGATTGCATGTTGAAATACACGGAGTGTTTATATGTAATCATAAAATAACCATGATATATAGTGACAAATCAGAAATCTGCTAAATTGGATATTGACAGTACAGCTCTAGTTAGTTATTTTGTTGGTTTCAATTTACTAAAAAATGAAAAAGATGTCTATTTTAAATCAAAAAAACAAAATTCCACATTTATGATTTAAGGAACTAAAATCTAATTCATAAATGTATCTGATCCATATATGCTAGAGAGTAATTTGATATATACCATGTATACTTGACAAATTTATTTAATTTCACAAGGCATTTTTATATACGCAACACACTCATTAGACACTACATGTAAACTAAGTCCATACACCATTAATTGTACATTTGCAAGAACACTACTACTGACAAATTTTGTTTTTGTTTTTTCCATATGATTGATGTAAGGAAGGGGCAATTGTCCGTTTCTATCATCATTCAGGCCTCAAATGTGTGTTATCAGACAGCATCTGTCTAGAAACAGAATGATCTACAATGTAAGCGATTAACATCATAACCACCATCTTTTAAAACAGTCTGTGCTCGTCTTGGAAAGGGAACCTACATTCATGATCCAGTTCTACAGTTGGTTCATGAATTTTAAAGTTCATTCTTTTGAAATATTTCTAACCATGATTGGACATCTCTTTTTCATGTTTTTTATAAATACGTTTTTCTGATTATGGATACAATATAGAATATTAAACATTTGTGAAAAATCTTTAAACCGAATAACAGTATACATCTCCTTTAAAATCACTATGTATAATGTCCATTGATTCCCATTAAAATGGAAATTGTTGATGATGTTTGCCTGATTTACACTCCCACTTTGTCAGTTTGTATATTTCAATTGAAAATTTTATATATATAGAGATGGACAACATTAACTGTACCAGTTTTCTGCACCAGATGTGCATTTTGACAATAAATGTCTCTTAGGTGATGCTTGAGGCCAAAACAATTTTGAAACTCCAAAGCTTATTAAAAAAATGAAGAGCTTATATCCCAAAACAGACAAGAAAGTATAGCCAAATTTGGACAAGAAACTGATGCTTTGCATTATGGAGATATATTCCTTAATTTAAAAATAATTTCAGAAATTTTGTGACAGCAAATTTTAAACACCAAATCTCTATTTTCATGCCAGAACTGAAGTACTGGCTACTGGGCTGGTGATACCACCAGGGACTAACAGTCAATCAGCAGAGGTATCGACCCATTGGTATCTAGTTGAATCACCTTGTTTATACATATATCAAGATATATGTATGCACTTGAATTTTACTGTAAAGGCTGCCTCTAATTTTTCAGGAAAGGAGATTACCATAGATACTTGGCTGAATTTGCTACAGGAAATGATAGAAAGGAAGCTGCAGAAAACAGTTTAGTTGCTTATAAAGCTGCAAGTGATACAGCTCATACAGATCTAGCACCTACTCATCCTATACGTCTAGGTTTAGCACTGAACTTTTCTGTGTTCTATTATGAGATCCTAAACTCGCCAGACAGAGCCTGTAGGTTAGCAAAAGCAGCATTTGATGAAGCTATATCAGAATTGGATGCTTTAAGTGAAGAGAGCTATAAAGATTCAACGTTAATAATGCAGTTGCTAAGAGATAATTTAACACTTTGGACATCAGATATGCAAGGTGAAGGTAAGCATTCAACCAAGACATAACTCTGACAGTAGTAATCACTTCTTTAATGTACAAGAAGCTTGTCCCATTTTATAGTGGAGAACAAGTCTGGGGTAAAACAGAATGTCAATGGCACATTGAGAAAGACTTCTGAATATATAAAAAATGTCAAAATAATTTTGATATTCTTAGAATTGCTGGGGCTAGATAAGGTATTGTGTGCACATGAGTGCTCGGTTGCCTAACCAAAAACAACAAACCCTTTTTCACCAGCCTCAATTGAAAAGTTGAAAGCAGTCAAATCAAAGTCATAGTCATAGTTGTAACATTTACTGACCTAAACTAGTAAAAAAGTTAACTTTTAGAGGCCAGGGCAGCCCTGATCTTGTTTGTACAAACTTCAAATCTTCTTAATGAATTAACTGAAAATCTCACTGTCGTCAGTTCACAATGAAATTGAATACATATTATAAACCAGTTTTCACTTGTCAGACAAAAAAATGCAGTTATTGATTTGTTGAAGTATGCGACTCCAGCTGTTTCCATGCAATAACTTGAGAACTTTTCAACCAATACTTTTCAAATTTGAATATGTTGTTACTGATGACATAATGGAGGTCAAACTGGATATTGATGATTCTTTTTTTGTCGACCACTTGATCCAATTTTTTCAAATTTTATGCTGTTGTTTCTCAAAACAAAAAAATCCAAACAAACAAATGAGACAAAAAAGGAGTCCATTAAGAATTATAACTAGAAGCAGCGGGTGCAGACCTCTTCAAAATAAGTCATACAAATTCTTGATTGAGATGATTTAAAAATTAGAATAAAAGTTGCAGCAAACAAGTGAAATCTCATTAACATTAATCACACAAAACATGCTCATGGAAATGTCCCATGACACAGGATTTACCTTAATTTATTTTAGAATTGACCCCTGTACTCCCTCGCAAGGGTTGTGTCTAAGGCAGGACATCACTAGTGAAGCTGATGGAGGGCTTAGAAGGAAAATTAACTAGCCCTATTGGCTAGTAAAGGAATTGACTTTGTGTCAAACCCTGAAAGTGTGTATTCTTTATGCTGAGGTCGTGTAAAGCAAACACCAATTGATGAAAGTGTTAACATGGGTATAGAAAGTAGTTTTGGCAGCATGGTCTACCTATAGAAGTGTAAACAAAGGGAAACAGTTCTAACATACCAATCACAATCAAATATTTGTAGATGAGCAAATCATATAACAATTTTTGTAAAACAAAACTTTTCTATTTTTTTGCAGATACAGAACAGAAACAGGAACAAGTACAAGACCTAGAAGGAGAGGATGCATCATAAGGAATGTAGTGACCTAGTTAACGATGAATTATTCAAATTTTTATTAAATTGACACATTAGTGTGATTGAAGACATCATCTGTATGGAAATGAGGAAAAGGTCACCTGCTTACGTCACATGGAATAGTTAAAAAGACCATATTCCTACAGGTTGTAACTGTGACGTACCCTGTATTGCCCCCATTTGTAATCTTTCTTTGTATTGTTCAGAAATCTCATTAGTATGTGAAGCATGGAATATTGGTCAGCTATAGGTATTTTCAGTGCACATGACCCAATGTACTTTTGCATTGTTGTCGATTTAGCACCTCAAAAGTAGCTATCATTTATTTTATTTTATAATTTTCATATTCCCTGTGTCTATTTGAAGTGCTCTATCTTAGTTGCATAGTATTCCATGCTTCTTTCTTGATCTTTTTTTTATCAAATACCTTTCTTTAACAGTCGTAGGTTATTTTCATTGCTTTCGTAATTGTGCTTTGGAAAAATGGTGACTTGTTGTATACTAGTAAGAGGACCAAATACTTTCATCTGTGACGTTTTTGATACTATTGTGACATGTAACGTAGATTTGGAAAAGCAGGTGTGTATTTGAACTTTTTTTTGTGGGGATATCTGTGACATTATTATTGCGATATTGTCAAAATGCATGATATATATGTGTCCATTTATTTATTATCAGAATTCAGACAGTTGTAACCAGGTAAATTGATGTTTAAATTCTCTGTTCTACTAAATTTTACAGGTTTAACAAATATCTTTTCCCCAAATCTGTACCTCCATATTGAAATTGAATATAATAGTGCTTGTAAGAAGGAAAGCAGTGAAATTTGGTCCAGTTTCTATAAATGTACTTCAGTTGAAAAATTTATTAGGCCAGTACTCCTAGAAAGAAAATCGTTAGCCATTTTTATCATGTTTTTTGACAAAATCCTTGTGCATTTGATTGATATTCCTTCTTGAGAGTTAAGATATCTCTTTACCTGGATAAAAATTGTAATATCTATTGTTCATATATAGTGTAGACAATTTGATGGAGTTTATTATATTTATATGTACCTTTTTAATTAAGTGTGAAAAGGAAACAGTATTGGATGTTTACTTAAAACAGCAGCACACAATGTTGTACCTCATTCTTCTCCGTAACAGCAGTACAGTGTCCGTTTTTAAACATCACCAAAAATCTGCTTTTTGAATAAAAAGGCATTTGAATGTTAATTTACATGTCAACATTTATAAAAGGAAGGTTTAAAAAAACATATTCTTGAAATATTACCATGACAATCTGGAAATTCACTCTTGTGGTAGAAATTATTGATGAAAAAATCTGGACTAATTAAAAGCTAACTGTAGTTATGAGTGATTTTTTAAATGATCTGATATAAGAGAAGATAATTTTTGTGATTATTTTTTATATTGTTTGTTTAGTCTGGCTGTCTGGTGTTGTGATCAAATCTCACAATCTTCTCTCTCTCACCATTATTGATAGTTTCAAAGCATAGATTATTCTAGATAATACATTTATATATGATAAATTTGTAAAATGTCATGCTTTTAACAGTAAAACATGCTGATCATTACTGTGTCCTGTCTGTCTGTTGCATTCTTTAAAATTAAAAAGATAGAATATGGGATAGATGCTGAAGAAACAGCATTCAATAGAATATTAAAGATATTTCTAAAAGTGATTTGAGCAACACAAAAAACTGAACACTTACAGAATGTTGCTGCAAGATTAACATATTGAGATTGACTGCTACCATGACAAAGTATTTTTAATTCACTACAGCATATATGCTCGAGTGTGTAGATAAAGGTAGTATCTTTGGTTTGCTTGCTTGCTAGCTGAACCATGAAGTCATTATTAGCTAAGGTACTACCTTCCTTTGGCCGTGGTCAATAGTTAAACGGAGAACCAATTAAAAGTAGAGACTGTATATAAACATTGTGAAACCTGTTTTATAAGTCAGTTTGAAAATAAGTTTCATTTTTGTATCAATTATAAGCTAATTCACAAGCAGCTTTTAGGTGTGTTTGATTTTAGCAAGCAAGCAAACCAAAGATACTACCTTTACCTACACACTCAAGTCCATGTGCTGTAAAACAAATTTTTGCTCATTGTTGGTAAGAAATATTCATGTTTTAGATGTTCAGAATCATTGACACTTTTCTTTGAATTGGGTATAATCATTTAATTGATATAGATTGTCAGATGGGTTAAGAGTTTCTGAGAATTCACTTTGTTGATCTAGCCAATCTTTTTTGAATTTGAGTATTTTTATCAAATCACTGCCTAAAAGAAATTTAATGATAGTTTAATTTAAAGATAAAATTCCAGAGGGAAATAACAAATTACTGACATCTTTAAGATATTGGTAAGGTCTTTTATGATGAGGAAAAACCTGCCGCTCAGAAATATTAAAGAGAATTAAAATGCAAACAAAGTGTTTCCATTGAAGATAAGCTGCCTTAATACATAAACACCACATAAGAAAAGAAAAATTGTTCACTAGAACAATCCATTGATGAACTGACTCGAAACACTCGCTAGTTGTAGCCAAATTTGGCTGTGTATAATTGGTATTGCCTAATTGGTACATAATCCACACACCCTCATACATGTGAACCTCCCGACAGGAGTACAATAATCCCGTTTTCAGGGGTCTCCTCCCGACCTCCCGTTGAAGAGAAAAAAATCCTGTGTATGAAATATTTCATGAATAAAAATTTCAGCCCAGCATATCTGGTGTCACTGACATTACCTGAAGTTATATTTTACTTGTAAATCAATTAACATGCATAATTATATGGCTTCACTTGTCAGCTTGGGTGTCAAACATACTGGTAATCAACGATTATTACATCAGGCTAACTGCCGTTGTGTAATAAAAACTTTTTGTGTATTTAAAAATTTTGGGTTACTTCCCTTGATTTATTCTGTTTTAAGTTACTTTCTTTTAAATAATGTAAATTTTCAAAAGAATATAAATAAAATATAAATTGAACAAATAATCATAAAAGGATGGTAATTAAGGTGGTACCTAACACTACAGGGAGATAACTCTGTAAAAATCAGCTAAACGTTTTAATTACTTTGTATTAAGGAAATATTAAGCTTCTCAATGATCAAAATTAGTGTTTGTCAAACTGCTATATAACCAATGAAATTTTTCTGATAAAGTGGTTGGTTCAAATTTTTTGAAATTTTTATATTTTTGTCAAAGTGTCAAAGTAAACATTTTGTCAAAATTTTATGAAAATTAAACGAGCCAAATTTATATTAGTCAAGGTGTTGGGTACCACCTTAAATGATTTTAAATGTCTTAGGACAAATAAAAAAATAATAATTTGAAAATTATTTGAGGGTTCTATATTTCCTTTTAAGGCTTTAATTGAAATTTATATAATAACTGACCCTTGATACTAGGTTGAATGTGTTTCTTATCATGCAAAGAAGATCCAATTGCAAATAGATGGACAAATGTTCTGATTGCAGTGATTGTTCTATAGAATAATGACACAAAAGATCTGAAATAAAGATATAACAAAACATACTAAAAAAAAAAGAATGTTGGATTGAACATGTTGGATAGATAGAGAAAATTTATAAGTACAAGGGTACTATAAACAAAATACATTCGGATGGAAAGTTGGAAGAAAAAACACTTTAAAAGAAAATTTATACAGCACACGGTTACATTTACGACAAAATTTATGTTGATTAAAAACCTCCTGATCTGAGTCCTAATCTCCTGATCTGAGTTTCACAGTCCATCACATGTATGCACCCTTGTTTGGAAGTCAAGGACAAAAGATTGTGTCACTTGTTAAAAAGTTAAGTGAAACTAGAATTTTCAAATCATGTATGATCACTTGCATTATTTTCAGCTAAGAATAGAAAGTTGAAAATATTTGTAAATGATTCTAGAACATGTTACAAGTGTTCCAAAATCACAACAACTAAAAAGTGGAATTTTGTTCTCCAGTAACTGGAAACGGGGGAAAAGCGTGTATGAATGGCAAAAAAATATGGTGAGAGAGTGTAGAAATTCCACATTCTGCACTTAAGATGTACCTCAAGTAAAAGTGCCATCTTTTAGTAAAATACTGTTAAATTTACTTGTCACATTAACCTTTGAAGGTCCTTTAGCTAAAACAGAACACATGCTGCAGTATGAAGCGCCCATGTCTGAACATATAACTGATTAGTTATAAACATAGTTTATACACTTATGCAATGTTGTGGAAAGAAAGGAGACGTGTAATAAAGCATTGTATTTGAGTAAATTATTAGATTATGTCAAAAGAAATGAGGGTGCACTCTACAATGTAGAGAACAAACATGGCAAATCTAGTTTCAACAATGTGTAACATAGTGGTGTTTTACTCGTTTGTTGTCGAGCCTGTGACTTTTGTCGCAAAAGCGAGACATAGCGATCCTAAGTTCCGTCGGCGGCATCAGTCACAAATATTCACTCTATGGTTAAAAAGTTTTTGAAATTTTAATAGCTTTCTTAAACTATCCTGGATTTCTACCAAACTTGGACAGAAGCTTGTTTATGATCATAAGATAGTATCCAGAAGTAAATTTTGTAAAAAAAAAATCCTGTTTATCCGTATTTTACTTATAAATGGACTTAGTTTTTCTGCCAGTTAACATTACATTCACTCTGTCAGTCTGTGGTTAAAGTTTTAAAAATTTTAATAACTATCTTAAACTATCCTGGATTCGTACCAAACTTGGACAGATGCTTGTTTTTGATCAAGAGCTAGTATCTTGAAGGAAATTTTGTAAAAATTTATTTCCTGTTTCTCCGTATATTACTTATAAATGGACTTGGTTTTTCTTCCAGTTTACATTACATACAGTCTGCAGTTAAAAGTTTTTAAAACATTTATTAGATTCATAAACCATCCTGGATTTTTACCAAACTTAGACAGAAGCTTCTTACAATCAAAAGATAGTATCTAGAGGAAAATATTTAATAATTTTTTCCCCATTTTTGTTGAGCCTGCGACTAACAGCAAAAGTAGGCGAGACACTGGGTTCCGCGAACTCTTACGCATTTTATTAAAGATCTGTGAGCTTAACTATCATTTGGCGTTTGTTGCCAGTAAAACTTTTCCAAGGTACTCTCCTTTAAAACAACCATCAGAACCTGTTAATTCTATTTTGGTCCAATGGCTAACATAAGTGGCATGGCAGAAAAAAAGCACAAGGGTAAGGTATAAGTGATGAACTAACTTCTTGAAAACCATTATTTCAGAAAGTGAATGGGGCTTAAAATGAGTCATTATTCATATTCCCTCTATTGAAAAATAATATCTCTCCTCTTAATAACAGGTGATTTTTGTTTTGCCAGTAAAGGATGCAAGAAAGGGAAGCTTGTACAATGGAGGCTGTTTCTTTACATCTGAAATTTTAAATATATTCCAGATTATAGAAAGAGCTGGTAAATCCATATCTGATATGTATATGTCATATGGTTTGAGAGCTTCTGCCAACACTTGGGGTCTTTCGTAATTTTTTTTTTTGAATTTATGAAACTACATCAATTCAACTAAAATTTGAATATGAACCTTACTAAAATGATTTGTTCCTGCTTATAAGCAAACATGGTCACCATAGCTTAAAATAGAACACACGGGTAAAATGCATGCTATTGTCTAGTAAGAAAAACTATAAATGGTGAAAATGTTTATGTCTATTTACCAAATTTCCACAAAATTATCAGACAACTCTTTATAGGAGTAATGGACCTTCAATGACAGTTTTTACTCTCTTTTCCATTTTTATGCCGCCGCCATAGAGGTGGGGGCATTAAATTTTACCCATTGTCCGTCTGTACGTACGTACGTCCCAAAATTGGTTTCCATTCTTTAACTTGAGTTTGCCTCAACCAAATGTTATGAAACTTATACACAATGCTAATTACCACAAAACACAGATCAAGTTTGAATGTTGGTGGCGTCACTTTAACCAGAGTTATGCCCCTTTATAAATGTAAAAATTGCAAAATTTTTAGTTTCCGTTCTCTAATTTAAGTTTACCTCAACCAAATGTTATGACACTTATACACAATGCTTATTACCACAAAACACAGATCAAGTTTGAATTTTGGTGGCTTTGCTTTAACCGTTCTAGAGTTACGCCCCTTTATAAATTGAAAAAATGGCAAATTTTTTATTTTGTTCTAAATATCAAGTAATTTTTAAAATTGGAGTTATCTTCCTTTGTCAATGATTATAGTTGAATCAACTACAATCAATGCTTTATACAATGCAATGTTTAATTTTAGTGTCACTGTAACCATTTTTGAGTTATGCCCCTTTATAAATCGAAAAATTGCAAAATTTTTAGTTTCCAATCTGTAACTTAAGTTTGCCCAAACCAAACATTATGAAACCTATACACAATATTCATTACAACAAAACTAAGATCAAGTACAAATTTTTTGTTTCCATTTTCTAACTTCAGTTTGCCTCAACCAAATGTTATGAAACTTATACACAATGCTTATTACTACATAATACAGATTAAGTACGAAATTTGGTGGTGATACTTTTACCATTCTTGAGTTTATGTCCTTTTATAAACATAAAAATTGCTGAATTTTTCGTAACTATATGATATGCAAGCGGGGGCATCATCTGTGTCCACATGTGGACACTATCCACATTTATTTGTCTTTTCTCAAAAAAATAATATTGAAGAAAGTAACTTTAAGTTGTAAGAAACAGACCAAACCATGAAAACTATTGACCAATGAACCATGAAAATGAGGTCAGGGTTAGATGACAACTTCCAGTTTTACATATACATCAAAATAGGACTTGTATCACAAAAACTTAATCTTGTTCACTGATCCATGAAATGAGGTAGTGGTCAAGTGAAAACTGCCCGACAGGCATGAGGACCTTGCAAGGTACGCACATACCAAATCTAGTTATCCTAATACTCATAAGAGAGAAATTTTCATTACAAAAATAATTTTTTTTCAATTAGTCGCTGAACCATGAAAATGAGGTCAAGGACAATGCACATATATCTGAAGAAAACTTAATAACATAAGGCATCTTTATATGAAGTATGAAGCATCTAGGTCGTCTACTTTTTGAAATAGTAAGCTTTTTAGTAGTAAGTTAACACTGCTGGATTACTATCCCATCCCTGTCTTGTCTCCTGTGACAAAAATGACACTTTTTGACACATTTTTGCCGTTTTCTTTGTCTTAAAAATAAATTTATACATATGGATAGAATTCTTACTGGCAACAAGATAGCACTGCAGGTTTTCATTATCATTATATTTTTTTGTTTAAAGTGTATATTAAAAACACTTGCTACAGGTTTCATATAAACAAGTTAAATGAGGTCACTGACAAATGAAACCTGCCAGAAGGCCATTCTTTGCACACAATATAGTTGACCTATTGCTTACTGTAACTGATAAATTGACCTAATCACAAGAGTGCGCACGCTGAAATCTCGCATGCTTTACTAATATGATTGAATTATTTTGAAAGTCTAATATGAAGGTTTTATTACAAGCAACACAAAAACTTAAAATTATCAATAATCCATGTAAATGAGCTCAAGGTCAGACGAATCCTGCCAAACGGACATGAACATATCATATACCAACTATAGATTGCCTACTGCGTATAGTATATGATTTGAATTATCGAATAAAATATTGTTTAAACCAAACATTGACTAATGAACAATAAAAATGAGATCAAGGTCAGACAAACATGTACACCTTACAATCATTCCATTTACCAAATATAGTTGACCTATTGCCTATAGTGTCTTATAAACCGACAAAACCATGAAAACTTAACATTGACCTATGGAAATGAGGTCATATGAAAATTGCTAGTTTCCAATCATTCCATTCACCAAATTATTTGACCTATCGCTTATAGTATCTGAGATGCTGACTTTACCTTGATCACTTATCCATGAAATGTGGTCAAGGTCAGGTGAACCCTTTCTGACGACTCATACTGTCAAAATAAGAGTGCTTACACTGAAATTGATGCCTTCTTTACTATCACATAAACTGAACATGATCCAAGAAAATGAGGTCAAGGTCATATAAACCAAATTTGAAATACATGTACACCTTTACAATCATTCCATACACTAAATATGCTTTAAATATAGTTGACCTATTGCACATAGTATCTAAGAAACAAACTTAACCAGGAAAACTAAACATTGATCCATGAACCATGAAAATGAGGTCAAGGTCAGATTAACTCTGCCAGACAGACATGTACACCTTACAATCATTACATGCTTTAAATATAGTTGACTTATTTCATATAGTATCTAAGATATAAACTTAACTAGGAAAACTTAAGATTGGCCAATGAACCATGAAAATAAGGTCATGGTCAGATGATAATTTCCAGACAGACATGTTCACCTTACAATCATTCCATACACCAAATATAGTTGACCTATTGCTTATAGTATTAGAAAAACAGACCAAAAAACAAAAAAAACTTAACATTGAGCAATGAACCGTAAAAATGAGGTCAAGGTCAAATAAAACATGCCAGACTGACATGTACATGGTAAAATATTTTCATACACCAAATATAGTTGACCTATGGCATACAGTGTTAGAAAAACAGACCAAAACACAAAAACTTAGCTTTAACCACTGAACCATGAAAATATGTCAAGGTCAGATGACACCTACCAGTTGGACATGTACACCTTACAATCATTCCATACACCCAATAAAGTAGACCTATTGCTTTTAGTATCGGAGATATGGACTTGACCACGAAAACTTAACCTTGTTCACTGATCCATGAAATGAGGTCGAGGTCAAGTGAAAACTATCTGATGGGCATGAGGACCTTGCAAGCTACGCACATACCAAATATAGTTATCCTATTACTCATTATAAGAGAGAAATTAAGAATACTAAAAATCTTTTTTTCCAAGTAGTCACTGAACCATGAAAATGAGGTCAAGGACAATGGACATATGACAGACGGAAACTTCGTAATATAATGCATCTTTATACAAAGTATGAAGGATCCAGGTCTTTTAGCTTCTGAAATATTAAGCTTTTAAGAAGTTTGTTAACGTCGACACCGCTGACGGATCACTATCCCTAGGTCGAGCTTACTGCAACAAAAGTTGCAGGCTCGACAATTAAATGAGTCTTCTAATGGTGGAAGGCATCATTTAGTCTATTTACTTCCCAACATGGTTCAACATGGCATAACATACATATAGAATAAAATAAGCAATTAAAATTCAAATTTTATTGACAAGTTTTAGCCACATTCAATAGTTTACACTTGACAATTTGTTATTCTTGTAAAATGTCCATGAACACATGCAATACTACTCTGAGATAATGATATCTTTTTTTGTAAAACTTTGTGTAGCACTGAAGTTAAGTTTTTCTAAAATGTTACAATTAACATTTTATTGCATTTCTGAAGATTCCAACTGTTCCATTATACTTGATTTCTTCATCTTCTTTCTTGGAACATCTGCAAAATAGTAATGAAAATAAAAATACGTACAATGCTTTTAACTGATGTAATTCGTAGGATTTCCAATTTTTTTTATGACAAATGAATATCACTTAACATACTGATATACCACCATAATTTTTGAAGAACTGTCAACAAAAAATTATGCAAATGTAGTTTAGGTGGTCATGACCTGAATGTTGATTTGTACTACATTTTTTAAAAATTGGATGATCTGCATAATTTAATCAGTTAAGCAAACATATGACTGTCTGATTATTGTTCGCTGAACTCTCCAGTATCAAATATCTCATGCATATTTCATGACAAGCCCTCGAACAGAAGAATCAATATCAAATATCAAATCAACATTGTATCATTTCAAATATTACATAAATACAAAAATAACTTAATTATTAATGTCTACCTGTTGAAGTTAGATGATGCTGATAATAGATTACGTTTTAAAATAATTGAATTCATTAAAAATTGATATATTGTTTAAAAGCTAAGTAATTTGAACTGATCATTTTTATATTCATCAAATTTCCTTTGTTTTAATCATCTCTAAAGTACAATTTTGTGATACTAGTACATAAATGAAAAAGAATACAAATATGAACCTTCATTTTTCATTTTTCATTTTTTAGTTGTATTTCAAAATATGTGACACTTGTGTAAATTAATGAATATTCATAGTGTTTTTGTCTTTATATCGCCCAATACTAGGTAAAAGTCATATCAATAGATTTTTGAGAAGTGTACTACCACAAAGTAAATCAACCCAAGTAGAAATACAATGAAAGAACCAGTAAACCATACAAGATATAAATATGAAAAGGACAGGAACACATCATTAGTATCTTGAGAATTTTCATCACATACCTTCATGGTAATGTTCTGCAGTCTTTTTACGTAATTCATCCAAATCTTCAGCACTCTCTGCCCATTCTAGAACTAAACGTCTTCCATACAAATGAGTACTATGACACAGTGCTGCAAATGCTCTCTGTAAAATTCAACATACTTATTTTCAAAGCCATTCAAAATAAACAGTGTATTATTCAGACCTAAAAAGACAAAGATAATCAAAAAGCAAAATTGTTTGCCATAGATGAAAGAATAAACTGTTAACACAGAGATATGTCTCGCCTTTTTGTACTTTTGATAATGCAAATGTTGAAATTAAAATAGCAATACTTTAACATGTAAGTTATGCAAATATTCAAATTTAATGAACCATGACTGAAGGTACATGACAAAACAATCTTCATGGAAATGAGATGTGCCAATGCTAATACAACTGCATACCAAATACCATATATTATCATAAGTTGTTCCCTTTCAACAAACCTAAACACAAACATTGACTTGTAAACTATGTAAAAGTTTCAAAGTCAATAAACCATGATGAGGGGGTGGGGCTATATAATCTCCATGGAAACGAGACTTGTAAATGCCAATAAATTTGCATACCAAATATCATTGACTTAACATTAGAGGTTCATCTCAGACTGATTTAATCACAAACCTGGGAACAGTATATCTAACGGGAAATGAATCTGATACGCTTTTCAGTATAAAATTGATAAAATCTCGGACTCCCCGAGACTTCCTTAGATTTACGGATTTTGGAAGCGTCTGACTGAAAAACTATCAGAACTGCTCAACAAATAAACCACATAACTCTAATTGTAAATAAATACAAGTTTTATCATTTAGTAGATATATTTTGTCATATAAAATTACCAAAATAAGTTTGATTTATTTGATGTGAAGTGTTTTATAATAGTTTGGGAATTTGTAAATCATCGCGGCAATGGCCGCCATTTTTTTATTACCTTGTTTGCATTCTGCACAATTCTGTGATGAAATGCTTGCGATTTTAACAAATTTGAAGTGACAGAATACAGGTTTGATGCACTAGCATCACTATAAAACTAGTTTGAATGACATTTTTTTGATAATATCAGAAATTATTAGGATAATAGTGAGTCCGTTTTTAACACATGTCCGTTTCTGTATCGTATCTTTATTAACTATGGCACGACGATAAAATCGATTACAATCAGGTAGTGTCAAGTCCCGTCAATATATATGTTCCTGCACAAACTAATACATGTAAACTAAGCAAAAGTTTCAAAGTCAATAGACCATGACTGAGGGGGTGGGACCAAATATTCTCCATGGAAATGAGATGTGCTAATGCTTATATAATTGCATACCAATTAACACTGGCCTACCACTAATGGTTCCCCTTGAACTGACCTAATTACAAACTATTACATGTAAACTAAGCAAAAGTTTCAAAGTCAATAGACCATGACTGCAGGGGCAGGACCAAATATTCTCCATGGAAATGAGATATGCCAATGCTTATACAACTGCATACCAAATATCATTGACTTACCACGAGTGGTTCCCCTTGAACTGACCTAATCACAAACTAATACATGTAAACTAAGCAAAAGTTTTAAAGTCAATAGACCATGACTGAGGGGGCGGAGCCAAATAATCTTCATGGAAATGAGATATGCCAATGCTTATACAACTGCATACCAAATATCATTGACTAACCACTAGTGATTCCCCATAAACTGACCTAATCACAAACTAATACATGTAAACTAAGCAAAAGTTTCAAAGTCAATAGACCATGAGTGAGGGGGCAGGGCCAAATAATCTCCATGGAAATGAGATGTGCCAGTGCTAATACAACTGCATACCAAATATCATTGACCAACTACAAGTGGTTCACCTTAAACTAGACCTAATCACAAACTAATACATTGTTGACCCAGCCGCCAGAAATAGCATACCTATGTCTCACTTTTAGACTCCGTCAAGGCGAGACAAAAATGGAACTAATTACTCCCAAATATGTTATTTAAGCAATTGATCCTTTTACTAATAGAAAATTTTTATACCCCATTCAAGAGGAGAGGAGTATACTGGTTTACTTCTTTAGGTCCTTTAAGACATTCTGTCAAATTTTTTAGCAACTAGTCACAGCTTCTTGATATATGGCTTCAGCTAGATTTGAGCTGGTGTTTTATTAGAGAGTAATAGCTAACAATTCATCTTTTTGCATCTTTTCCAAATAGACAATAACCCAAATAACCATTAAAATGTTGGCTACCGTAGAAAGGCTTGTATAGTTCGCACTGGTACATAGTCCGCACCCCCTTCTCCCCACGAAATTTTAGGTAAAAAAACTTTTTGTAACTGTTAGAAAAGGTCTAATGAAACTACGGTAATTTCAAATCCTGTGCGGTCGTTTGCAGTATTTTCTTGGAAAAACCTGTTTTCCATCATCAAACAGAAGCTGAAACTGCTTGTAAATGATTCTAGAACGCTTCATGATTGTTAAAATAAGTTTAATTCACTTAAAAAACAATTTAGAAACTTGTGTATGTTTAAACAGGAAGTTTAAAAAGCATGTGTAAAAGAAGAAACTAACCGGTGAGAGTCGAAATCTGTACATAACAGATATCACTATAATACGACTTTGAAAGTAAAGTAGTTCCATCCTTTTGTAAAACAGTCTTTAATATATCTATATCATTAATGTTTGAAGGGTCTTAAGCTAATACAAACCATATTAGTCAGTATGAAACACCAAAACGGAACGAACAATAACCGATTACGTTTTGTAGTTTACAAATTCTAATCTGGTTTACGGTTGTCTTTTTCACTATGTTTGTATCGTTTCAATCAAGCAGATACCAGTTTATTTCAACCAATGCATTGAAAAGTAACGAGAAATTTGTAATGAAAGGTTTAGTTTTTATATTTATCAGTATTAATTTGATATTGAATAGAAATAACTTATTAATATGGATGAGTTAAAATTATTAGTTTGAAAAATGGTAAGAGCGCCCTCTACAATATAAATAACAAAGATGGCAGAACGTAAACAAACCACCTCGCCCGCGAAATTGAAATTTTTCTCTTATTTCTTGCTTATTGTACTCTATAGTCCGCACCCCGTCTGGAAGGTCCAATTTTGGAGAATAAAACCGCGGACTATACAAGCATTTCTACGGTATTGCAAAAATTGTTTTAACCAAAACTACTGAGGCGAAACAGTGGTAAACCTAAGGCAATTTGATATCAATAAATATATTTTAAGACTAGCAATTTTTCAATTGATAAAATTAACAAAAAACTGACTGTTTGGTGGTATAAATTACTTACTTTAGCATCCTGTCTGGTTAGAAAATCAACAAAGCCAAATCCTCTATGTGTTCCAGTACCACTGAGTTTCTTAGGTAACCTGACAGACTTCAATTCACCAAACACTCTAAAAAGTAGTAGCAGATATATATTACAATATAAAAAAAAAAACACAACAAAATAGGTAAATTCATAACACATTCATTTATACAAGTTACATTTTCTGAGTTATCTCCCCTTATATGGCAAAGTTGAAACAAATTGAAGCAAAACACAATTTGTTCTGTATTTGTAAATAAAATGCTCCGCTGGGGCGCAGCTTGATACGACCGCAGAGGTCGAACCCTGAACAGTTGGGGCAAGTATGGACACAACATTCAAGCTTGATACAGCACTGAATTTGGATTGTAATTAAATATTTGACACAGCATAGGTTTCTCACACAGAATGAAAGTAGTCTAAGAACTTAAAATTTTTTAATTTACCTATTCAAACCATATCATTATTATTTGCTTTTATATATAAATCAGAAATAACCAATTTAAAATGGAAAATTTTAAAGTAAAAAAAGGGAAAAAAAAATCCCCCCCCCCCAAATTTTTTGAAACATCCTTATGATTCATCACCCCCAAACTCAATCCCAGCCTTCCCTTTGTGGTATAGTACCTTGCAGTACAATTTCAGAGAGATCTATACACTTGAACACAAATTATTGTCTGGAAACTAGAAAAATGCTTGGGTTTTTTGCACCTTTTTGGCCCCAAATTCCTAAAAGTTTAGGGCAATTACCCCCAAACTCAAACCAAGCTTTCCCTTTGTGATATGGAACCTTGCAGTACAATGTCATAAAGATCCATACACTTACACACAAGTTATTGTCATGAAACTAGAAAAATGCTTGTTTTTTTGCCCCTTTATGGCCCCTAATTCCTAACATTTTGAGACAATTACCCCCAAAAACAATCCCAGCCTTCCCTTTGTGGTATGGTACCTTGCAGTACAATTTCAGAGAGATCCATACACTTGAACACAAGTTATTGTCTGGAAACTAGAAAAATGCTTATTTTTGGCCCCTTATTCCTAAACGTTTTGGGCAAGTACCCCCAAACTCAATTCCAGCTTTCCCTTTGTGATATGGAACCTTGTAGTACAATTTCATAAATATCCATACACTTACACACAAGTTATTGTCATGAAACTAGAAAAATGCTTGTTTTTTGCCCCCTAATTCCTAAAATTTGGAGGCAATTACCCCCAAAATCAATCCCAGCATTCAAACCCTCAATCAGCATCATTTAACAGTAATATCTAAAAATGGAAATTACATAATAAAGGTATTAAAATAGAAAATGACATCATAGTCATGGCTAAAAATAAACAAAATCCTTAATCAGCAACATTTTACAGTAATATCTAAAAATAAAATTCCTTTGTAACCATAAAAGCCCATTTAAATACATCATGACAGATATTAAAATAGAAAATGACATCATAGTCATGGCTAAACATAGCAAAAACCTTAATCAGCATCATTTAACAGTAATATCTAAAAATAAAAATTTCTTTGCAACCATAAAAGTAAAATAGAAAATGACATCATAATCATAGCTAAAAATAAACAAAATTTTTTTTTATTACCAAATTTTAAATGGAGTTAATTAAACTAAAACAATAAATTTGCAACCATAAAACCCCATTTAAACACATCATAAAAGTATTAAATAATTCAATTACATCATAAGGCTATAAAAATAGAAAATGACTTCATAGTCAAGGCTAAAGGTAAACAAAAAACCTTCATCAGCAAAATTTTATATTGGCAAATTTCCAATGAAGTTTATTATACTAAAATTGTTGGCAAATTTCCAATTTACATAATTTAAAAGCAGTGTAAGTGAGATATTTAAATGAGTTTGAATTACCAACCTTACACTGCTTTTAAATAATGTTTTGTACTTATTTGTCTATTAACCTGGAAACCCTTGTTTTTTCACCTTTTTTTCCCTTATTATTTAAAGGTTTGAGCCATAACCCTACCCCAAAGCCAATTCTTAAATTCCAATGTAACCTAAATTTACAATATACATAACTTCAATTTAAGTTTTTGATAAAATCAAACCACATCATTATTATTTGCTTTTATATCTAAATCAGAAATAATTAACCAACTTTAAGTGGAAAATTTTCACACATCACGCCCCCCCCCCCCCCAAACTCAATCCCAGCCTTCAGTTTGTGGTATGGTACCTTGCAGTACAATTTCACAGAGATCCAATTACTTAAACACAATTAATTGTTGGAAACTAAAAAAAAATGCTTATTTTTAACCCCTTTTTTAGCCCCTTATTCCTAAACATTTGAGCAATTATCCCCCAAACTCAATTCCAACTTTCTCTTTGTGATCAGAATTAACCAACTTAAAATGGAAAATTTTAAAGAAAAAAAAAAGGAAAAAAAATCCCCCCCCCCCCAAAAAAATTTTTTGACCCACTTCCCTTTGTGGTATGGTACCTTTAAGTACAATTTCAGAGAAATCCATACACTTGAACACAAGTTAATGTCTGGAAACTAAAAAAATGCTTATTTTTGCCCCCTTTTTTGGCCACTTATTAATAAATGTTTTGGGCAAACATTTTACAATAATATTTAAAACTGAAATTAATTTGTAACCTTAAAATTAAATAGAAAATGACATCATAGTCATAGCTAAAAATAAACAAACTATTGGTAAATTTCCAATGGAGTTTATTATATTAAAACAATAAATTTGCAACCATAAAAGCGCATTAAAATACATCATAAAAGTATTAAAAAAAATTTAACTACATCATAAGGCTATTAAAATAGAAAATGACATCATAGTCAGACTAAAGGTAAACAAAAAACCTTCATCAGCAAAATTTTATATTGGCAAATTTCCAATGAAGTTTATTATACTAAAATAATTGGCAAATTTCCAATTTACATAATTCAAACATAGTGCAGGTGAGATATTTAAATGAGTTTGAATTACCAACCTTACACTGCTTTTAAATAATGTTCTTTACTCAATTATTTGTCTATTAAAATGGAAACCCTAGTTTTTTAACCTTTTTTCCCCTTATTCCTTAAACGAAAAAAAATAATTACCCCTTTTTTGACCCCCCCCCCCTTATGATTCATCACCCCCCCTTCCCCCCCCCCCCCCAAACCAAGCTCAATAACAGCCTTGCCTTTGTGGTATGGTACCTTGTAATACAATTTTAGAGAGATCCATACACTTGAACACAAGTTATTGTCTAGAAACTAAAAAATGCTTATTTTTCACCCCTTTTTAGGCCCCTTATTACTAAACGTTTTGGGCAATTACCACAAAACTCAATTCCAGCTTTCCCTTTGCGAAATGGAACCTTGTAGTAAAATTTCAGAAAGATCCATACACTTACACACAAGTTATTGTCATGAAACTAGAAAAATGCTTGTTTTTTGCCCCCTTTTGGCCCCTTATTCCTAAAATTTCGAGGAAATTAACCCCAAAATCAATCCCATCATCGACCCTTTGTGATATGGAATCTTGTAGTACAATGTCAAAGAGATCCATACAATAACACACAAGTTATGTCTGGAAGTTACAAAAATGCTTATTTTCGGCCCCTTTTTGGCCCCTAATTATTTAACTGTTGGTACCATAACCCCCAAAATCAATCCCCACCTTCCTATTGTGGTATTGAACCTTATGGTAAAATTTCATAGAGATCCATTCACTTAAACTTAAGTTAGAGTGTGAAAACCATTGTGTATTATGACGACGACGACGACGACGACGACGCCAACATCATACCAATATACGACCACAAAATTTTTTTGCGGTCGTATAAAAACAGTTGTAAAATATAATAAAACACATATTTTTCTTTAATAAGATGAAAAGCCTAATCAATGAATTACATTCTTCTCACAAAATTTGCATTTTTAATTAAAAATCTAGACCAGTCTTGTTCTGCTATTTTACAATCCAAGATGACGAAAGACGCCTGAACTACATTAAAAAGAAATTCATCTCATGTAACATGACTGAAAAGGTGTGTATTTTGTTGAAAATTAGCTGTACTGGGCAGTCAAAGGAAGCCATTTTAGTACTTTCTAGCTATAACCAAGAAGATTATGCACTTGGCAACATTATCGGAAAAATGCATCACATGTATTCCGAATAACTTTGATTACCTTGAAAATGTAAATTCAGAAAAGAATTGGGTGAATTTTAAGTGAACAATAGACAAATGTGTGAGATTTGTTTATGCAATTTCTGGCAATGCTACATGTGAAGGATGCACTAATTTTTTAAATGTTATTTCTAATAAATTAGATGCATGCATCCTACCACATTTATGTTATAATAAAATAAATTGCTTCTCCGAGCCCAGTTGGATACGACCGCAGAGGTCCAACCCTGAACAGTTGGGGCAAAAATGGACACAATATTCGCGCTTGATACAGGTCTGAATTTGGAGTGTAATTAAATATTTGACACATAATAGGTTTCTGACACAGAATAACTGTAGAAATTAGAATTGGTTATATGATTTGAATTTATATTCAATTTTTTGCTTTTGTGCAATACACTATGCTGTAGCGAATTAACCCTCCCCCCCCCCCCCCCCCCATTATTTTTGCAACAACAAAAAAATATTTGAAGAAATTTTCTTTTTAATTTCTGAAATCTGAAATGAGAAAAAAATTGTCCCCCCCTCACAATTGCTTTTTTACCCCCACCCCCAATTTTTTTTCCCCTCAATCTCAACTCAAAATTCCAATGGAGTTTGCAACCATAATTACCCATTTAAATACATCATAAAAGTCTTAAAATAGAAAATTACATACATAATCATGGCTAAAATTAATATTCCTTAATCAGCATTTTTAAATAGTAACTTCTAAAAATAAATTGACAGCTAATCACCACAAGACAATACAACATTTCTTTATACATAATTTAAAAGCAGTGTAAGGGAGGTAATCCAAACATAACATTGTACTTTTTAAATTATTTTAAGATTGCCAAAGCCAATCCTAACCATCCCTTTGTGGTATGGAAACTTGTGGTATAATTTCAGAGAGATCCATACACCGTTCCACAAAGTTATTGTCTGGAAACTAGAAAAATGCTTATTTGGGCCCCTTTTTGGGCCCTAATTCATAAACTGTTAGGACTATAACCCTCAAAATCAATCCCAACCTTCCTTTTGTAATTATAAACCTTGTGTTGAAATTTCATAGATTTCTATTTACATTTACTAAAGTTATTGTCCGGAAACCAAATGTCTTTGGACGACGCTGATGACGACGACGACGTGATACCAATATACAACCGCAAATTTTTTTGCGGTCGTATAAAAATCAGTGATTTTTTAAAGTTTTTACAGTATCTTAATTTTCTTTCATAAAACTCTGCAAATCAAAATTGCTTCCAGAGATATTCAATATTGAATAGTTAAGTTACTTTCGTAATTTACTTGTAATCTGTCAGTGTTTTCAGCTTGTAATAAACATACGTTTGTATTAAACAGCAAGGTTAAATAAGGGTGGTTATATTGATAAACATGTGAAAAAACTCCTAGGCTGCTGAATATATACTGTTGCCAATTAGACCAGATTTAACTAAAACTGCATTATTAAATAATCAGATTCATGAATCGTCCTGAACATGCATGAAATATTTGCCACTGGGCATTAAGCAACCAACAATCAAATCAAGTTAATGAATCGTGAAGCACTATTCAACAATTAATCAAATTTGAATACTTTAAAAATATTTACTGCTTGATGCATTACATGTCATGTTTATAAAATTCTACACTTACTTAAAGAGCTCATATATCTCTCTCCGTGTAGCTTCAAAGGGAACATTCCTCACTAAAATCTTTGAAGTTTTAATTTCTTTCTTTGACTGTTTCTTTTTCTTCTCTACACCTGGCTGACTACAAACATGAACATATGTGTAAATATAGTTTGAATATATAATAAATAAGTCTATTGTTAGCAATTATTAATAAAATCAAAATAGTTCCATCTCTATTTGAATAATGTAATTGAGCCTATGTTTAAATGAAATAAATTTGTATATGGTGTTTGAAAGAGAGAAGATGTATTTTTTCATGACACAAAATCCCTTAATACACATTACTGATAGTAATGAGGAGCTGGTAAAAAATCAGCCATTATAATAAGTATATTACATGGTAGCTTTGTTTGAAATTTTCAGTTCTAGCTGATGACCATCCAAGTCAGTATGTTGTAAGGTTTTCATGGCCTTTTCAGCACTCTGTTTCTTCATATACTCCACAAAACCATATCCCATAGATAGAAATTTTCCTGAAAATAAACAAACATTTGGATAATAGATGAAAAGAGCTGTTCCCTTTCCTGTCCGAAAATTGGCCAAATTGATATGATGCCATGTAACCATAGTTATAGTAAATACTTTTTTCTCTTTATTTTCACAACAGTTGTATTTATAATGTGAACAACAGAAGCTTAAGGTTATACATCAACGACACAGCAGCTCAACCACACAAAGTACCTTTACACATCTAATGGATCGTCCTGAACATGCATGAAATATTTGCCACTGGACGTTAAGCATCCAGCAATCAATCACATCTAAAGGTCAACAAAGGGTCAATAATAGACAAGTGTTTATACAATTTTTCACACTCATGAAAAACCAAGAAATCTAGAAGAAGTATCCCCATTTTCTTTTTAATTCCTCAAAATAAGTTATTTCAAATAAATCATAAAATTCTAACTGTATCCACTAATTTTTATTTTCCCCACCAAATAATGTATATAAATCTATACAAAATAAAATCCAGATTCTTGTAATTCTTGAAAATGAGTAAAAAACATACAATTTTATTAAATTCAATTTTAAAATGGAAGTAGCTTTTTTTCCATGTCAGGAACATTTAAGAAAAATCTATCAATCATAAATTTTAGAGCATATCTACCAGAAGTACTTAAAATTCTAATTTATAATGAAACAAATCCAATCAATGATTAAAATTTAATTTGCACACACGATCATTTTTTTATGCTTGGTTGCTGCTCCCACATGGCAAACAAGCATAAATAAAATGCGTGTGTGGAGATTTAATTTTAATTAGATTGAAACAATTAGATTGAAACAAATCAAATTTAACTTTTACCTGGATTTTTCATATCTTTCTTTTTAGCAATGTAAGCTGCCTTTATTTTGCCACATTTCTCAAATTTCTGAAAGATAAAAAGTAAACCATAATATTAACCATAACATATATGTAAATTGATTTGTATGATGCATGAAACAGAAAACAAGATAGTCCTAAGAAGTTTTCACATTTTATATGAAATAAATTTATGTCAACTGTACTGTCTAACAACAAATGGGATATTAATTTCGAATTTTTTATGCTGTCATGTCTTGATATCTCATCTGGGTACTTTTGCTATGAACAAGACAACGAGTCTATATTTCTGTAGAGCAAAGTAATTTTAAAGACTCATTGTTGTATCAAGCATTAGGTTCAAATCAAATTATTTACTTCCTATTTGATGTATAAATAGACTGACCTGTTTAAAATCATCATCTGTTGTATCAAAGTTAACATTCTTCACAAATAATGTACTTCCTGGCTCTGCCGATTCCTCCTCTTCTTCCTCATCCTCTGACTTCTACAAATAAAAGACTAAACGTCTAGTTCATATCGCTTATATAAACATTGGAAGGAACACAAAATTAAAGCTATATCACTTTCTGCCAAATGTTTCCCTCAGGTACTTAGTTTTATTTATCCTTTCCTCAAAATTGTTACAAACATCAGATGCCTTTCAAATACAAATTAGAATGCACTAACCAGGATGTTTTCCAAATTGAGACAACTTGAAACAAACACTTTCTTAAATGAAATAATAGATGATTTTAAATGACGGACAAAAGATGCCTTATTATAGTTAAGCTTGAAATCAGAACCTTATCTCACTTTTTAACTTTTTTGGTGTGTTCACCATCTTTTTCTTACTGACCTGAGAGGGATCTTCATCCTTTTTGTCAGCTGGTTTGTCTTCCTTTACTTGCTTGAGTGGTTTTAATGCCTCTGTTGGAGCCCATTCCAAATACAATGGAACATGCTGGAACTGGATTATAAAAATAATGATTATTATTAGAATTTAAATATTGTAAATTCATAATTATTCGTGGAATGCCAATTTTCATGGATTTAGTTGGTAAAGGCGAATTTAAATGTTGAACGAAGTAAAAAAAATTATTTGTTTGTATGCAGATATTGGCAAAACCACTATTAAAATCCAATATCCACGAAAATACAATTTTTCCTCAATCCGCCAAAATTGGTACCCATAAAAATAAATCTATCCACAGTATCCAATTATATTCAAGTTACACAGAATATTAACTATTAAAGTTTCTGTCCTATGAAATCTTATTAAGTGAGCACTTTATCAACTGTATAACTAGCCAAAGATTTTTTTGGATAATTTGTAGACATGCTATGAAAATATCATGGGTGCCAAAGTACTTTATGTTCTTATGAAAAAAATTTGAAAATGGTACTTAGACAGCTTTCAAAATATATCTATTAAAAGGTGACAACAATGGGATACAACAAAAAAAGTGAACAAGTTATTTTGACTGCCACTAGAAAAGAAAGGCAGATTTACAGGTCAAGAATTTGGATATATTTTGAGCCTGGTTTTGTAAAAGAATTTTGAGAATACCTTATTGTATCTAATATTTGATCACAATCATAGATTTGATGGTTGCAGATGTCACTTACTAAGTATGAGACAATGAAATCTGTACTGATGAGTGCAAACATTGAATTGAAATATCTTATCTTTATTGCACTGAAAATAATGACTTTTAAAAAATTTACTGAAAATAATGACTTTTAAAAAATTTTGTAACTCATAAAACCTAAAAAATGCAGAATATTTCATCTGGTAGATATATATGTAATTGCTGATATAATCAAAACTAAATAAAAAAATGTTTTAGGCAATCCATTAAAAATCAAACAATTGTACCTTTTTTCACCATCAGTATACCTACTTTTGTGTATGCTAGTTTTTTATATGCCAATTTAGCTTCTGTAGGTTCAAGAAATTCGACTATAGCCGTAATACCAGATGGAGGCAATATGACTCGACCCAGTGTACCATGTTTAGAAAACACATGTTGTAATTCCTCTGACTTGGTTCCTGAAGGTAAGTTCTTCACTAATATCACTGTCTTACTTCTAGGACCATCAGCCTGTAACAGGAAACAATAATTGATAAATGTATGGATGGCTGTTTAATGTCCAGTGGCTAATTAAATGCATATTCAGGACAAGAACATGATAATGTGATATGAATGTAAACACTGCTTTGTACTAGATCGACACTCCAAGCTTCAATTATTATGTGCGTACACAAGGTATCAGTACACAAGAAGAAATGTCACACTATCCTGACACATTATTCTGACTGCTAGCTTTGCTCTTATTCTTAAAAGTCGCTTCCTTAGTGGAGAACAGCAAATATCAATTTTTAAAGTCTTTGGTTTGACCCAGCCGGGGTTAATAACAATGGAAACTACAAGAAGTTACAACCGAAACCATTCATGTATTAACCAATCTTTTGGTTTAGTCAATTCAATTCAAAATTATCCAGGGCTAATGTAAAGCAATAATTTAAACAGTGCATTAATAATTGGAAATATTTAACAATTGACAATCAAGCAAATAATAATAACTTGGGCCACTGTGCTAACTATAACTCAAGACTTCATCAATTGTATGGTAAAAATTTGACTGGTTTGACAGAATTAAAGGTGACATATCAGTTCTGATTACTAGCATAACACTGGTTCAACAGTATGTAACCTTACATATGAGTTAAGATTATTTAGAAAGTCTAACCCAGTTCGTTTTGCAAGCTATTTAACATTTTTCTAATTACAGCTATTAAATAAACAAATTGCTACACTCATGAATGTTGTAATTTTCGTGCACTGAACTTAAAGCCATTTAGAAACAACATTACTCTTTGTAGTGTATACCTTAATTAATATAATAGAGAATCCTTAACTTACTTCAAAACAAACATAACATAAGGTATTGCATTTTTTCTGGTAGACAGAAGACAGCTAAACTTTATAAAATGTCACATCAAGTATTGTTAATTCAGAAATTTATGTCTGCATTTGTTATTGCTATTGTCGAAAAATGGACAAATGCAAGATTAATTATCGTGATTTCAGGAAATGTTGCATACAAATAATGCTATCAAAATACAAAATGCAAGTTTCAATTTTTGTGAAATCTATCCTGTTGCAATTTTCGCAATATCAAAACATCGCAAAAATTTCTGAATTTACAGTTTTATGAGACCATTTAATTAGTGTAGTATGTCACCTACATATATAATTGTTTTTTTTTAAATTCTCTGTAAATCGTTAATTCTATATTAGTTACCATATATAGGTATCTTATAACTACCTGACTAAAACTATCTAATATAACACCATTATCTATTAAGAAATCTCTAGTTTCAGAGACAATCTGTGTTTCACCTAGAGCCATCCGTACACCTAAACTTCCAGATATCTCCTGTAAATAGATTTTATGTTCATATCAATTTTGTTTTAGTTCTAAAATATTGTATACAAATATAAATAAAAATTTTGAAATGTGGGTGCTCAGCAGTACTATAAGAAGCCAATAAAAATATGGAACTTTATTACATTTCATCTTAAGTTTTCAATTTGTAGCAGTTTCTGTTAATAAAGTTTTAATGTTCCCTTGCATGTTAACATTAAATAAAATGCTCCGCAGGGCGCAGCTTGATACGACCGCAGAGGTCGAACCCTGAACAGTTGGGGCAAGTATGGACACAACATTCAAGCTTGATACAGCTCTGAATTTGGATTGTGATTAAATATTTGACACAGCATAGGTTTCTGACACAGAATGAATGTGGTCTAAAAACTTTAAAATTTTAAATTGGACATTCACCTATTATGGTCCAATATCCAAAATCTAAATACATGGTTAGATTCAGCATATCAAAGAACCCAAAGAATTCAATTTTTGATGAAATCAAACAAAGTTTAATTTTGGACCCTTTTGACCTCAATGTGGACAAAGTTGATAATGGGGCCAAAAAATCAAAAATCTAAATACATGGTTAGATTCAGCATATCAAAGAACCCCATATATTCAATTTTTGTTGAAATCAAACAAAGTTTAATTTTGGACCCCGATTTGGACCAACTTGAAAACTGGGCCCATAATCAAAAATCTAAATACATGTTTAGATTCAGCATATCAAAGAACCCTAAGAATTCAATTTTTGTTAAAATCAAACTAAGTTTAATTTTGGACCCTTTGGACCTTAATGTAGACCAATTTGAAAACGGAACCCAAAATTAAGAATCTAAATACACGGTTAGATTCGCCATATCAAAGAACCCCAATAATTCAATTTTTGATGAAATCAAACAAAGTTTAATTTTGGACCCTTTGGACCTCAATGTGGACCAATTTAAAAACGGGGCCCAAAATCCAAAAACTAAATACACGGTTAGATTCAGCATATTAAAGAAACCCAAGAATTCAAGAATAAAACCCCATTGAAATTGGTCAAGAAATAAGCAATTTATACGAAGTATCTTCTTTTGCACAATACTGTGCAATTAAATATTTCTTGCTATTGCGCAATACTGTACAATTGACAATTTCTTGCTATTGCGCAATATTGTGCTATTGGATATTTCTTGCTATTGTGCAATACTGTGCAATTGAAGATTTCTTGCTATTGCGCAATACTGTGCAATTGAAGATTTCTTGCTATTGTGCAATACTGTGCAATTGAAAATTTCTTGCTATTGCACAATACTTATTATATAATAATTACACATCCTGTTTGGTGTGTATCTCCTGCCATATCATTATTATTTGCTTTTGAATATAAATCAGAAATAACCAACTTAAAATGGAAAATTTTAAAAGAAAAAAAAAAGGAAAAAAAGAAAAAAAAGGAAAAAAAAAATCCCCCCCCAAATTTTTTGAACCCCCTTATGATTCATCACCCCCAAACTCAATCCCAGCCTTCCCTCTGTGGTATGGTACCTTGCAGTACAATTTCAGAAAGATCCATACACTTACACACAAGTTATTGTCCTGAAACTGGAAAGATGCTTGTTTTTTGCCCCTTTTTGGCCCCTTGTTCCTAAAATATTGAGGCAATTACCCCCATCATCAATCCAAGCCTTCCCTTTGTGGTATGGTACCTTGCAGTACAATTTCAGAGAGATCCATACACTTGAACACAAGTTATTGTCTGGAAACTAGAAAAATGCTTATTTTTGGCCCCTTTTTGGCCCCCAATTCCTACACATTTCGGCAATTACCCCCAAACTCAATTCCAGCTTTCCCTTTGTGATATGGAACCTTGTAGTACAATTTCAGAAAGATCCATACACTTACACACAAGTTATTGTCATGAAACTGGAAAAATGCTTGTTTTTTGCCCCTTTTTTGGCCCCTAATTCCTAAAATTTTGAGGCAATTACCCCAAAAATCAATCCCAGCATTCCTTTTGTGATATGGAACCTTGTGGTACAATGTCAGAGAGATCCATACACTTACACACAAGTTATGTCTGGAAGTAACAAAAATGCTTATTTTTGGCCCCTTTTTGGCCCCTAATTCCTTAACAATGGGTACCATAACCTCCAAAATCAATCCCCACCTTCCTTTTGTGGTATTGAACCTTATGGTAAAATTTCAATGAGATCCATTCACTTAAACTAAAGTTAGAGTGCGAAAACCAATGTGTCTTCGGACGACGCCGGACGACGCCAGACGACGACGACGACGCCAACGTCATACCAATATACGACCACAAAAATTTTTTTGCGGTCGTATAAAAATCCAATGTGTAAAATTCATTGCAGTCAATATTAGTCCAACACTGATTTTACATCAAGTTCCTTCTTCAAGAGAAATAAATAATTATTATTACCATCTAAAGAAGGTAACACATAGGTTTATGACCATGTTTTCATATTATAGGAGAAGATACAACAGGGATCATATTTGGCAAAATTTTTATTCAAATTCAAAAGTTACAATATATGATTTGTTTGCCTTTCAAATTTGTTTCAGAATAAATATTTCGGAAAATATAAATTTAACAACAGATCAGTTATAAAGGTAGCACAATACAAAGATTTTTTCACCCCTACTCAGCCAACTTTAAACTGATGTAATTGCTTTCATCCAGCTCTAAAATTCATAAATGAGGAACCAAAAGGAAGAAGAAAGATTAATCTTTCAAATTGTGATAATTTCATTATTACATAATTATTACATAATTGATTATTATGTAATTAGTTGCAAGGTTTCGGATGTCCACATTTGAATGAAATTAGCTTCTTTGTTATTTATAGCATCCAAAAATTTTAGTTTGACCTTCAAAACCGTGTCCCAGAATTTTTCCTATTGTATTTCATTCTCTCATAACCCTTCAATTAAGTTTGCAAACGTATTTCATAAGAAATCACTCAATTTAATTGGGTATAAAATTTGTTCTATTGATGTTTTTGGAAATCTGAGACACGGTTTTGAAAATAACTGGTCAAGGAACAACATGTGGTAAAATCAGGCATATAGGGGCACCCGTCTAGGAGCTTATTTCATTTAAAACTACATTTTCATGACGAAAATGTATGTGTCACAATTGAATAAATAAGGATTTTCCTATTTGAACCTCATTAACTTCAATATCATTCACACATGTACCATGGGGATACTTCAAGATTGGCCTTTACTCATAAATCAATTAGGTTTTGACAAGTAAGAAATCATTCCATTTTAGCAATTCTAAATATATAAAGAAAATGCACACCATATGCATCAAAAACCAGATCTGGCGGGAGAATTTATATCATTATTGACCTTGCTGTAAGTCAGTTGCTACTGATATGGTCAAAACTCCCCCCACCTGGATAAACATCAACCATTAATGATCTTAGAAGTTTAATTACACATTGCATTTCCTTTTTTCAATATGGATTTTTTATTCAATTAGTACATGAAACAATATATTTTGTTTTTAACATTTTCCTAAAAAGTAAGTTATGCATGTGTACATAAAATCATCAGTTGGTCAGTCTAGAGGATTCTTATGGGGGATTTCTAGAATTATAATTGTATACAATGAAAATGTGGTGTTTTACACAAAGTAGAATTTTCTATTTTTGTAGTTTGAAGATAAAATATTTAATTTGTGTTTTCTTTTAAAAAGAATTCATATTTACACATTCTCCTTAAGAAAATCTGATATAACCATTGATCAGCATTAATATCAGCAACATTAATTGTTGTACAATTATCTTTGTTTAATATATGTACATTTATATTTGATTCCCTCTATAGCTCCAAATCATTTTTTTGTTTTTTTCTCCTGGCAGCTCCAATATAGAAATGTATTTTTATTTGGATTTCATTATCTTCTTTCTTCTAAAAACTCAGAATTCAACCTCTTTTCTATGACTGTTAATTTTATAGCTGGTCAGTGGTCATAAAGCTTACAAATGATTCTATCAATTAACCACAAAGTACTGCCCACATGTTCTTATTTGTATCAGTCAGACACATGCATTTGTTTATAAAACTAATTATCATCAAAACTCATTAACAGTGCAAGATATGGAAACATTTTTTCTTCTATGGTTTTGTAATATTAAGAAGTAACAAAAACAGCTGAAAATGAAATTTTGATAAAATTTAGTTGCTTTTGTATTGTGTTACCTTAAAAAGGCAACAAACCATGATGACATTTTTTATATTATCAATTATCGAATACTCATTTGAAAAATAATCACATTTTTTATATTATCAATTATCGAATACTCATTTGAAAAATAATTATCGAATACTCATTTGAAAAATAATCCCATTTTTTATATTATCAATTATCGAATACTCATTTGAAAAATAATCACATTTTTTATATTATCAATTATTGAGTACTCATTTGAAAAATAATCACATTTTTTAAGAAATCTGGTGTTGTAAATAGTAATGCCTTTAAAGCCATAGAATTTTATGTATAAAAATATCTTAGACAACAATATTTTTTGTGTTTGTGCTTGTTAAAAAGTCAGTATATAATAGAAAAAACTTACTGCATCTAGAATTTGACTCTTTTCTGTTCCATATTTTTGTGCCATCACATTAGCAACAGCATTTGCACCCATAAATAATGTATTCCAGTTGTGAGAGCTGATAAGATAAATTTAAAACTACAATTCTTATATTCTTTTTTGTCTTGTAAATCAGATTCATTCAAAATACTCTGACAATTTGCTGCAAGAAAGTTTTTTATGTTTTATATGAATTCAATTTTAACAGCTTATTTATAATAAGACACCGAGAATGGGTCATGAATAATTATACATGTCTATGTATGTTCACCTCTTTTTTTATAAATGAAGAAAGCTCTGAGGTGACAGTCAGCAATTATCAATTAATCAAACAATCATAAGTGAGAATGGTTCACACACACTTGCTACCATTGCAATATGTTTGCATAAAATAATTGACAAAATCTAAATATGTTACAACTTTTGTCTCCCTTGAAAAGAGTTCCTACAAGGTTGTCTCCTTTGAAAAGAGTAGCTACAAGGTTAAAGAAATCAACAGGCAACATTAATTAACACAAGAAGCTCAAATTATTACACCTATTTTCCTAATGCTTGTAGTTAAAAGGTTTGGTTGGCTTGCTTGCTATGTTTGTATAAATGTTTGCTCAAGCATTGTAATTAGAATGACATCTGCAATCAATAGATAGGCGGGGCTTCAGCTTGTATACATTATACTCTGCATTATACATAAGATACAATAACATTTAAGTATAAGCTTGAGCAAACATTTATAAAAACAAAGCAAGCAAGCCAACCAAACGTTTAAACTACATGCATTAGGAAAATAGCTCTAAAAGTAAATATAGTTTTGTATAATGAGGTTACTAATGCTGTGCTGTTACACCACTGGCCCACGTTAAGGGAGGGTTTAGCACTCTCAAACCTGTTCAATATGTCAAATTATTTATATTCTCTCCCAAGTCATGAACCCTTATGTCTGTCATTATTGCTATTGGCTTAAATTAGGCAGATAGTTTACTCTTTTCAATGTTTCTCATTTTTCCCCCCACCTTTAGTAGCTTACTTTATAGAATAGGTTTAGCGTATTGTTGAAGGCTGTACGGGTCTTTCGGTGGATGGTTGTCTCATTTGCAACCATACCATACGTCCTTATTCTGGAATTCATTTGATTTATTCTGCTATAATAGTACCTACCTGCCAGCCATGGCTTTCTGTTTTGCCTGTTTTTGTGTTTTAAAAGATGAACCTTCTGAAATAATATTTTTTTAAACATTTATTAAGAGCTAATCAAATTGATCAAATTAGTTACCAAATGCTAAAGGGAAATCTGTATAGATACATATTAAGCTCTAATGTGATTTTTAACACAGTCTTTTAAACAATGCTAAGGTTGATTACATATTCAATGCTGGTGTGGAAGGGTTTAAATTGCAGCAGTTTCACTTTCTGTGTTAGTTAGTTACAAATCTTCTGTGTTGAATATATAAAGTGGCCATTTTTTTCTTGATGACTCTGTCTACAATTTCTTCTATTCTTAATGTGATATTTGTTTTGTTTGTGTATTTTCCAAAAGCTCTGTGAACATGGAATTAACTGTCAAACTGGTTCAGCCATTTGATGGTGAGTTATCTACTCAAATGTAATTCTTTCCATATCCTTTAGTTTGTGTTTTTAGCTTCAAACATTGCAGTGCAACCTTTTTTGTTAATATATTGGAGGGAATCGAGGTGCAACAGCATTAAATTCAATCGTTTATGGTGTTTAAAAATTATTTTTATGCACTCATACAATTAACCTGAGAATATAATCAAGAATCACAAAAAGGTTTCAACTGAAAAATACTTCAACGAACCAATATTTGAAGTGCATCATCAATTTTTTTTTTTTAGAAAATGACTGACGTGACTTTAGTAGAAGTCTCCTATGGACACTGTATGTCTGCCAGCCACCTACACCGAACATCTCATGTTGCATTATTAAACGTGTGTAAAATGTTAAGTATGTTTTTGTTACAAATACTATAAAATGCAAACCTGATGCAGCAGTTTCTTCATCTTCCTTTGATTTGGCTGGTAAAATATGTAGCATCCTCCCCTATAAAAAAAAGGATACATTGAGAACTCATGATGCTAAACATTTTTTTATCTTTGTGAAATTTTTTTAATCTATATCTGGTGAAAAACAACGGACTTCAGTCTTTAGTTTTCTATGTTTTGTTTTGTGTACTGTTGTTTGTCTGTGTGTCTTTTTCTTTTTAGCCATGGCGTTGTCAGTTTATTTTCGACTTATGAGTTTGAATGTCCCTTTGGTATCTTTCGCCTCTCTTTCAATATCCTTTTGAATAAAGAAAATTATATCAAGCCAAATGTCAACTAAAATGTTCCAGTAAAGTAAATAAGTTCTAAGATACCTACCCTCCCCATAATCAACATCCACCAATAAAGACTATTTTACTAAGATTATTTCAGTCACTGTAACTAAATCAATTTTCTACCCTACAGATCCTGAGTTGAAATTGAATTAAATATGGTATCCCAATTACTGCTTCATGTGACTGAAGAATACATGTTCACAAACTGTTTACTCTGTTATCATAAACTAAATCTTTATATATACAAATTCAAAGTTTAAGGACCTTTTACCAGAGAAAGAGATAAAATCACAGACTTACCATAAAACTGGTTCCATCAAGAAATGTAAAAGCTCTGACAGCATGTTCAGGCATCATATATGTTATAAAGGCAAACCCTTTCAGTTTCTTGGTTAAAGTATCTATTGGTAAGTGTGTTTCTGTCAAAGGACCTATCAAAATAAAATATTTATAAAAATGAAGGAAAATAAAAAGAATGATTTTCATGCTTACATGTTCATTGACATGTCCAAAAGTAAAATTTTGGATAATGCTATAAAAATATTCTAAAATGTATCACTATAAATGAATATAAGATTTCATATAGAGTAAAATCTTTAAAAAAAATCATTAGTTGTGACAGTTAATAAAGTTGACAGTTATAAGCTAAAATGTTTAGGTACTAAATTCTTTAACTTATATCTTATATCTTGAACCTTAAGAATAGTTTTGAAGTAAAATGTCTTACCAAACTTTGAGAATAATGCTTCAATATCTTCATCCTTACATATGTATGGCAGGTTTCTCACAAACAATCTGCCAGTCTGCAATGCAGAAAATATATACCTATAGTAACAAGAGGTTCCAATATTTTGATCAGACATCTTTGCAAACTAAAACTTAACCTATGATTACAGATTTCATCTCCTAAATCCATTGCTTACATATTAATATGGATATAGTTCTATATTCAACCTATGCATAGGAATTATTTTGTTTTAAATATGAACTACTTTCCAGTATGTTCTTTTTTGACTGTGCCTGATTTGTTGGTGTTACAACTTAAAAAGTCTTATCCAAATTATTTTGCAAAGAATTCTGCTCAAACCTGTGCTAGGGCAGTCTCAGACTTGCAGTGAGGTGATAGTTTTTTTGCTCCGTGTATGAAGGCCTCACTGAGACTTTGAGATGAAAAACAGCAATAAAAGCGCTGTTCCTTTGCTTTTTGTATGTTTTTTTGTTGTGCATTTACTGACTTTGTGTCATGGATGGATACCCCATATCCTTTGTTTTTTCTATTAAAACATATCAGATAACCATAAATCTCTCCACATACTAAAAATCACCTCAATATGTGAAGACGTTTAGAAAAAAAGTCTGTATTACTGTTATTTTCACAAAATTTTTATTGTCTAAAGCCTGTTATTTCAGGAAATAAATGGGGAATGTGTCCAAGGGACACCGATGATGCCCTCGCTTGCATATCATATAAAGTTATAAAGGGACATAACTGAAGAACGGTAAAAGTGACGCTACCCAAATTTGTTATTGATCTGAGTTTTGTTGTATAAGTGTATAAGTTTCATAACATTTGATTGAGGCAAACTTAAGTTTGAGAATGGACACAAAAATTCAGCAATTTTTCCTTTTGTAAAGGGGCATAACTCTAGAAGGGTTAAAGTGACACCACCAAAATTCAAACTTGATCTGTATTTTGTGGTAATAAGCATTGTGTATAAGTTTCATAACATTTGGTTGAGGTAAACTAAAGTTAGAGAATGGTAATGAAAAATTCAGCAATTTTTCCATTTGTAAAGGGGCATAACTCTAGAACGGTTCAAATAACACCACCAAAATTCAAATTTGATCTGTATTTTCTGGTAATAAGCATTGTGTATAAGTTCATAACATTTGGTTGAGGCAAACTAAAGTTAGAGAACGGAAACAAAAAATTCAGCAATTTTTCCATTAATTTTTCCGTTTGTAAAGGGGCATAACTCTAGAACAGTCAAAGGGACGCCACCAAAATTCAAACTTGATCTGTGTTTTGTGGTAATAAGCATTGTGTATAAGTTTCATAACATTTGGTTGACGCAAACTTAAGTTAGAGAACGGAAACCAATTTTGGGACGTACATACAGACGGACAAGGGTAAAACTTAATGCCCTCTCCGCTACGGCGGGGGCATAAAAAGTCCTTATAACTGTTTGTTTTGGAATGACAGAATGACAGATAAGGGTTAAACGATATGGCATCAACCACTTTGTGGCAGGGCCATAAAAAATGTTTTTACATGTTAAAAGAGTAAATTGGCAGCTAGTTAACACCTAAGATATAAATATTTCACAAAGTCCTAAAGAAAGCTTCTGTAAAAAAATAACTTACATCTGCAATGGCTGCTTCAGATTCTGCTGTTTCTTGCCTCTAAAATTATTAATAACTATAATATCAAAAATGTATAAAATAACATAGCTTTAAACTACTTTGTAGTTGTGAAGTAACAGATAATATGCACTGAAATTCAATTAAACAATAACTTATTCTTATTCAGAAAGCAATGGTACTACAACAGCATCTGCAAGTTTGAAGATAAATAGAAATTTATCTGAAACACTTAAATGTATAAATAGTAAAAACATATTTACCTGAAACACTTAAATGTATAAATAGTAAAAACATATTTACCTGAAACACTTAAATGTATAAATAGTAAAAACATATTTACCTGAAACACTTAAATGTATAAATAGTAAAAACATATTTACCTGAAACACTTAAATGTATAAATAGTAAAAACATATTTACCTGAAACACTTAAATGTATAAATAGTAAAAACATATTTACCTGAAACACTTAAATGTATAAATAGTAAAAATATATTTACCTGAAACACTTAAATGTATAAATAGTAAAAATATATTTACCTGAAACACTTAAATGTATAAATAGTAAAAACATATTTACCTGAAACACTTAAATGTATAAATAGTAATAAATATATCATATGTGTTCATTTTATCTGTTATTGACTGAAAAGGCATTAATTGAAATGAACTTACGAAAAAAAAACATTAAATTTTGCTCACCTGTTTCTCAAGATCTACAGAAGGTGCCTGAATTTCTGTTACATCGTCAACAGTGTCTTCTTTCATCTTCTTCAGCAGTATCCTCTTACCACCTTAAATAAAGTGAATGTTATGTTGATGGTACTATAACTCAAGATTTAAATGCATGTATCTATTGAGGTTTACAATACAAGATCGTGAGAATAATTCTAAGGAGATTTCTTGCACATGTAGAATATTACTGGTAAAATTAACAAACACAAGTCTGAACTAGAGAGAAGTGAATAAACCTTTACTTATTTATAAAAAATCTATCAACCAACACAACTATTCATATATTTATGATCCAAAACAGACAAACATCATCACTATATAATGTTCAACCCTCATTATTGCTGACAATCAACATTTCTCAGTGGTTAAAAACACCTTGTATAATTCAAAAGAACAATTTGAAGTTGTTTTAAAGCTGATGACACCACTGGCTAGAACTATATCTATTTAAATGTTTGTTTAAATGGTATTGAAAGAAATATTAACATGTTCACTATTCCATTGCAGTGGGAAATCTAGTGACAAAATATTACCTCCCCTGTAAATATTGAAAACTAGATCTTTTCAATATTTGTCCCATTTTAGCAAGGACGCTATCAATTATGGATTCGCGGGAAAACGTTCTGGTAAATAGTAAAAATAGAAATAAGTTGAAATAAAAACAAAACTTCCATTCAATGTTATCATTTCCCTCCTAAATTAGCAAACGAAGAGTACAGCAGGCTATAGAAGCTTGATGTAAAATTGGTTTAAAATGTTGCTATGCGAATAAATTCCTGGAGTACCAACTTCAATTTATTTTTCTACTGGCTGTATACCTTTCTGGAACATGCTAATTATCCGAATATATATACAGCTAGATCAGAGAAAGTCGGGGAAAATCTTCCAAAGGAATTGATTGATATGCAGCAAAGATTGGCACTTTTGAAAGTAAGTTACTAAGCAATTCAAACGGACCTTATCTCGATGTAAACATTGAATGTGAATAGATCGAGAAGACTGCAAATACATGACAACCTTTTCTTAAAATTGTATAAAAAATAGTAGAAAGATACCTACTTTATAAAAATAGTTATCTTAAGTTTCTTAACCTGCACAGACAGACTTTTAAATTTTTATATTCACAAATAGACAATATTTCTCTATTAAATGTACATGTGACAAGAGCAGACCAGTGTGCTCGATGTAAAATAAGTATACTTTGGGAACTTGTAACATGCTAAGGACTTTGTGGAACACTCCAAAAATTGGTGACCCGAAAGATCCTTTGATTTTGTATGTTCATGATTTTTTCCAATTTTTTTTATCAATATGCAGCAAAGATAGGCAGTTTATAAATTTAAGTTTCACATGCTTCTAATGCAATTATCTCAATAAATACTGAACATAAAACATTGTGTATTTGCATGTATATTTCTAATAACACAGTTTAACAATTAATTTATTTAAAATAAACAATTATTATTTGGAAATAACTTTTGATCAGTATCGTCACCGGCATTGTTTTATTATTGACTTTCTCTACTCTACCATAAGAAGAGTGATTTTTCTTTTGTTTTTCGTTCACTGGATATCCCACTGATTGCTAAATAGTAATACATATACACTCTTCATCAGTTGAAAATTTTGGATTATACAATATTGGTTTGTGTTCAAATGTGTGGTTAAAATACTGGAACATTTCTACAATACTGTATATGAGAAAATACTGTTGACATATAAAAAAAATTCAAGAAGAACAAGTCATGCAGAATTATTCCCTATATATAACTTAATTACCTATAAACAATTTATTTTTTCTCATGGCCTCATCCCATTCCTTTTCTGTACTGAAGTCAATAAAAGCTACACCTACAAAATACAATGTAGAAATGCAACAAACCTATGAAGTATGAAGATCTGTCTGAAAAAGTAAACAAAATCATCCCAATGTTAAGTATGGCAGTGTAAAATGCCTCAGACATCCAAATTTCCCATCTTTTATTTCTTGAATAGCCCAAAACATATATGTTCAGGATTTTTGAGTAAAAAATATATTATACAAAATTTAAATTTAAGTGCAAAAGATTTTTTTTTGTTTAGCGTGTAAGCAACTTTTTTGTTTTTATCAAAGTAAAAGCAACAGTCTGCGACTGTAAAGAATATCATTAATTATTCATCTAAAACATTTAAAACCCCAAAGTTTCATATAATTCCTTTCGTTCAGAGATTGAGATTATTCAAAGAGAAAACATTGTAGTAATAACACTCATATTTTAACTGAAACACATACTCTATAAACTTGATCATTAAATGTTTTTACACAAATTACCTAATGGTTTCTTCTTTGCATTCTTAGGTATTCTTACACCAATCGGTTCAAGTGGCTGGAAAAACTCTCTTATCATTTTCTGAAAAATCATAATGTGCTATTTAATGCTTAACAATTAAGAATTCATCAGAAATTATGATGTACCAATTTAAATATTATTAACTTTATTGAAAGTATTAAATATTTAAACAAGACTCTCTAACTCTCATTTATAATTTTCAATTTAAGGGGAGTTGATACAGTTTCAGGGGAGATAACTACTAATGCTATAATGAACGTTCAATGTCCAGTTGTTACTAGTTTTGTTTATGATGATGTCACAATAACGGAATCTAATCTTCTAGACTAGAAATCTGAAAAATGTGTGCATAAGATTATTCATTGATTGAGTTATAAAAGAAATGTTTTGTTGTTTTCAAATGAAACAGAGGACAAATTTTCGTTTTTCTTGTCAGAATTATTGCCTATTTGACACTTCATTTGGAATTTATATCAATGATGAAAGTGGTACATTCATTTTAATATAGTCAAACTAATATAAAAGAACATCATTTCAATGACCCCTTCTGTTGCACAAAGAATTATTAATTTCATGTCACATATAGTTCTTTACAGCAGCACTAACCTCATCAACATAACCAGTAAATCCTCTTAACTTTATCACATACTTCTGTTTGACTGGTTCCTTGTCATCCTACAAAACACATTCAAACTATAAATGAATCATCAATAAAACGCTTGAACTGTATCTAAAATTTCTTCTTACTGGTGACTTTGATTGCAATTTTATCAAGATCTATTAAAAAAATTCTTGCAGAAATCAAAATTTCCCAAGGGAATGTATAATTGATATTGAAAAGTATCAGCCATAAACAACAATGTGAACTTTTTTGGTTAATAAATGCAACCAATAAATACTAGCTTCACATTGCATTTAGCTGCTGATATTTTACAATACCTATCCACAGAAAATCCAATTATCTGCTTACAATACTGGTCTTTTTTCCCTTTCCTTAGACAGTTTTATCCTTGGTTGTACTAACAAAAATAATCTTTAGAAATTGTCCCCTCATATTGAGTCATCACTGGTATTTTCTCCTCACACATTGTGATGTCCATGATAAGTTCTACTCATGTCTATAAGCTCTGATAAGAGAATTAAGGAGCAACTGAGCAGGGTAACATAGGCACAAGGAAGCACGATAAGTGTAATAAAATGCTTCGCTGAGCACAGCCTGATACGACCGCAGAGGTCGAACCCTGAACAGTTGGGGCAAATTTGGACACAATATTCAAGCTTGATACTGTCTGAATTTGGATTGTGATCAAATTTTTGATACTAAATAGGTTTCTGACACAAAATAAATGTGGTCATAGATCTTACAAATCTATTGCGCAATACTGTGAAATATAAGGTTTCTTCTTTCTTCTTGAAGCTTTTCAAAAATTTGAAATTTGTAAAAATTTTGAAAACAAAATATGAAGCCCTTAAAAAAATTGGAACCCCCCACCATTTTGAATCCCTCCTTGGAGCAATTACCTCCAAACTCAATCCCAGCCTTTCCCTTGTAGTATGGAACCTTGTAGTACAATTTCAGAGAGATCCATTCACTTAAACAAAAGTTATTGTCTGGAAACTAGAAAAATGCTTGTTTTTGGCCCTTTTTTGGCCCCTCATTTCTGCATGTATGGGACAATTACCCCCAAACTCAATCCCAGACTTCCCTTTGTGATATGGAATCTTGTGGTACAATGTCAGAGAGATCCATACACTCACACATAAGTTATTGTCTTGAAACTACAAAAATGCTTGTTTTTGGCCCCTTTTTGGCCCTTAATTCCTAAACTGTTGGCACCATAACCCCCAAAATGAATCCCAACCTTCTACTTGTGGTATTAAACATTATGGTACAATTTCAGAGCAATCAAAATACTTACACACAAGTTATTATCCTGAAACTAGAAAAATGCTTGTTTTGGGCCCTTTTGGGCCCCTAATTCCTAAATGGTTGGGACCATCATCCCCAAAATCAATCCCAACCTCCCTATATTGGTATTGAACCTTCTTAAAAAATTTCATAGAGATCCATTCATTTAAACTAAAATTATTGTCCGGAAACCAAATGTGTCTTCGGACGACGACGCAGACGACGACGACGACACCATACCATTATACGATCCCAAAAAAATTTTTGCGGTCATATAAAATTAGAATTATATATTACATGTATCACAAGCATTAGTTACATGTAAATGCACCAACTTAACTTACATTTGCAATGACTGCTTCTGTTTTCAGTGTGAGAAACTCTTCATCATCACTATCAGACTTGTCATCTTTATCTTCACTTTTAGATTTGTTATCTTTATTAACCTTGTCATCTTTGTCACTGCTGTCACTGGTGTCACCTTCATCATCACTGTCACTGGTGTCACTATCACTGTCACTGTCACCGTCCTTGTCACTGGTGTCACTGCCACTATCTTCTTCTTCCTTGTCACTGTCATCAGAATCACTCAATAAATCCTTGTCGGCCATTTTAGATTTCAAGTACTGCAAAAGCCATGTAATGTTTTTCTATATAACTTTTATTTGTAAATCAAAGCTTTTGTTATACAAATCATTTATACACTACAAAGGTAAATTGCTTGAAAAACGTATCAATTATTCTGAAGGTATTTGACTTTTGTTTAACAAATCTGAAGAATTATGGTAAAAATGTTTATGAGTACTAGAGTAAAAAGCAAGAAGATTGACTTATTGATTGTTGGTGTTTTAAAGTCACTTTCAGCACTAATGGCTATATTGTGGGGATCTGTTTTTATTCATTGAGGAAGCTGGGTAGTCTGGAGAGAACCACTTACCTTTGACAGGAAAACTGACAATCTAAGTCAATTTAGATTTGAGTCGAAACCTACCTGCCATGTGTGGGTTTTAACTCCCAACCTTAGCATTGATAGGCTAGTGAACTACTGATAACACTCTGCCACTGAGGCCCCAGAAAAAGCAAGAAGAAAGGAATGCTTCTGATGAAGATTTAATAAATGAAAAAAAAAATTGCCAATTTTGAACTATAATTGATGAAGTATCCATCTTCTCTATCGTCACTGGAGATCAATTTTCTGTAAATGATTGTGAAGAACATGTTAAATTACATATAAAAATGCAATTGTTTGTAGGACAAAATCTTCCCTATATTCTTCACAGATTTTTTTACAGACTTACATCAAGATCAGACATTTTCTTTGGACTGTCTTCATCTGTTTTATCAACTTCCATCTCTGTTGAAAAAACACAACAAAAAATCAAAATACTCATCAACACTATGTGGTTGTTATGTCTTATATAGTAATTGAAATCAACATTCAATTTGATTTTTTACTTTACGTCCATTTGATATGGATATAACCCTTGGCAGGTTAAAACCAGACTCTAAAATTGATATGTGCTACTTCTTCACTAAACACATAGAATTAAGGAGTAAAAGCAAAAGCTGCATGCTCTTGATCTAAATAAAATGCCCCAATTTGGTGACTTGCTTCTTACAGATTGATACTTTATAAGCAAGCAGGTCAAAATTGCAGCCCAACATGTCAACCCAGTACAAATAAGGTCACATTCACATTACATTAACATTTTTTATAGTTCTGAATATGCATATCACATTCAATTAACACAATATTTTATTTTCTTAAGGATGTAGTTAGGTGAAATTAAAAAAATCTAGAATTTAAAACTGATACTATTAGTAAGAAGACCATTAGTAAAGGAATAAAATAAGCTAAAAATATTGATAGGTTACGGAACTCCTTATTGCGATATTTGATTTTTTTCAAATGGCGGGAAAAGGCTGACTTGGACTTTTATCGTATATTTAGCATTGGCATTATTTGGGTCTCAAATCGTAAGAAAAAAATCTAGAATCTGCTTAAATTTTGGTAATGACCTTTATGAGTTATTGAAGTCTTCTATGAAAAGAAAAGTGGGTGATATGAGGCAAAATATTTTACCCTGTATCGTAGGAAAAAACCCAAGGAGTCCAAACATCTGACAAATAATCATAAACCTGACCTGAGTACACCCTTAAAGTGCACAAATGAAAAATATACAACAGAAACATAGGGATTTGGAAACAAGATAAACTTATATATATAACATTTGATACAAGACCTTAAGGAGGAACCATCAAGGAACATTGTAATCATATTAGTGTGTAGAAAGTTTTGTCATTATTGTTTATCCAATCAAAGATGATATTTACCAGTACCTTCAACACCACTGTCAGAATTCTTCTCGTCATCACTGCTGTCTGATTCAGTCTTTTTTGTTGTCGTGGTAACTATCTCATCATTGTTCCAGATTTGTTTTTTCCCACCTTTCATATGAGCATCAAGAAATTCTTCAAATTTTGGATCATCTTTTAACTGAAAAAGAAGTATATTGTAATGCATTGAAAACAGTTTGAAGTGTAGCAAGTATACCATCATGAATGTGAAGAAAAGTACACAAAAAACAAAAAATATTGAAATATTTTAGAAGTGATACCTTTGGAAAGCAATTTTCTCATGGCTCCTGTCATGGTGATTTAAAGACTGCTATCACATCATTAGCATGTTTAGATTTTTGATTTTTTTATGTTACTGGTCGTTGTAAATGTCGATTAGGTTGCAATGTTTTGAATTGAATAAATTTGCTTATGTAATGCACACAACTGCCGAGCTTATATAAAACTGAGATATATGTGTTGCATAGTGTATACTTTTATTTAATTGATTTTGAATTCTTACAAGATTTCTATCTTTCCCTTAATGTGTTTTACACGTATTTGGGTGGTTCTTATTTTTTTCTATATTGTGTTTGGCATCTTTGTATTGAGTGTTTGTAATATTTGGTATATTTGTGTGTTCAGCCATGTTTGTTGATGTGTTGATGTATAAAATCTCTGGATACAATCTGAAAACTAGATACCCTAAGGGACATTCAAGCAAAGTTTGGTAACATTTGGCCCAGTAGTTTTAGAGGAGTAGATTTTTTAAAAAGTTTACGACAATGATAGATGCAAAGTAATGGTAAAGCTTACATGACCTTTTAGGCCAGGTGGGCTAAAAAGGTGATAATACAAATTTACATTATAAACAAGAGGCTGTCAGAGTGACAGCAAACCGGATTTTCCTGCAGAGGTCGAACCCTAAACAGTTGAGCAAGTATGGCCACTACATTTAAGCTTAAAACAGCTCTGAATTTGGATTGTGATTGAATATTTGACACAGCATAGGTTTGTGACACAAAATGAATGTGGTTTAAGAACTGAAATACTTGAAATTGGACATTTAAATACCTATTATGGTCCAATATCAAAAATCTAAGTACATATTAGAATCAGCATATCAAAGAACCCCAAGAATTCAATTTTTGATGAAATCAGACAAAAGTTTAATTTAAGACCCTTTGGACCTCAATGTGGACCAATTTGATAAAGGAGCCCACAATCCAAAATCTCTCAATACATGGTTAGATTCAGCATTTCAAAGAACCCCATAAATCATTTTTTTGTTGAATCAAACAAAGTTTAATTTTGGACCCTGATTTGGACCAACTTGAAAACTGGGCCCAAAAATCTAATATTTAAATACAGGTTTAGATTCAGCATTTGAAAGAACCCTATATATATTTAATTTATGTTGAAATGAAACACAGGTTAATTTTATCCATAATATTTTATGTGCAAAGGGAAAAAACTCAAACTGGATAAATAGTTCTCTAAAATAAGATATGATGCAATTTTTCAAATTATAATCAATAATATAATAACAACAACCAGTGATGACTAAGTTCTCTAAAATTAGATATGATTTAACACTCAAACATTGCTAGAATCAGCATATCAAAGAACCAAAGAATTCAATTTTTGATGAAATTAATCAAAAGTGTAATTTAGGACCCTTTGGACCTCAATGTGGTATTATCTTATTAATAATGAAAAGAAATACAGGTTTAGATTAAGCATTTCAAAGAACCCTATATATATTCAATTTATGTTGAAATCAAACACAGTTTAATTTTGGACCTCAATTTGGACCAACTTGAAAACTGGGCCCAAAATCAGATATCTAAATATATGTTTATTAATAGACAATATAAGCTTAGTTTTTAAAGAAGTTTACTTCATCAAAAAAAAAAATATGTATAGCATTCAGAAAATTAGTTTTTACAGAATAACAAACAAACTTGCCACAAAATTCTACAGACAATTTACCAAAGAAAAGAAGAAAAACATCCAAAATTTTATTTATCATTAATACAATGTCATTTCAAAATCTATAAAACTTATCAGTAACAAGAAATAATTGTAACAGAATGCTGTTACGATGTCTCCCAAACAAAGCTCCAATAATTCGTCATTCCCATTGTCGCTTGACATTGGGCAATGTCCAGTACAAATTGGTTTATGATATGCATTAGTGACGCCTATGGATTGACCCTGTATGTCATTCAAATCTTCTTGAAATTACGAACAGGAATTTATATGGTTTAGGGGTGGAGATCTCGACCGTTTACAAGTTCTCAAACAGGAAGGGGTGCGGGTGACCCCAGGGGACTTGCCTTTTATTTTTTATTTGATTTGTTTTATTGTCCCATACAAGAATATATATAGTTTCAGGGTGTGGATCTTGACCGTTTACAAGTTTTCAATAAAATGCTCCGCAGGGCGCAGCTTGATACGACCGCAGAGGTCAAACCCTGAACAGTTGGGGCAAGTATGGACACAACATTCAAGCTTGATACAGCTTTGCATTTGGATTGTGATTAAATATTTGACACAGCATAGGTTTCTGACAAAGAATGAATGTGGTCTAAGAACTTAAAAATTTTAAATTGGACATTCACCTATTATGGTCCAATATCCAAAATCTAAATACATGGTTAGATTCAGCATATCAAAGAACCCCAAGAAATCAATTTTTGATGAAATCAAACAAAGTTTAATTTTGGACCCTTTTGACCTCAATGTGGACAAAGTTGATAACGGGGCCCAAAAATCAAAAATCTAAATACATGGTTAGATTCAGCATATCAAAGAACCCCATATATTCAATTTTTGTTGAAATCAAACAAAGTTTAATTTTGGACCCCGATTTGGACCAACTTGAAAACTGGGCCCATAATCAAAAATCTAAATACATGTTTAGATTCAGCATATCAAAGAACCCTAAGAATTCAATTTTTGTTAAAATCAAACTAAGTTTAATTTTGGACCCTTTGGACCTTAATGTAGACCAATTTGAAAACCGAACCAAAAATTAAGAATCTAAATACACGGTTAGATACGGCATATCAAAGAACCCCAATAATTCAATTTTTGATGAAATCAAACAAAGTTTAATTTTGGACCCTTTTGACCTCAATGTGGACAAAGTTGATAACGGGACCCAAAAATCAAAAATCTAAATACATGGTTAGATTCAGCATATCAAAGAACCCCATATATTCAATTTTTGTTGAAATCAAACAAATTTAATTTTGGACCCCGATTTGGACCAACTTGAAAACTGGGCCCATAATCAAAAATCTAAATACATGTTTAGATTCAGCATATCAAAGAACCCTAAGAATTCAATTTTTGTTAAAATCAAACTAAGTTTAATTTTGGACCCTTTGGACCTTAATGTAGACCAATTTGAAAACGGAACCAAAATTTAAGAATCTAAATACACAGTTAGATTCGGCATATCAAAGAACCCCAATAATTCAATTTTTGATGAAATCAAACAAAGTTTAATTTTGGACCCTTTGGACCTCAATGTGGACCAATTTAAAAACGGGGCCCAAAATCCAAAAACTAAATACACGGTTAGATTCAGCATATTAAAGAACCCCAAGAATTCAAGAATAAAACCCCATTGAAATTGGTCAAGAAATAAGCAATTTATACAAAGTATCTTCTTTTGCACAATACTGTGCAATTAAATATTTCTTGCTATTGCGCAATACTGTACAATTGACAATTTCTTGCTATTGCGCAATATTGTGCTATTGGATATTTCTTGCTTTTGCGCAATACTGTGCAATTGAAGATTTCTTGCTATTGCGCAATACTGTGCAATTGAAGATTTCTTGCTATTGTGCAATACTGTGCAATTGAAAATTTCTTGCTATTGCACAATACTTATTATATAATAATTTACACATCCTGTTTGGTGTGTATCTCCTACCATATCATTATTATTTGCTTTTAAATATAAATCAGAAATAACCAACTTAAAATGGAAAATTTTAAAAGAAAAATTTTAAAAAATGAAAAAAAGAAAAAAAATGAAGAAAAAAAAAATCCCCCCCCCCCAAATTTTTTGAACCCCCTTATGATTCATCACCCCCAAACTCAATCCCAGCCTCCCTTTGTGGTATGGTACCTTGCAGTACAATTTCAGAGAGATCCATACACTTGAACACAAGTTATTGTCTGGAAACTAGAAAAATGTGTTTTTTGGCCCCTTTTTGGCCCCAAATTCCTAAAATATTGAGGCAATTACCCCCATCATCAATCCCAGCCTTCCCTTTGTGGTATGGTACCTTGCAGTACAATTTCAGAGAGATCCATAAACTTACACACAAGTTATTGTCCTGAAACTGTAAAAATGCTTGTTTTTTTGCCCCTTTTTGGCCCCTTATTCCTAAAATATTGAGGCAATTACCCCCATCATCAATCCCAGCCTTCCCTTTGAGGTATGGTACCTTGCAGTACAATTTCAGAGAGATCCATACACTTGAACACAAGTTATTGTCTGGAAACTAGAAAAATGCTTATTTTTGGCCCCTTTTTGGCCCCCAATTCATAAATATTTCGGCTATTACCCCAAAACTCAATTCCAGCTTTCCCTTTATGATATGGAACCTTGTAGTACAATTTCAGAAAGATCCATACACTTACACACAAGTTATTGTCATGAAACTAGAAAAATGCTTGTGTTTTGCCCCTTTTTTGGCCCCTAATTCCTAAAATTTTGAGGCCATTACCCCCAAAATCAATCCCAGCATTCCTTTTGTGATATGGAACCTTGTGGTACAATGTCAGAGAGATCCATACACTAACACACAAGTTATGTCTGGAAGTTACAAAAATGCTTATTTTTGGCCCCTTTTTGGCCCCTAATTCCTTTACTGTTGGTACCATAACCCCCAAAATCAATCCCAACCTTCCTTTTGTGGTATTGAACCTTGTGGTAAAATTTCATAGAGATCCATTCACTTAAAGTCGACGACGACGACGACGCCAACGTCATACCAATATACGACCACAAAAATTTTTTTGCGGTCGTATAAAAAGAAAGGGGGTGGGGGTGACCCCCATTGACTTCCCCTATATTTCATTTGATTTGTGTTATTGTCCCATACAAGAATATATATGGTTTAGGGGTGGGGATCTCGACCGTTTACAAGTTCTTAAACAGGAGGGGGTGGGGGTGACCCCAGGGGACTCACCTTGTATTTCATTTGATTTGTTTGATTGTCCCATACAAGAATATATATGGTTTCGGGTTGGAGATTTTGACTGTTTACAAGTTTTCAAAAAAAAGGGGGGTGGGGGTGACCCCAGGGGACTCCCCCTCAATTTCATTTGATTTGTTTTATTGTCCCATTCAAGAATATATATATGGTTTAGGGGTGGGGATCTCGACTGTTTACAAGTTATCAAAAAGGAGGGGGGTGGGGGTGACCCCCATGGACTTCCCCTATATATCATTTGATTTGTTTTATTGTCCCATTCAAGAATATATATGGTTTAGGGGTGGGGATCTTGACGGTTTACAAGTTCTTAAACAGGATGGGGTGGGGTGACCCCAGGGGACTCACCTTTTATTTCATTAGATTTGTTTTATAGTCCCATACAACAATATATATGGTTTTGGGGTGGGGATCTTGACCGTTTATAAGTTTTCAATACAATGCTCCGCTGGGCGCAGCTTGATACAACCGCAGAGGTCGAACCCTGAATAGTTGGGGCAAGTATGGACACAACATTCAAGCTTGATACAGCACTGAATTTGGATTGTGATTAAATATTTGACACAGCATAGATTTCTGACACAGAATGAATGTGGTCTAAGAACTTAAAATTTTTTTAATTTACCTATTGAAACCATATCATTATTATTTGCTTTTATATATAAATCAGAAATAACCAATTTAAAATGGAAAATTTTAAAGAAAAAAATAGGAAAAAAAGGAAAAAAAAAATCCCCCCCCTAAATTTTTTGAACCCCTTATGATTCATCACCCCCAAACTCAATCCCAGCCTTCCGTTTGTGGTATGGTATCTTGCAGCACAATTTCAGAGAGATCCATACATTTGAACACAAGTTATTGTCTGGAAACTAGAAAAATGCATGTTTTTTGGCCCCTTTATGGCCCCAAATTCCTAAACGTTTCGGGCAATTACCCCCAAACTCATACCCAGCTTTCCCTTTGTAATATGAAACCTTGTAGTACAATTTCATAAAGATCCATACACCTACACACAAGTTATTGTCCTGAAACTAGAAAATGCTTGTTTTTTGCCCCTTTTTGGCCCCTTATTCCTAAAAATTTTGGGTAATTACCCCCAAAATCAATCTCAGCCTTCCCTTTGTGGTATGGTACCTTGCAGTACAATTTCAGAGAGATCCATACACTTGAACACAAGTTATTGTCTGGAAACTAGTAAAATGCTTACTTTTTGTCCCTTTTTGGCCCCTTATTCCTAAATGTTTTGGGCAATTACCCCCAAACTCAATTCCAGTTTTCCCTTTGTGATATGGAACCTTGTAGTACAATTTCAGAAAGATCCATACACTTACACATAAGTTATTGTCCTGAAACTAGAAAAATGCTTGTTTTTTGCCCCTTTTTTAGCCCCTAATTCCTAAAATTTTGAGGCAATTACCCCCAAAATCAATCCAAGCATTCCCAATGTGATATGGAACCTTGTGGTACAATGTCAGAGAGATCCATACACTAACACACAAGTTATGTCTGGAAGTTACAAAAATGCTTATTTTTGGCCCCTTTTTGACCCCTATTTCCTTAACTGTTGGTACCATAACCCCCAAAATCAATCAACACCTTCCTTTTGTGGTATTGAACCTTATGGTAAAATTTCATAGAGATCCATTCACTTAAACTAAAGTTAGAGTGCGAAAACCAATGTGTCTTCGGATGATGACGACGCCAACGTCATACCAAAATACGATTGTATAAAAAGAAGAGGGGTGACCCCCATGGACTTCCCCTATATTTCATTTGATTTGTGTTATTGTCCCGTACAAGAATATATATATATGGTTTAGGGGTGGGGATCTCGACTGTTTACAAGTTTTCAAACAGGACGGGGTGGGGGTGACCCCAGGGGACTCGCCTTTTATTTCATTTGATTTGTTTTATTGTCACATACAAGAGTATATATGGTTTCAGGGTTGGGATCTTGACTGTTTACAAGTTTTTAAAAAGTAGGGGGTGGGGGTGAACCCAGAGACTCCCCAAATATTTCATTTGATTTGCTTTATTGTCCATACAAGAATATATATGGTTTAGGGGTGGGGATCTCAACCGTTTAAAAGATAAAAGCACATTCTTAAATTGAAAGGGGGTGGGGGTAAGAATATATATGGTTTAGGGAGACTTAATTATCTACAAAATGTCTAATAATGAACAGTAAATTTCAAATTTCATTTATACAGTCCTACTAGTAAATTTCAAACTTTATATAAACAGTCCTACAGATCTTATCAGGAAACAGAAACTTTTCAAATAAATCTGTCACTCCAATGATATTATATGCTAAGATATAACCCAGATCTAATTAATAATGTAATTAACTTCAAAATGTCTAATAATATAGCTTATAATCATTACCACTAAGGAAATAGATAATTTTCAAATAAATCTGTCACGCCAATTTTTATTGTGAGATAAGACATTATGCTTAGTCATAAAAAAGATAACAAGAGTAAAATATTAAAAAATTCCACTTCTGGATATTAAAAATGGTGATAACTCACAAAGGAGATATACTAATATCTTGAAAATTGAACTAGACCTTCATTAAGTCCCAGGAAACAACATATTTAAATTTGAAAAAAAATTGTTAAAGCGTTTTCATGTTATTGTGCTGACACTGTTTAGCAGCCGCCCGTAGATCCGCCCGGCCGCCCGCCGTACATCACCATTTAAATAACCGATATTTCCTTCGAAAATCCGGTTAAAAACATGATAATTCCAATTAACATCATAAAAAAGGGTGATAATTCCCATTTTAAAATCATAAACAGGCAATAATTCCCATTAAGGTAGCTGAAGTGTCTAAATGCTTGACTTTAGATTTTTCTTAAACTTCTGTAAAAGATTTCTTTTTTTTGTCAAAAACATTAAAATTAACAAAAACACAGTTATCTTATATGGGTTATAGGGGAAAATTAATTTTTCCTTATTGATTAAACATTAAACGATAGAATTGGTTAAAATTCAATGAGAGAATTGCTCTTTATAGATACTTAAGAAATATAAAATAGAAATAGGGGTCATGGGCCTTATTTTCTTGAAAAATAAAAAGAACACAAATTTTCCTATCAAATTCAGTATAATTATTGGTACTTGATTTTAAAAGGATTTTTTCTGAAAATTTTAAATACACTCAACCAGACTTAATTTTTTTATAGTTTAATCTTTAAATTTCAAGTTTTAGATGTTTCTGTTGTATATTGAATGATACTTGGTAAAATATTTTCAAACCAAAAAAGAATTTTTTGCAACATGCCTAGGCAATGCTAGAAGGGATGCTCAGAAAAAGAAACCCTATCTACATGCACCTTAACATCATAAAAAAGGCGATAATTTCCATTAACATCATAAAAAAGGCGATAATTTCCATTAACATCATAAAATAGGCGATAATTCCAATTAACATCATAAAAAGCTCACAGTGTATAAAGAGGTCCATTAACATGATTAAGACTGAAAAAGAGATGTATCAGCATTGAACTGAAAAAATGTTGCACATGTATCTTAAAGAATTCAGAAGTAGAATCAATATAAACTTCTTACCTCTCCCATCATGTCCTCCAATGCTTTGTCTTTGGCTGTTTTCTTTTTTTCAGACTTGGACTGCAAATTTTCAATAAAATGAAAATTAACACATTAAATTTTCAATTGGTTGAACTGTTCATTGATTAAATTAAGTATCAAAATTGGTTTTTGTATACATGTAAATTTGTGTACAGTAAAAATTGGTTAGACATTGAGCATATGTTCTTAAAAATTGTGATTTAAAGTTGAATTATATGGACAGTTTTGGCATCGACTGCTTTGCTACATTTCAATGCAAGCAGTAAGGTAGCTAACTGAATTACAGAATGTATAAGCATTTCCCAAGCTGCACTGAGATTCTACAAAAATGAAAATAAAAATCTGAATCTGAATTACTCCCAGCTTTTACATGAATATCTATTTTTTCCAGAATTATCCACTTTCCTGGGTAAAAAATGATGAGTCCCTAACCTCAGCCGCAAATTTGTTGGTGAAACTCTATATGATTGGACAAAAATACTGGAAAACCCCCGTGTTCCCTAAAAAAAAGAACAATAGCACTTACAGTTTTGTCAGACTTTTCCTCTGTTTTGACAACTGTTGATCTGGTCTGGAAAGCTGAACTATCTTTAGAATATTTACTCCATGATCTTGGTTTGTTCTGATCTCCAAAATCCTTGGCATATTCCACCTTATAATACAGAACTTCAGTAAGATTATGTTGTAGTGTATAAACATGGCAGTAAGTATTCACTAGTTCTCAATATTTTCATGCATTCTTCCTACTTGAGAAGTGGTCCATAGGTCCATTACATTAAGTCATTATTGTAAAGTTCATATGAAAACTAGCTGCCATGTACATATGTAATTCATTATGTGATCTGAACTTTCAATTGGAAAAGAACAGTTAAAAATAACAAACTTTTACTGAAAAATTTAAACATAGTTTTGTTAAATGCAAATTCAATACTGAAAATAGACACCCCAAAACTATAATAATGTAACTGTTACATCTCACACTACATGCATAATAATTTAAATATAAAAGAAGAATATGTCCATGGACACAGATGCCCCGCTTGTAAATATGTGGCAAAGTCAGCAATTTTTCCATTTATAAAGGGATATAACTCGAGAACAATGAAAGTAACGCCTAGCATGGGTGGCATAAACATAGAAGTCAATCTTATACATGTTATATATATGCATTTATCTTTTATAAAATTATCTATGTAAGGAAAGCTGATAGTACATAAATACATGTCATTTCCATTTTCCATATGCTATAATATAAGACATACTTCTAAATATTTGTCTGTTAAACATCTATTTGGCCATGGGCTTATCCTGAAAATGGTTACCAGGTCACCATTTGGTAGTCAATTTTTTTCATTTTCAGGGTTCTCACTAACGGTTTTTGTAATTTTTATTTTTGGCCATTACATATCAAACAGTGAATGAAGAAATGTTGTTGCTATATAATTTACTATACAAGTCTCAGTGACAAAATAAAGCAAGGACATAGAACTATGAAATCTGGGATCAGTTAATGTAACATTTTACAATCTTCAGACTCACAGATTTCATGAGTTAAGGACTCATGGACTCGCCTTAGTGTGAACCCTGCATTTTAATATTTATTTCATATCTATCCAGTCTGGATTATTCTCAACTTTTCAAGAAAAAAAACCAATAACAGAACATTAAAAACTAATTAAACACAAGTGAACCAACGCCTGGTAAATCTTCTGTCAGTAGATTCCATAAAGTGGATACCTCGGGTATGCAGGGTCATTACAATAAAAACATAAAATGTAGAAGGTCCTGTAACAACAACACTTTAAGGAAAATCATGGCAACTTTTTATTAATGTAAAATGTACACATACCTGTATTCTAGATGTGTCAATAAATGTTTTGTCTAGAGAGTTCATGGCATTTTTAGCTTCTTCATCTCTACTGTATCCAATAAAAGCAAATTTTCTGAATCTACCATCTTTAGTGAACTTCAATGTACAATCAGTTATCTCCCCTTTTGTACTAAATAATGTCCTCAACCGCTCTTCTTTTATCTAAAATTATAATACCATTGAATAAACGTCATAATTTCAGAAAATATATAAAGGGTTTGATGGAAATCTATGTCTAGTCTGCTACTGCCAGTCTTAAAGTGTAATGTTGACTGCTCCAAAATAAGTCTATTTATCAGATTAATGTGGAAAATGAAAAAAGAAAAAAAATCTAAATTTGGCTCAAGGTTCTATCTCTTATTATGAAGAAGCTTTGTACAAGTTTTGTAAAATTCCATGTAGGATTCAGGTTTTACAATCTTTCACCAATGAAATGTAACTAAACAGGGTTAAAGCTAGGATTTTGAGGGCTTTAGTCACTTTTGCACGGGATGAAAATCAACCTTTTTTTGGGTAGCAGCAAGGGACCTAGGATGTATATTACTATCTATACATCTTTGTCAGACTTTGTCTTTAAAGGACTAGGCATACTAGGCAGTTACTGCACGATTTGACTGATGTGGCACTTTAATACAAAGATTAGGATATAAGATCTAGAAATCTAGTTCACAATTTCACTTCAGTTAGTTTCAGGGTACATTCCTAATCAGCAAAAGTTGGGATCCATTTTTTTTAAACCAGGAATCACAGCATAAATGAACTTGTAAGGACTATTTCACTGTATTATTCATACTCATTATCCTTAAAAATGTTTTAAAGCGATACTGTAAATTCAGAAATTATTGCGATGTTTTATTATTGCGAAAAATGCGACAGGGTTATAATCGCAATAATTTAAACTCGCATTTTGAAATTTTTTATATGAATTAAACAGGATTTTTCTCAATATCGCAAAAATTAAAATCGCATTTTAGTCTAAAATGACAAAATCGCAATAATAAATGCACGCAATAATTTCTGAATTTACAGTATTTAGAATTGATTCTATAAAGTTGGAACCAAGGATTTGTAAATCCTTATTGGAACAATTCTAATGACTTTAAATTGTAAATTTATCATGAATAGATCACATTTACCTTCGATTTCCAAATGAAATGAAAACGGGAAGTGACAAGTGGATAATAAATTCAGAATGAATCCGGATTCATCGACGGATTGGTCCGTGTTTAAAAAAGGCAGGAAATTATCATTTTTTAAATTAAATTTGCTAAATAAGAACTATATTTGTCTCTCTTGTTTAGTTTGATACTTAATTATTTTGTATTTTACGGTTTAGGGTCTTTAAAATTCATAAGAATACTTACGCGCATGCGCAGTTCATCATGAAGGAAGCACCTGTTTGACTCGTGAAAACATTTCTGAATGTTATGAATAAAGTTCTTAAAGTTCTATCTTTTTAATCGAAATTGTCGAAAGTTTTATATCAAATATGACGAAATACATTCATTTGACGAAACTACGACAAACTAACTGCAAATTGTGATCGTTTGAGAAATATTGAGATTAACATGCGAACTGTCCGAGGGAAAACTCGAATGACAAAACTACGACAAACGAACTGCAAATTGTGCTCATTTGATAAATATTGAAATTGAAATGCCGACTGACTGATTTTACTGGGGAAAATAATTATATTGATGATCAATTTTGAGGTTGATAAATAATTAACGGATTAGTGACCCATCCGATGGTGATAAGCGGATTATCTGTAATCACAACTTATAACACCTGTTGTAAATGTTAATTAGCTGAGGGCCATAAACTTGTCAGAAACAATAATTTAAGTGACAAAATTGATTTGGAATACTTTCGTCATTTTGAAAACGTTTGGTAAATGACGAAAATGACGAGCGCTAGCAGAATCACTGCCTAAATGTTTACTGCAAATAAAAGAACTTCATAAGTCCATTTATTGAAATATGCAAACTAGTTAAATTTACAATAGGTAACATCAGAGTTCACTAAACTTCATTTCTTTCTGTCAGACCAAGGACTTTCAATAATTTGGTGGTCCTTCATCTTTTTTGAAATTATAACCTAATTTTAATATTAGATGTTATGGTGGAAAACATTTGGAAAGTATTGTTTCAATACGAAAAAATTGTGAGTCCTGTACAAGTATTAATATAATGTTCACCATTTGCAATTTGTTAATGAATAAAATGAACACAATTTTAGCCACATGGCATGATTTTCTATTAAATAGTTGTTACAACAAATGATTCGTTACCAAAAGGTTTTTGAAGAAATCTTCACAAAAATCACTATGGTAGTATGGACACACGATTTTTCTTTACCTTATCAATGTTAAAGCCCTTTTAACTTATTGCAGCTGTTTTCATTTTCATGTGCCTACAACAAAGGTACATGTAACCCACCACTGAAAAAAGTAAAATAACAAAAATACCAAACTCCAAGGAAAATTCAAAACAGAAAGTCCCTTATCAAATGGCAAAATCAAAAGCTCAAACACATCAAATGAATAGAAAACAACTGTCATGTTCCTGACTTGGTACAGACATTTTCTTATGTAGAAAATGGTGGATTAAACCTGGTTTTATAGCTAGCTAAACCTATCACTTGTATGACAGTAGCATAAAATTCCATTATATTATATATGAACAAAACAAACAGACAAAATAGGTAAAAATGTCAAAAATAATGGTACAGCAGTCAACATTGTGTTATAATCTTAATCACTATAAAAACAAACAAATATGTCAACAAAGAAAAACAATATGGCATATAGACAAAGCACATAAGCAAAAATTAAAGACAAGAATACAAAAAATGACCATAGCACAATAACACAATGGATGTATATGAACAGAGCTACGCCAAAAGGATATTACCAAAAATGGACTAAACAGTAAAGGTAAATAATTTACAGAGACAAATAAAAGAACCCTATAAAACGTAGTAATTAAGATGATAAACAACGTCAGTACCTAGAATCTATACTTCAAGACCATCTGACATGTATTATTTGTGAAGTTGATACAAAATATTTATCAACAAGGTCTTGGCATCTTCCAATGAAGACGTTCTTTGACATAACCCTCGTTTATCAACTTTTTGCTCAGACACTGGTGACGTTTTATAAAGTCTGAGTAGCAGCTGCAAGCTCTTGAATACAGAATGAGTTGGGAAATGTATATCCCATATGCAGGTGAAGTTGGTATACTGCTAATAAGGTGGGTTAAATTGATAATTTCAAAATTAAAATCGTCTCATTATGCCGGTAAGCCCTTGAAACGTGACATGACTGACGAAGGAAGCAATCATGACAAAATGCAATTTCTACCATGAATATCATCATAAAGCAACACAATACATTTAACAACATAAACAACACAATAAGCTTAATGAATTGATTTTTTTTCAGACAGACCAAAATCTGTTCGGTCAGACAAAACTTACAACACCGTCTAACCAAAAGTCAGACAGAAACCAAAAGAGTTTGGCACAGACTGCAATAACTTAAGGTAAAACAGGAAACCAGTGTCCAATGAACTGACAAACTACCAACGTTGATGGAACGAACCACAATGACCCTTTTAGGTTTTGACTGTATGAAAAAGTTGAAAAATAGGACCGGCTCAAATGTGAAGAGACAACAGGATGGACAGTTTCACAAGGTCCAGCATATTTTTCACCATGTGATGCCATTTAAGCAGATTGATCATCAAGTCAACCAGCTCAGCTCATTCTTAAAAAGGATTCAAAATTGATTTATAATTGAATACATGTATATAGAAATATGGCCTAAAAATTATAGAAAGCAGAAATGATGACCCCTTCAAACAATCCAGCCCCTCATGTATAATAATTTGAGTCAAAAGAAATCAGGCAGCAATTGCTCATAACAACCGATAACAGTTGATGAATAAATGTTTATAAAAGAACGAGATATCCATAAGACTATATCCACAGTCAGAGAGAGCTAAAAAATAACAATGTATGTTTTATTCGTGAATTTTGGGCTAGCTCGCATTTAGATACGAATCCCACTATTTTTCTTACCCCGTTAGGAAGATTTTTTACAATCAAACGAGACATTTAACTCTTTTGGGGACCTGTTCTCCCTTTTCAGATGAAATTTTCTTTTTACAACCTGTAAACACGTGAAAATCTACCGGAAATGCAAAATTTACCTCCCTTAGAGAAGAATATAAATTCGGCCTAAATTCCACCGCCCCTGAGAGTAGATTCTTTCGCCATCATTCATTTTTATGTTGTGGATGAAATTTATGCCGATACGGTTGTGAAAAGTGAGGGTGTGGATGGGGTTTACAGAATAGGGAATAATGGGCAAAAATCATTAAAGAAAAGAGAAAAATGGGCAAAAACATGCCCCTGAAAAAAGGGGGGGGAGGGGGGGGGGGGCTAAATAAAAAAAGAGAATTATGGGGTGCTAAAATATGAACTGCAAAAATTAAAGAATTGGGTAAAAATATTCTGATTACAGAAAAGAACAATGTCCAGAATACAGTTATCAAGTAATTACAGAATAGCCATTATTTTTAAAGATAAAGAAATGATAAAGCCTGAAATACAGAAATGAAGCGGACCCCATCCACACCCTCATAAGTGAAACCTCTAGTAGAAGAGATGCGAAGGATACCAAAGGGACATTCAAGCTCATAAGTCGAAAGTAAACTGACAACGCCGTGGCTAAAAAAGAAAAAGACAAACAACAGTACACAAAACACAACATAGCATGAAAACCAAAGACTGAGCAACACTAACCCCACCAAAAACTGGAGGTGATCTCAGGTGCTCCGGAAGGCTAAGCAGATCCTGTTCCACATGCAGCACGTACAAAGTTATAAGTCTAATTCAGTAGGTCACATTCGGGGAAAAGCCCCGGGGGACGGGAATGTAGTTACGACAATTGTCTGACAATTAACTGTTACTGATTACTAGATGCTGTTTAGTATATGGATAATGCAGATTATCTTACACTTTTATCTTACAGTCCTAATGGACTTAAGATGTAGAAAAACAGCAATTGGTTGATGAATACTCTCTGGCGCATGCCTTGTTTCACAGTGTTGTTAATAATTAAAAAAATATAGTTTTCTAATTTTCATATTTGTGTTAATATATATGTACAATTTTCCAATTTTTATTTTTGTTTTTTTTTTTGTATAAGATAAAAACAAATTATTGATTATACATGTAGGTATGGATAAGTATCAAGGAGAATTTCTCTGGTGAGTTTCGCCTTGAAGCACTCAGTAGTGGTGCTGCAGACTATTGGTTCGGGTAATTTGTTCCAATCTTTTATAGTTTGGAAAAAAAAAAGAAATGTGTAACTGTCTTTGCTGCATCGAATTTCACGGTCTATATGTTTGTTCGTGATTAGACCTGGTTTTTGCTTTGCTTTTAATTAGGATGGCATCATATGATATGGAAATTTTGTTGCCAAGATGGTGATTCTATGAAATATGCTTTATTTGGTTTTAAGTATTCTTTCTTGTAATGATGACCAGTGATGTGTGTTAAGCATGTTTGCAACACTTTCAGTATATATGAGTATTTGTGAGAATTTATTATATTCCTTAATTTAAAATGATTTTTCAAAATTGTATTATGGTAAATTTCATTAAAACAATATCTATACTTTCATTCCAACACCGAAGTTCTGGCTACTGGGCTGGTGATAACCTCGTGAAATTAGAAGTTAATTTGGTAAAATAAAAGGTACTGCCATGGTTTTCAATTCAAACGGAAAATCATTTTAAAAGTATTTTCGTTATGATGGATACCGGTTTATATCATAGAAACTGCTAATCGACACTGTTACCTGGGTATAATGCTAAAGTGCAATAGCAATTTTAATGTGGCGATTTCAAATTGATGGAAAATGATGGAGACATTTATTTCAAGATTAAAAACCTAGTTGTACTTAAAATCCCTCACCGAGTAAACTCTTAGAGAAACGTTTTGATAAGCTGATATCAGCTATAATGGTATATTGTTGTGAAGTGTGGGGCTGGAGTATGCGTTTAGGAGACGAGATTCTGATTCTTATAAACTATAATACATATCTTTATTGAAGACATCCTAGAGGTACATTGTAAAAACCTCTAATGATGCGAGAACAGAAATAACCAGACTGCACCTTAGCACAAAAATCAACATATTTTTTGTCCTATATAAATTTTTGGACCTCTTGGTAATGTCTGAACATACCATAAAACATGATTTACAACTTAGAAAGAAAACCCTTGAGTCACTTATATTGTTTCATGTTACAAGATCACTAACGCTCCATTTTTTTTTATTCTGAAAAATTAGATTTTTCTCGTAATATTTCAAAGGTAGGAGAACGTACATCATATATGTTGATCAACTTACTTTCAAGTTTGATCGTTCTGTTATAATAGCTAAAATGAGATTAAGTGCTCATTCCATTGAAACAGAAAGAGGGAGATATAACAGAATGGTAAGCATAAGCATAAAGCATAAAAGATTTATTTAAAGTCGGTTACACATATAACAATACAACATAAGCTCTGTAGAGCTTTTATCCGACATACATATATGACAAGCACAATACATAAAACACATAAAACAGTAAGCACATCATGCAAAGCATAAATAATAATGTTTTCAAGCACAGCAATTTGTAAGAAAAATTAAAGCATATAAAGCAAACATAAAATGCAGATAAACTAACATTCATGCAATAGCTATTATATAAAGCACTAAAAGTAATTCAAGCATTTAAAACACAAATAAAAAGTTATGCATCAAATATAAAAGCCAGAGTATACAAGATAAATAAATAAATAAATAAATAAATGATCTACAACTCACTTAGATCTGCAGGAGGAACACTGACACGAACTGCCCTCCCAATTACCAACCAAACTTTTAAACTGACCCAAAGGCATTTCTTCCCTCATCTTATTCGGCAGTTCGTTCCAGAGTTTGGCTCCTGCATAACTGAATGAGTGTAGCCCATGGGTAGTTGTCCTTACCCTGGGAACATCTGCTATGTTGTTATTTCTAAAAGAGTAATTACATTTTTTAATTTCAATAAATTCATGTAGATATAATGGACACTGTTTATTAATCATTTTATACACCTCTATTGCTATCATTCTAATTCTTCTGAATTTTAAACTTGGTAATTTTGATTTAATTAACAGTTGTTGATAAGTACTACAATAGTCTTCATATATAAATCTTAGGGCACGCTCCTGTATTTTCTCTATTTTTCTGGTATTACAATCACCACAGAAGTGCCATATTACAGGACAATAATTAAAATTTGGCATGATAAATGAATAATATATAGTAAGTCTACCTAATTTTGTTAAATGTTTACCAATTCGTTTAAGTACATGTAACTGTCTTGATGCCTTTTTACAAATGTTAGAAATATGGGCATCAAACTTAAGCTGATAGTCAATTGTTACACCAAGTAATTTCACTACTTTTTCACAGTGTATGATATTACCATCTAGATTAAAAGAAATATTTTTATTTTCAGTTTTCTTGCCAATGGCTATTGCCTGAAACTTGTCAGGGTTGGCCTTCATATGATTTAAACTAAACCAATTAATTAGCTCTAAGCTTTCTTTTTCTAAAATATTTACAACAGTGTCTATATCAGAATGTGAATATGACAAAGTATTGTCATCTGCATAATTATACAATGAACTGCTTGATACAAAATGAAAAATATCATTCAAGAAAATATTAAAAAGTACAGGTCCTAATATAGAGCCTTGCGGCACACCTTTATATATATCTTTCCAGGTACTTATATCTATACCAACTTTTACACATTGTTTTCTTTTACTTAAATAGCTGTCTATCAAGCTTATAGCTGATTCAGATAATCCATATGCCTTTAGTTTTAAAATTAATAAATTATGAGGAAGGCAGTCGAAGGCTTTCGAGAGGTCCATCAACACAGCAGCAATATATTTATTATCATCAATAGCCTTAAACTTAAGAACTTAAAGATTTTGTAAAGTGTGTACACACAACAAAATTGAAGATGAAAATCACTTTATTTGGCATTGCCTTAAATATAAGAAGAAAAGAGAAATCCTTATGACAAAATTGTCTAAATCTTACCCAAATTGTAGAAATATACATAAAGATAGCATAAAGTAAAAACTATTGTTAAACAGCTAGTGTGTCAGTAAAAATATCAAAGATATGTTCAAATTACATTCATGAATTGTTGAAAGTTAGAAATAATGTTTTACAAAACCATTAATGGTATTAAATATCAATATCCTGTTTAGAAAGTATTGATTATTTAGTTGTTGTAATTTTGTATTTTTGTATTTTATGTATTTCTATACAATGTACTAAATTGAGCCTTTACCAATTGTTATAATTGCGTTTGTGCTAATAAAATATTGTCTATTGTCTTCAAAAGCTTAGGTTCCCGTTATTAGTTCCGTTTTCAAATTTTACTTTTAAAACATTTTTTTTATCAATTACATCAGCGCATTATAGATCGAAAACTACAAGATGAAATTGAATGAAACCCTTGTTAAGGGCATACGATACAGTTTTGATCCCATATTGATTTTTTTACTATGTTGAGTCGGACAGAATGATTTCATCCTGTTGTGACTTGCTAGAACTAAACATGTAAATATTTGGTACGCTGACCTAAGGACTAATCTTTTCATTCTTCCGACTGAATTGTCAGCGAAAGTGTAGAGTGCCACGCACGTTTCGATAACACCACAAGTTCATTATTACTCAATAGACTTCTGATAATAATTCAAAATGTTGAGGTTTTGTTTTCTTTGTAAAATATGTTAAATCTAAACTTTTATTCAATACTGACAAATATTCTAAATTTAGTTTTCCCGACTTGTTTGTATGTCATTGGTTTACAGATTAAACTCGAATTGATGTGTCAATAATATCGAAGCTTTTAGAATTATTATGTAGCATATTTTTATATACCAACAGAAAACAATTCAAAAGAACGTTCGATTTTAGCAATCAGACTGACTCCAAGGCAATTATAGTGTTAGTTATGAGTTGCATTGTCCGAATAAATAAAAGTGAATATAGCTTTAATTTTCCTAGGACAACTAGTGTATGATCATTAGAAAATATTCTCAAACATGCAAAAACAACATAGCAATAAACGTGAGATGGTGTCATGATCGCAGATATGCCCATGTACCTTCCTAACAATCTTTTTTTTTTATCTTACTATAGGCGCTTAGGCCAATGCATGTGAACATGGTGAAGTACGGCATCACGCGGTGACCTACAACCGTTAAGTTTTCTTCACGTCTAAAGGTACAGGAGCAAATCTTTTTTGAAAATCTTTTTGGAATGAAGACGGGGAGAACCAATAAAGATTTCTCATTTCGAACAATTCGATTGGCTTAGCATACAATGATATAGCATGTTTTTATTTGACACTATATGCATGGGGAATTATGCCCGTCTTGTTCTCTGTAATCACAAGGACAGTTTAAATCTAAGAATGTATGATAAGGCCACTTTTTGGACCCTAAATTCGAAAATAAATCTTCCAAATAACATTTTCGATGTCCATACGGTATTGGTTTATAAGATATCAGTATTTAAATTTTTGAATTGTACATATTTTCATGAAGGCTTGAAACTTTTTTCATCGGATTCAAAACTGCAAAAATTGCCAAACTATCCCTTAACTATATTTTTCTGGGTAAGGTCTTAGCTGATAAAATTTTTTACCAAACACTATGTAAAATGTACATGTAGCATGTACTAGTAGTCTTCTGCTAATTAATAACTGCTACAAGAAATCCTCTGCTAATTAATAACTACTACAAAGAGTTGTCTGCTAATTAATAAATACTACAAGGAATCCTCTGCTTATCAATAACTACTACAAAGAGTTGTCTACTACCCGTTATTAACAACTACTACAAGGATTCCTCTGCTAATTTATAACAACTACAAACAGTTGTCTGGTAATTAATAACTACTACAAGGAGTTGTCTGGTAATTAATAACTACTACAAGGAGTTGTCTGGTAATTCATAGCTACTACAAAGTTCTCTGCTAATTAATAACTACTACAAAGAGTTGTCTGCTAATTAATAACTACTACGGAGTCCTCTCCTAATTAATAACCACTACAAAGAGTTGTCTGCTAATTAATAACTACTACAGAGTCCTCTGCTAATTAATAACCACTACAAAGAGTTGTCTGCTAATTAATAACTACTACAAGGAATCCTCCGCTAATTCATAACTACTACCAAGAGTCCCCTGATAATAAATAATTACTACAAAGAGTTGTCTGCTAATTATTAACTACTACAAAGAGTTGTCTGCTAATTAATAACTACTACGAGGAGTTGTCTACTATTTAATAACTACTAGGAGGAGTTGTCTTCTTATCAATAACTACTACAAAGAGTTGTCTTCTTATTAATAACTACTACAAGCAGTTTTCTGCTAATTAATAACTACTCTGAGGAGTTGTCTGCTAATTGATAACTACTACAAAGAGTTGTCTGCTTATTAATAACTACTACAAAGAGTTGTCTGCTATTTAATAACTACTACAAGGAGTTGTCTGCTAATTGATAACTACTACAAAGAGTTGTCAGCTAATTAATAACTGCTACAAGGAGTTGTCTGCTAATTAATAACTGCTACAAAGAGTTGTCTGCTAATTGATAACTACTACAAAGAGTTGTCTGCTAATTAATAACTACTACAAGGAGTCGTCTGCTAATAAATAACAGCTACAAGGAATCATGAATTATTTAATAACTACTGCAAGGAGCTGTCTGCTATTTTATAACTACTACAAGGAGTCCTCTGCTAATTATTAACTACTGCATCGAGTCGTCTACTAATTGATAACTACTACAAGGAGTCCTCTGCTAATCAATAACTACTGCAACGAGTAGTCTACTAATCAATAACTACTACAAGGAGTGGTCTGTTAATCTATTACTGCTACAAGGAGTTGTCTGCTAATTTTCGTAGATATAAAAGTGTGGATAGATTGTGATCATTCTGACAATCCCCTAGTTTATTATGGTTTTCACATATTAAAAGTACTGGACTCTGATAAAACAAATATCCCTATAGCATCTGTTATAAATGCAAGACTTTATACCTTATATTCAATTTTTAGAGTTGTTGTTCTTGTTGTATAAATCATACAAGTACCTGTTGTTTCGATTCAATTGGATTCTTTTGTCTTTCTGTATATGGCTGTTTTTCTAATGTCTTTTGTTGAAGAGGTTTGATTACACATTCCTGTTGATTTGATTATTGTATGTTATATGTCTGTCTGTAAATAATGATCTGTTTACAGGTGTCTCTTGTTGGTTTTTTTCACAGGAATCTGTTGTTCAGATCATTGTGTATTAGTTTTCTTCTGCAATGGTCTGTTTTTCTAGTGTCTCTTGTTGTTTGTTTTCATGTCTGATGTTTGATTAATTTGTATTAGTTTTCTTCCGCAATGTTCTGTTTTATTGTGTCTCTTGTTTGTTAACAGGAATCTGTTGTTTGATTATTGTGTATTATTTTTCTTCTATAATGCCTATTGTCTGTTTTCTAGTGTGTCTTGTTGTTTGTTGTCCAGTATCTGTTGTCTGATCATTGTAATTTTTTTCTGTTATAATGCCTTTTAGTGGTTTGTTTTCTAGTGTGTCTTGTTGTTTGTTTACATGTATCTGTTGTAGTGAACATTGTGTATTATTTTCTGCTGTAAAACTGATGATCTGTCTTTAGTTGTTCAAGTCTTAGTTTTCCCTCTTAGGATTCTTCCAATGTCCATTCAGAGTCTAGATTTTTATTCAGAGACTATAATACCAATAATTTACTACACAGATTTTTGATAACAAAAAATAATTTTATTTTGAAAATTATCCAACCATACTAATTTGATGGAATACATGCATTGCATAACAATAAAAGTAGAAAACATATAAATATATATTAGTTAAATCAACAATCCACCAATATTTTCCCATTTGCTGTTTTATTTATTTAGTACCTTTGATAATTAAATAATTTCAAGCTACATCTGTCTCCATATTAATTTTTCAATTCATTTGTCATGGTCCTCATCAACATTAGGGTTATTTTTTTAGACTTTAATAACTTTGTCAAAACTTCAAGGAATAATAAAAGAAACTTGTACAGAAAACTTTTGAAAAAGAATTGATTGGAACATAATTTAAACAAATAGGAGATAACCTCTATTCGATTATTACTCTTACAGGGAAATGTTATACCATGGAGCCATTATAAATTGGAGGGGGTACCAATTTTTGTGGGTATACATGAAGTATAAAATTCTATAGGCTAGTATGCAGACTTTGTTAAAACCATGAAAATACAATTTTTCCTTAATCCAATAAAATTGGTATCCACGAAAAAGAAAATAAATGAATCCACAGTATATAAAGTCCGTTAGTTTTGATTATATATAATTACATTACTGTGGATTCATTATTATTCATTGGAAACCAATTTCCGTGGGTTTCGTGGGGCAGGGAAACCATGAATTTAAATGTGCAATGAATTACAAAGTTGCAGTATGATTATATGGAGACTTTTGGAAAATCACAAAATCAAATATCCATGAAAATGCAAGAAACTAAATGATTCCACATTATCTTCTGCAACAGATACAAGATTGTCAACAACACAATCAAACACTTCAACAAAAACACTTAAATTATAACAAAAAACAAAGACGCATATTGGTTTTACACTGCAAATGAAAATACCATTGAAATTTCTTCATCAGAATACAGACTAGCATGTGTAATTGTACTTTTTGCTTTTAGTTCATATGGTAGCATTGAAAAAGTGTCTATTATGTGTTATTGATTGAAAGATGTTTATTGAGGTTAATTTCCCTCATAAAGAGATGTCCAGACTTTCGCCATTAATCATACATTACCAAAGTATCGGACCTATCAGACATACTTATAATGCATTTGTATTGGGCGATGGATCATTTGAGATCTTTTCAATTTAGATTTTTCTCTGGTAAACAGGAGGAAATTCAATTTGAATCATGTCCCATTGTCGTTCAGATAAGTAAGAAAGGTATGACTAATGTCTAAAATCCAGAAGCCTCTAAAAGAAAATTTGTTAACCAATTACAAACAATAAAAGCTTAGTCATCTTACAGTGAGAATAATTGGCCAAGAGAACTTTTAATTGAGTTGACCATTAATCAGATAATAAATTTTAATGGTATTTTTGAACAAGGCAAAAAAACAAAAAAAATATCTGAAAGCTTAATACATTGTACAGAAAAAAAGCTTAATACATTGTTCAGCAAAAAAAAATTAATACATCGTACAGGAAAAAGGCTTAATACATTGTACAGGAAAAAAGCTTAATACATTGTACAGGAAAAAAGCTTAGTACATTGTACAGCAAAAAAGCTTCTTACGATTCTTACAAAGCCATATAAAAACAGTTATTAACATTATTTGCATAAATGAATATATTCGTTGCATTTGTACATATCTCTTGTTAACACTGTGACTAGTCAGGCATACAATATTTTTAAACAATGGGAAAGTCCTCTCTGAAAATGGCTGTCTTCCTATGTTCTGATCACAAGCCCTCTTCATATTTCTAAGGTGGTTTATACATTTTTACTTGATGTCTAATTTTTATACAACAAGCAGATCAGCTCAAAGAACTAAATAAATTATACTGAGTTGATGCTTAATACAAAAGATAAAATATGTTAATATAATGTTAATAAATAAATTATTGAACGCTTCACAACCAGAATATAACCAAACAAACAAATAGACTCATGACAATTCTGCTTCTATTAGTATCAAGTTGATTAAAATCCAACTAGAAATGACCCCACAATATTTTTTGGAAAAATTGTAGGTGATGAGAATTTATGGCGATGCATTTTAGGTATTACTTCAATGATTTCCTTCTTTTGTCCAAAGTTGAAAATTAATACTATGTTAAATCTGGTTTCGTTAGAATGTGCAAAAATAAAATTCCTAAAAAAGTTACTGTGAATTCATTTATTATAGTTGGTTCCAATTTTCATGGATAGTAAAAAATTGTAATTTCCTGGATATTTTTTCTATTGTAATTTTAGCTAATTATCTATACAAGCCATGTATAATGTACTTGATTTAACACTCTAATTTGTGGTTTTCAATTTACCCCCCAAAAAAATCAACAAAAATTAATTCCAAAAGAATAATAAACAATTCACATTAAATATATTATTGACAACTCACTTTCTATACAAGAATTGGAGCAATTCTACGTAATTGCTGTTGATCTATTTAGGGCTTAGAAGGACAGATTTATTCCCTCTTTGCACCACCTTGGAAACACTTGATTAGTTATAAGAAACCAATGAGTGTGAGTAAAAAAAAGAATTAGCAGTTGCACAATATCACTTGATGTAGAAGAAGTTTGTAGGTTGTATCGAATCGTTAACTAGAAGTTGTTGATCAACAAACTTGGAGGACAACAGAAGTTGCAGACTACGAAAAAAGTAGGAAGGATAGTGATACTTGTGCGTCTTCAAATATATTCTAAATTATATTTAACATCCAATTACATTTAAGTATAATGTATACAAGCTGAAGCCCCACCTATCTATTGATTGCAGATGTCAATCTTAATTACAATGCTTGAGCAAACATTTATACAAACAAAGCAAGTAAGCCAACCAAACCTTTAAACTACAAGCATTAAGAAAATAGTTTTAACTGAATTGTTTAAACATATTTTGATTAATTTTCTTACATAATATCATGGAATAAAATGCTCTGCTGGTCACAGCTTGATACGACTGCAGAGGTCGAACCCTGAACAGTTGGGGCAAGTATGGACACAACATTCAAGCTTGATACAGCACTGAATTTGGATTGTGATTAAATATTTGACACAGAATGAATGTGGTCTAAGAACTTAAAAAATTTTAATTTACCTATTCAAACCATATCATTATTATTTGCTTTTATATATAAATCAGAAATAACCAATTTAAAATGGAAAATTTTAAAGAAAAAAAAAGGAAACCCCCCCCACCAACTTTTTGAACCCCCTTATGATTCATCACCCCCAAACTCAAACCCAGCTTTCCCTTTGTGATATGGAACCTTGTAGTACAATTTCATAAAGATACATACACTTACACACAAGTTATTGTCCTGAAACTAGAAAAATGCTTGTTTTTTGCCCCTTTTTGGTCCCTAATTCCTAAAATTTGGAGGCAATTACCCCCAAAATCAATCCCAGCCTTTCCTTTGTGGTATGGTACCTTGCAGTACAATTTCGTGAGAGATCCATACACTTGAACACAAGTTATTGTCTGGAAACTAGAAAAATGCTTATTTTTGGCCCCTTATTCCTAAATGTTTTGGGCAATTACCCCCAAACTCAATTCCAGCTTTTCCTTTGTGATATGAAACCTTGTAGAACAATTTCAGAAAGATCCATAGACTTACACACAAGTTATTGTCATGAAACTAGAAAAATGCTTATTCTTGGCCCCTTTTTGGCCCCTTATTCCCAAACGTTTTGGGCAATTACCCCCAAACTCAATTCCAGCTTTCCCTTTGTGATATGGAACCTTATAGTACAATTTCATAAAGATCCATAGACTTAAACACAAGTTATTATCATGAAACTAGAAACATGCTTGTTTTTTGCCCCTTTTTTTGCCCCCAATTCCTAAAATTTTGAGGCAATTACCCCCAAAATCAATCCAAGCATTCTCTTTGTGATATGGAACCTTGTGGTACAATGTCAGAGAGATCCATACACTTACACACAAGTTATGTCTGGAAGTTACAAAAATGCTTATTTTTGGCCCCTTTTTGGCCCCTAATTCCTTAACTGTTAGTACATAACCCCCAAAATCAATCCCAACCTTCCTTTTGTGGTATTGAACCTACCAATATACGACTTTTGCGGTCGTATAAAAACAATAGGAATCTGAAAACTATGCCAAATACTTTATTATTTTGACTTTTCTATGACTAAATAACTTAGCTACCATAAGTAATTTGCATAATGCTTTGTATGTTTTTACAATATTAAGATGTTCTTTGAGATCAAATAAACATATAACTGAATACGTTAGAGATCTTCAATTCTAAAAAAAACCTTGTACTTCATGAATCTCGATACTTTGTTCATAGCTTCAATTTCTATTGCAACAATGAGGTTTCATTTATACTTAAAAAGCAACTGTTATAACACCTCAGCTGTCACAGGGAAAAAAATGGTGAATATTTTACTGCAGGCTGTTATCAGTAAGGCCTCCATAAATACTGGCGTTTCTGCTAACCCTTCCTACCCTTAATATGTTTTCATAATTTGCAAACAAGCACTATTAAAGTCAGACTGTTTTGACTGTTTTAAACCAGTCAAAAAATGTAAACAGATAAAAAGATTTTCCTACCTACCGACTATTTTATTCAGCATTTTAGATGAAGCACGGGTATATTTTTTTAGTCTTAATACATCAATTGGTGATCTAAATGTATTAGATACTATTAACCATCTTGTTAAAATTATGCAATGAATGAGAAGGTCACTCACAAAAATAAAAAGAGTAACTGGTTGTTACCATTCAGTGGCAAATATTGGAAGACATAAGACAATTATTTTTGAAGAATAAATGATCTACCATCAATTCAGAAATTATTACAAGTTTTTTATTAATACCAATAATGTAACTGGGTGATCATGAGTATCACAATAATAACTCACATTCTGATATCTGAAACATATATATCTGTATGCAGCTTTTTCTGAAATCGCAATAATAAATGCTCGCAATAATTTCTGAATTTACAGTATTTGCAAAAGTACCCATTAATATTGATATTAAGGGCTGTTCAATAAAAAATATAAATGAGACCCAGGAAAGACACCTCAAAATCTTACCTAGGTGTGGGTGTCAAATACTTTTGTGTATTGTGAAAATATAAGTGATATTTTAAAATTGTCCTTATAGGTGGTAACCCCATTTCAAAATGTCTTCCCTTGGTACTATATGTATGTTTTGTTGGAACATTTCTAATCAACTATAAGCTATCTTAATTTTACATCATAATTGGCACCGGTCACAAAGTTCAACTGTTGAGACTTTTTTTTCCTGTCACTACTAGATGTGAGAGGTAAGATCTGGTTATTGTTCATTCCATAACAAACTTTAGTCCATAGACCACGACACATGGCTACAAGTTTAACATCTTTAACTACTTTTTTGGCAAACCTGAGCTGTTTCCTGTAAATACAGAATGGGAAAACTTATATTAAAATATATAGATGATTTCATAATATGCTAAAATGTACTTTATTTTATGCTTTGTTATAAATATGATAAAAATTATTGGTCACTGAGTTTGCTTTCAAGGTATAAGGTTGTGAAAAATGGACACATTTTGTAAGAATTTTACAGGGAAAATACATTATGTAAATAAAAAGAATCTCAATAACAGAATTGTAAAATAAATAAAATAAACAAGATAGCTCGTATAAAATGTTTTTAGAAAAGAAAAAACATGGAAAACACTTTTTTTTTACTATGCATTTGGTTTTTAAATTAGATTGTCTGAGTTATCTCCCCATATATGCCTTCTTTAATTAGAAAAATCAAAGAGCTGATAGCTCTGAGGTGGAAGAAGATACATGGAAGGATAACTTGAGTTACAATGAAAGCAGACTGCACCAACCCAGCCTGATCTGTGCCATTATTGCTTTCAACATATTTTTTTCTTCCAAAAATAATATACTTTAAAATGCTCATTTCTCCACCAAAACAGACTATACTAAACATAAAAATCTACTTGTATTGTTAATTCAAAATTAAATTTTCTATAATTTCATACATTCATCTCAGCATGGTTAACTTGATGGAAGCAATTATACCAGGAATTGATAAGGATTCACTTGAAAGTTTTTTCTGTCAAAGGTAGATAGTTCACTTTGTGTATTCTGACTTCCTTTGTATAAAAAAACCTGGCCACCATGATTGTAGTCAAGTGTGCTGAAAGTGGGGTTTAACACCAACTCCAACCAATTAATCATAAATTGTTATAGTTGTTCACAATTACTTGGTTTTTCAAAAATAAATTTTTCATCATTTTGAAAAATTCGGATGCACAATTAAATTTCCCATCAGTGCACATGTGCAGACTTGTATTTATGTAGCCAACGTTGTTTTGATTAACCCAAATAAACCATATGTTGTATATTGATCACTCCAATTCGAAACTGCAGCAGATAAAGGGCGCTGAATCAATCGAGTAAGGTTTGTATTGAATTGATTGCTTGATACTCGTTATTCGAATTAAATTTACACATGTGTTCTGCCAAATATACTTTAAATACATCCGGTCACAGTAAATAGAATATTTCCAATTAAGTAATATTGAAGATAAGTAAGATGGAATCTAAAAATTAACGTGAATAAATTGGGAGATATTAAAACATTATAACATGAGAAATTAGAACGCTAACGTTACAGATTGTTTTTTTTAAGCCTAACTGTTGGTTTATAAAATCAAGGACTTTTCTTACTTATATACGTCCTTGATAAAATGATGCAGACACTATTTTACAAACTTGTAACTGATCATGAGTACAAATAAGTCTCAGAATGAAGCATGGAAGTTATAAAATTGTAAAGCACAGAAAGAGATATGGTAACACTCCTGGTAATGGACTAATGGTTCAATGATTTCAGACTTGAAACAGCAGACAGTAAAGGATTTCAGAAGACTTGCAAGTCTTCTTCCGCCAAAAATAGTACAGATATATTCCTTATTTGTACAAACTGTTGAAATAATAAGATGGAATGACACAGTTTTTTTCATTACAATGAAAGTCTCAAGAATGAACTCAAAATTTGCTTATTTGATTAAAAATTCGTAAGGGTTCCGCGGAACCCAGTGTCTCGCCTACTTTTGCTGTTAACTGCAGGCTCAACAAAAATGAGGAAAAAAATTAATAAAAATATTCCTCTCAATACTATCTTTTGATTGTAAGTAGCTTCTGTCCAAGTTTGGTAAAAATCCAGGATAGTTTTATGAATCTAATAAATGTTTTAAAAACTTAAACTGCAGACTGTATGTAATGTTAACTGGAAGAAAAACTAAGTCCATTTATAAGTAAAATACGGAAAAAATGGAACAAAATTTAAAAAAAATTTCCTTCTAGATACTAGCTTTTAATCATAAACAAGCTTCTGTCCAAGTTTGGTAGAAATCCAGGATAGTTTAAGAAAGTTATTAAAATTTCAAAAACTTTAACCACAGAGTGAATGTAATGTTAACTGTCAGAAAAACTAAGTCCATTTATAAGTAAAATACGGAAAAAATTGAAATTTTTTTTACAAAATTTACTTCTGGATACTATCTTATGATCATAAACAATCTTCTTTCCAAGTTTGGTAGAAATCCAGGATAGTTTAAGAAAGTTATTAAAAATTCAAAAACTTTAACCACAGAGTGAATATTTGTGGACGCCGCCGACGTTGACGACGCCGCTGACGGAATGTAGGATCGCTATGTCTCGCTTTTTCGACAAAAGTCAAAGGCTCGCTATGTCTTGCTTTTTCGACAAAAGTCGAAGGCTCGACAAAAATCCAAACCACACATTTTCTGATATTATACGATTCAAGATGGTGGAAGGCTTCCATACTATTTTAAATTGATAAAGGAGGTGTGGTAAGGTTTTCTTTGGTCCCCAATATCCTACCATTATTTCAATGATGATTTTAAACTAAGTTAGAATAATATAGAGACACTCCTTAAATTCAACATGTATCATATTACCTGATTATAGATTTACTGTCCTTAAAGTGACCTCTCTGCATCAGACTGAGAGCAAAGAAAAGTCTACATCTAGATATTGTAATTGGATCTGCCATTTCCATAGCTATGGCCATCTGCCTAAATGAAATCTTTCCTGCAATAACAGCCTGGAAAAAAGAAGCATTTATTTACTTTTAACTTTCAATATGTGCAGACAAATTCAGTTTTAAAAAAAATTGTATTAGGTAGATTAAAATTAGTTTTGGGGCCTATCTCACTGCTCATTGTATAACCCATGAAAACAAAATTCAGTAAAAAAAAAAAAGTAAATTGTTTTAAATTTTGATAACTTTGTTGATAAATACATATATGGTTATGAATGACTTTGTACAAAACATTGTATCTCAGTTCATTAATGGTGTTAACAAAATAGATCAAACTATTTTACCTCAGTTCAATGCAGTTTGAATTTTCATTATAAAATTATGGACAAATAAATTTACTATTTTATGAAATTGTCTGAAAAAGACTATTTATCGGTTAATAGTTTCAAAAACCAGTTAATAGTCTATTTACGGGAAACTTTATTTGAGGAAAGGTTCACGGAATTTTTATGTCGTCCGCTTCATTCAAAATTGATTGTATACCAAAAGTATATCATTTGGAACATTTGTTGAAGAATAACCCTGGATTGTCCTGAAATATATACTGGCTTCTTTCTGTATAATATCAATATCAAGTTTATTGTCCCCCTTGACACAAACTATTTCCCTCTGCTTCGCGTCATGAAATAGTTTTTGTCTTGGGGGACAATGAACTTGTTATTGTCCTCATAGCCAGTTAATAAGTGTATAATACTGTTCTTTTTAAATATAATGAATCTCTGACTCTATCAATGTTTTTACTAAAGTTGCATTTCTTAACTGACTACGTCTTGTAAACATATGGTAGATATTTTTATGGATATTTATTTTAGAAATGTCAGAGATTAAAAGTAGTCCCCTGTTGAAGAATAAGCACCACCTAATGTAGATAACCAGGTCATGGCATCTTCTGAATAGGATCTTTATCAAACGTTCCTGCATTAGTAAAATTGAGAATGGAAATGGGGAATGTGTCAAAGAGACAACAACCCGACCATAGAACAGACAACAGCAGAAGGTCACCAACAGGTCTTCAATGCAGCGAGAAATTCCCGCACCCAGAGGCGTCCTTCAGCTGGCCCCTAAACAAATATATATACTAGTTCAGTGATAATGAACGCCATACTAAACTCCAAATTGTACACAAGAAACTAAAATTAGAAATAATACAAGACTGACAAAGGCTAGAGGCTCCTGACTTGGGACAGGCGCAAAAATGCGGCGGGGTTAAACATGTTTATGAGATCTCAACCCTCCCCCTATACCTCTAGCCAATGTAGAAAAGTAAACGCATAACAATACGCACATTAAAATTCAGTTCAAGAGAAGTCCGAGTCTGATGTCAGAAGATGTAACCAAAGAAAATAAACAAAATGACAATAATACATAAATAACAACAGACTACTAGCAGTTAACTGACATGCCAGCTCCAGACTTCAATTAAACTGATTGAAAGATTATGTCTTCATCATATGAATATCAGGCACAATCCTTCCCGTTAGGGGTTTAGTATCATACCATCAAAACATATATGAGAAGAACAGTACTTACATGAGATTCAAAATAGTCCCAGAATGATGAGTAAGCACCACCTAATGTAGATAACCAGACCTTGGCATCTTCTGATTGGACTCATTATCAATAGTCCCTGTAACAGTACTTACATGAGATTCAAAATAGTCCCCTAATGATGAGTAAGCTCCGCCTAATGTAGATAACCAGGCCATGGCATCTTCTGAATGCATTTTCTTTATCAATAATCCTTGCATTCTGTAATACCTATGGTGTTTAAATAAAATGTCAATTACATTATCAATTTAAAAAAAAACTCCAAAGGTGGTTTGTGATCTACATGTAAATATTCCTTCCATATATTGATGTTCCTGTCTGAAGAGAGACTATAGCCATAGGGATTGTAGAAACTCACTAATATACTATTATACATGTAGTTGTAGAAGATATACCGGTAACTAAATAATGACACATTTTTATCATTTCAAGAAAACAGAATAATCATGATAATTTGAACTTGCAGTGAGGTGTGAACTTTTTCTCTATATTTAAGGCCTCACTGTGACTTTTAGATATAGAACAGTAATCAAAGTGGCATGCTTTTGCTTTGGATTTTTTCAAGACTTGAGTGCATGTAGGATTTTGTGTCATGATTTTATACACTATATGTATTATTTTCCATGAGAAATTAGATGGATAGCCACAGTGAAATCCTATTCTGTTACTCTTAACTTTATATTTAAAGTAACCTAAACCAGGTTTGTTAACAGATTAAGCGTCTCATCAACTGTCATGAAATTCAAAAATATAATTTCCAATAGCAAGTGTTGTGGCCAGAAACATGACAATACTTGTACTAGTGCTAGATGTATAATAGCATGAAAAGTGGAATGAAAAAACCTTACCAAGCAAAATCTATTTTCTGTGGTGGATATTCTGGCTGTATTTCAATGACAAAAGGCACTGCCAAACATCCATCAAATATGTCAGAGAAATCTCCATCACTTGGATGATATTCATAATTAAATGAATGCCTCTTCTTTAGCTTCCTAAAAAATCTTCGTCTAAACTTATATGACCATTTCAGTTCTGAAGTAACGCAAGAAGCTAAATGAGCTTCTAATTTGACAGTTGCCTTGAGAATCGGACAAATCTCTGTGGCTCCAACAGCACAGCACACTCCCGGAGTTAGGTTGATTTCATTATAGTGTTTACCAACATTGTTGTCTATACAACTATTATTTACATGTGAAGATTCGCAAGGTCCATAAATGTTTGGCACAATCTTAAGCAGACATGGATGAATTTGCCTGGTGAAATTGTTCAGAATGAGGGCAACACCTATCTCCTCAGGTCCAAAATTGGTATCAGCTAGTTCTTGTGAATAAAACCAGTAGTCACAAATCCTGTTGTCAATCACAACATACAATAGGTAATCAGCCATGACATTCTGGAATAAAACATCAGACATTGTACATATTATAGTAATACATTTTTGTTTGCTATGATTATTTGATGATGCTGACCAACGAAACGAGACTTAACATACAACATCAGACTAATTCCATAATATTTTAGCAAAATTATGAAAAAAGGCAGAAGATACCAAGGGGACAGTCAAAACTCATAAGTCAAAGAAAAACTAACATCATCATGGCAAAAAACTAACATCATCATGGCAAAAAACTAAGAAAAAAGATAGAACATGTCCACAAAACACTATATAGAAATCTAAAGACTGAGCAAAATGAACCCCACCAAAAACCAGGGGTGAACTCAGGTACACCAGAAGGGTAAGCATGGTAAGCAGTACCAGCTCCAAATGTGGCAATGGTTGTGTTGCTCATGCAAGTATATATCTGGTGATTAGTCTCATTCTGTGATGCCACAATAAAGGAAAAGAGGATAGGATTGTGGTTAAAACAACTGGAACATATCTATGGTTATTTGTGTCACAGATATTCTATAACGATTAACCAACTGGTGATGGCGTCTGTTAAACTTTCGAAGGGATGGCTTCAATTTTACCACTTGGAACCCTTAGTTGATGACTTTAATTTTACCACTTTGAAACCTTGGTTAATAAAATTGAGAATGGAAATGGGGAATATGTCGAAGAGACAACAACCCGTTCAAAGAGCAGACAACAGCCGAAGGCCACCAATGGGTCTTCAACGCAGCGAGAAAATCCCGCACCCAGAGGTGGTCCTCAGCTGGCCCCTAAATAGTGAAAACTGTGTTTTAAATAAATATTCCTAAATTAATGAACATAGAGATGTTCTCGCTCGGACACACACTCCATTAACTAGTATATTACAAAAATGTATAAGAGCATAAACTTGAAGCACTGGGAGGCACTCTACTGTCTCCACACGGCACTAAAGACAAACTGACTTTAATTTTACCACTTGGAACCCTTGGTGGAATATCTTCCTTGTAAGCCATCATTCTTTTATAACAAAATATTATAGTACTGAATATTTCAGTAAAACACTACAGCATATATAATGTGATTTTAATGCATAACAAGACACTACAAATTACAATTAGATCTCCCAATATGTTCACAATCAAAAGCGACTGTACAAATATCTTTTTATAGTTTTAGTATTATGGAATCTGTGACAGTGTATTTAAACTTCTAAATTATTCACAGAAAGAGAGCCAAAAGAGTATAAATTTTGATGATATATTTTATGGATAAGAGAACCTTCACTTTAGTTGTTTTTTTTCGTTTTTTGCCATGGCATTGTCAGTTTGTTTTTCGATTTATGGGTTTGAATATATATATATATTCCTTTGGTATCCTTCGCCTCTATTATAGGAATCTTATCTTTTAAATTTTAGAAATTTTCATTTTATATCACATTTGGCTACTTTGTAGCTACATGTACATGTAGAATAAAAGAAGACATATCATGCCAGAATGATTGAGATGAACTAAACAAAATTGTCATTCTCTCTTTAAATCCCTTCTTTAAATATCATTTTATAAAGAAAGTACCAAATGAAATCAACAAAATGTACTGGACTGTAGAGATTCCTCTACATGTTCTAGGCAAAAAATATATTGAAAAAATTTATGTAACTATTTTCATCTAAAATTTAAGCTGAAATAACATTAATGATAAACATTTACCTCTGCTTGACACTAACCATGCTAACAGTAGATCATTGATGCATGATATTTAAATTTTAAGTTCCTTTGATGTTAAGGGTAGTGAAAAGGAGGTGTTTGACACTTGATGATAAGCATAATGAAGTGCTTTCTTAACCCTCATTCATCATGTTCACATATTTGAAAGAAATACGTTTTCTAAAGCAAGCTTAGATGTATACTATTTTTTTCTTAAAATGTGAACTTCTCTAAAATGGAGGATGTCATAAGTGATTACTTCATGATCCTGCACTCATAACCAACAACCAGAAAACACATTCATGACATTATTTCCCTGTCTTATCAAAAGAAAAAATACTTATTTTTTACAAATCATGTACAATGATTACATGTAAAATGCTAGGAGACTTGCTGGTCCTTGACAACACTAGTGCTCAACCATTATATTGAAGAGGATGGTCAAAGGTTTATTTTTTACTTTTCTTTCATCGTGAAATGGCCATTTTATTTCCCATTTGTCCGTGTGCATACCCCCTAATGACCCTCATACGGAATTTGAGCACATAGACCTCTAAGTTCTAACATGGCAACATTGTCAAAAGGAAAGTAACACTTGCTTCTTCTTCTTCTGATGAATACTTAATGAATTGCTTAAATTGTGTCAATCTATACCTATCTATATGTCATGGTATCCACTAATGAAACAACCAATAGACCAAGGTCAAAAATTATGACCAAGCAAAATGACATACATGAATGACTGAAGTGGTAAATGACAAAAAGTTTTAAAGGTCTGGAAAGCTCTTATAGTGTACATCTGAGTTTTAGGCTATATAGGTTTAAGCAGTCTCAGTGTACATGTATTATGACCGTAACTGAAAGATACATGCAGATACCAGTGCACACGCACTTGTTTCTATCAATGGGAAGGTCGACTATCTAGATATATTATATATGGATAGTCGACCTTCCCATTGATAATGATAGAATAGAAACAAGAGAACGTGGTAGATTTGATGAGACAACTGGAAATTATGCGTATTTTTTGTGGTGCTACAGGTTATCAAATTATGCATGAGAAGATAAAGCATGTGGAATATCGACACCTAGTATAAAAGTCATTGTACTTATTACATTTCAGAATGTATAGCTCTCTCGACACTTCTCTGTCGTTCCGTCTGCTTCAAAACAGTCCTGTATGCGTTTTAATTTTCCCAAAATTTCCTTCATAAATCAAAGCTTTTTAACTACCTTGATCATTTACATTTCCGGTAAATAAGAACAGGCTTGTTGATAAACATATCTAGCCTATTTTTGAGTTCAAGTCGTTAATCCTCACCAAATGATCAACTTTTAACCATTAATGGTAAATTGACCTAAATACTGAAACTAACAAACTACATTTGGTAACGATCAATTTTCAGTTAGGTGCAAAACAAAGACCATGTCATGCAATGACTTGTCACATAAAATTGAATCTTTGGTATGAAATTTAAATCCACCAATAGACCACTTTCGAGTTCGTTGCATTTCCGTCAAAAAGTTTGGTTTTAGTGAACAAATTCGTGCGTTAAGGAGCATCTTCACTTCCTTCCCAGGTTGAGTGAGCGGTTGAAAAATATGATGCTATTATATTGCACAAATTATTTGGCAAATTAAATTCTTATAATTGATAGTCAGCACAGCTTTTATTAGGGAATTGTGATTGAGTACCTACGGAACAATCATTATTTCTAGTTTAACCTGCATAATGATGAAGACACTTGATGAACTTTAATAGTGCAGGGATACAGGGGGTCCCCTCTATCTCAGTATCTGGTAAATGCCATTATAAAGGCACGCATAATTGACGAACTTTCTCGGTGAAGAACATAACTTGAAAGTGGTCTATTCATTCAAATCGTTTATTTGTTATGAAATCATTAAGATTACATATCAATATGCAGCATGCAAAAGGTACCTACATGCCTACCTCCACTAACTCAATTTGGATCAATTACTTACTCCACCACTGGCAAAAAAGTAGCTGTTACTGTTAACAAATATCTAATTCTTGCCACCACCCTTGCAAATGTCTGAGTACATTTGATTTCATCCTTTATTTGCTGTTATTTTTACACTCCTGTTTTCCGAAACACACAGTATATTGTGATGTGGGTCCGTTGCTTGTTCGTTCCACACACATTCATGACATTTATTAAGGAGTAATTCACCACAGTTTCAAAGGTTCACTTTGATCACAATATGTTTTAAGAACAACATGATAATGTTCAATAGATTATAAAAACAACAAATATTACACAGAATACTTAAAAGATATCAGGTGCTCATGAGGGAGCCGTTCCGTCACCTCTAATCAAGTGGCATGCCTGTAGTTACTCCTGATTAAAAAAAAAATATTTCATTAACAGTTTTTTGGTATTATCCTGTATTTTAATTTGGTGGATACAGTTTATTTTCTCACAATACACATTGTATTGATCCCCAAGATACAAAGATTATCACATGACTTTTGTGTGTAAATAAAAATCAGAACTAAAATAATTTTACTTATTCTACATGCTAAAAGTGTATTTATCATTAGCTGCTCACAGCAGTAAAATCTGGTTCATCCTGAAAAGTATGAACTACATCATGTACAATAGCAAAAAAAATAAAAATATCTTCATCAAATTAGCTTGTAAGTGATACGAAATATGTACTAAATAAAGTAAAAGTAATTTCATCAAAATTCATGATCTTTTTTCATATGGTACCATACTATCAATATGAGAAAGGCAAAGAATTTGAAGTCATGAATAATTTTCAATCTACAAAGATTTTGAACAAGTATGTCACAACTAATATGTATGTATTTAGCATGTTTAGAGAAAGATATCACAGTCCAGCAGTTTTTTTTAACATTTTCATATTCCCAGAAAATTTAGAATTTAAAGGATTAAACAAATGATTGAGTACATGACACTTTGAATATTAGCATGTCAGACTTTATGAATATAGTAAGGATGGTATCTTTTTGTTTTTTCTAATTTTAGGTATACTACCGGTAAATTGGAACATCATGTAGAAGAAAAACATCGTTATTTACAGATATGGCCAATTACTTTGGACCAAACTCTGCAGCCTGGACTGCAAGATCTGGGGTGGTTCTAGACCCAGAGAAAAATGGTCCAATGGCCTTCAATGGAGCCCCGAATATAAACATGATTATGTCTCAGGCTGTGAACATGGGGTTTGATGACAAACAGAGTGTACCACACAATATTGGACAAAATTTACAATCACAGAGAGATGGTCAAAATGTAGGCTTGGCATCATCTGGTGAAAATATCTTATCTCAGTCAAATGGTCCTCATTTTAAAAATGCCAGTATTGTTCACAACTCAAACATGCAAACCATGGTTGCTTCAAACTCAGGAATTCATCAAAATATGATTCCAAACAGTATGACACCTCAGTCAGGAGGTTTTTCTGTAATGAATTTAATGGATAGAGGTGCATCAGATGTGAATTCTGTGTCCATGGGTGGTCCAGGAATGACTTCAATGAATGATATGATGGGTGGTCAAGGTATGCCGCCGATGAACCCCATGGGAAGAACTATGACTTCTACAATGAATTCTGTGTCCATGGGTGGTCAAGGAATGACTTCAATGAATAATATGATGGGTGGTCAAGGTATGCCTTCGGTGAACTCCGTGGGAAGAACTATGACTTCTACAATGAATTCTGTGTCTATGGGTGGTCAAGGAATGACTTCAATGAATAATATGATGGGTGGTCAATATATGCCACCAGTGAATTCCATGGGAAGAACAATGACTTCAACAATGAATTCCACAGGATACAACAATATGACAGGATTACCTCTGATGAATGCCAATATACCATCTCACATGTTTATGCAGACTGTAAACTTTGATTCTTCACAGAACCAAGAAGATATGAATAAAACTATGGGTATGTCTAACTTGTCAAAAAATACAACCTTTTTCTGAAAGCATTATAATTTTGTTAGGACATTTGTCATCCTTATCTTTTCGGCATGTACAATGTATATTATGTAAATTATTGAGCTATCATGTTTGCAATACAGATAATAAAACAAGACAGTTTTACACCATGATATAAAAAAAAAGAGATTCCTGATACTTGAATTTTAAATGAAGGTGTGTCATATGGTATTCTTACCCTCAATGTCCCTCATTGAATTTTGACACGGTGCCATATGGTATTTTAAACAACACTGAATATTGACCCCTGGGCTAATATATATTCCATTGCAGATAAAAAATTATATTACACAGGAGTTCATAGACATGATCAAACTACACTTGTTTTGGAACAGGGTCTTATTACTGAAATACAACTTCTTTTAGTTAAAAACTGAGGGTGTTTTGTTCATTACACATATTTATCAAGTAACTAAAAGAAATAATCAGGGCTCACGCTAGCAGGTGACTGGGGCGAAGAAGTCGCTTTCAAGTCAGTCACTTCGCTTTGCCCGAACGTCAAAAGCGATATCTAGTCGCCCGGGTGTTCACAATAGTCGCTTTCGTCATCATGGTCATCGGCAATTTTCCATTTTCACCAAGTTGTTGAAACGTCAATTTTTCATTTATAAATAAAAAATTCAAAGACATAAACAATTTATTTCTTTTGAAAACGTGGGGAAAGCATTGATTTATAGATTGATCGTATGTTATTTCAAAGAAACAACTTTTTATGAAGTATTTTCTTTCACTTCCGACACTTGTTTCTCGAGAGCGTACATCAAAAGATCCTGATTTTCCGCAAAATAAATGTGTTACTACATTAGAACGTAATGAAAATTGCCTTCAGTTAATGTTTCATCCATTTATTGCATTAAAAACGTCATATTCCTTTCCAAACTTCGCTTGTCAAACATCGTTTATTTTTGTAAATTTTCCTTCGTCCGCCATTGAAATATTTTTGAATCACGCATCGGATACGGACCAACTATGAACGAAATCCGTATTCTTACGATAATAACTACAGACGCATGAATGGCACTGCTGACAGAAGAATATCTATCACAAAAGTGAAAAATACGCATTCCACATGCATTAACAGAAATTTGTTTGGATCCCCTTAGTTAAATGTATATATTTCAATGCAAATGCATTGTTTCAATTTATTGATTTAAGTTGCTTAATTTTATTAAATTTATATATCTTTTTAATGAGAAACAATGAATATCATCAACAGAATAGTTTCCTCATTGGATTTTAACTGATAACTGATAGTTTCTTTTTCTCTTTTGATTTAAAAAAAAATCCTTAAATAGGACATTTAGTTAGTAGTTTAAATAATAATACAATTGGTTTACACCATTTTAGAAACATCTATGGATCTACTGGAACAGCAGCAGGCCATGGAACAAAGCAAGTTGTTACACAGATTTAAAGAACTCAGGCAGTTACAGATACAACAACAAGAAATGTTAATGAAACAACAGCAAGATCAACTAGAGTCACTCAGATTTGAACAACAAAATGTACATTCTGTTATAGCTAAACAACGGAAAAATCAGTGGGGTATGATATTCAGACACTGTAAATAAAAAAAATGCAATCATTTATTTTTGTGAAAAATTTGTAATGGGAACTTGCATTTTAAATTTTGATAGAATAATTTGTATGCAGTATTTTATAATTAGTGATTATGACATGTTAGAAACACTATCTCGAAATCCTCACATGAAGCAAATGATTTTTGAACTGTCTTATATTTTTATGCTTTAAAATTTGAAGTATTTTGAAATTAGCTGTGTGTATATTTAATGTTTACATTTTGCTATTGCAAGAGGATTTCAGTTATTAAAGATTTAAATTTCTTATATTTTCATCAGGAGGCCAGGTAAATACAGATTTAGGTGAAACAAGAACACCACCCAAACGACAGAAAGTACCAGGCAGTGGATTGGCTAAAGCAATGAGCATGACACAGCAATCACAACAATCACAACAATCACAACAAAGTTACGTGGACTATGCTAATCAGGTAAAATTTGTTAGATTTTGGTTATGTCATAATACAAAAACAGCAGTCAATCACAAAAACACAAGAAACAAAACGTGCATGTTTGAAAATCTACTGCAGGTTTAAAAAAATATTTATCACTGGAAAAACTCAGAGATATAAGACAATAATCAAGTTTAAGAATGCATTTCTGAGCACTGTTGTCAAATAAAATGACTAATGGAAATTTGACCATATTTTCTAATTACAATTGTAGACTTTCATGAGTTATTTGAAAATTGCTCTTGGTTTCATAGTTTCTAAATCAGTCATATTTGTTGGTCAAGTCTGCATAATGATAAGGTTCACTATAGCCCATTTTTATACGACCACAAAAAAATTTTGTGGTCGTATATTGGTATGACGTTGGCGTCGTCGTCGTCGTCCGGCGTCGTCGTCCGAATACACATTGGTTTTCGCACTCTAACTTTAGTTTAAGTGAATGGATCTTTTTGAAATTTGACCATAAGGTTAAATACCACAAAAGGAAGGTTGGGATTGATTTTGGGGGTTATGGTACCAACAGTTAAGGAATTAGGGGCCAAAAAGGGGCCAAAAATAAGCATTTTCTAGTTTCCAGACAATAACTGTGGAACGGTGTATGGATCTCTCTGAAATTATACTACAAGTTTCCGTACCACAAAGGGATGGTTAGGATTTGCTTTGGGGGGTTATGGCTCAAACCATTTAGGAATTAGGGGCAAAAAAGGGGGAAAAACAAGGTTGTCCTGGTTAATGGACAAATACTGTAGAACAAAACATAATTTAAAGCAGTGTAAGGGAGATAAATCAAATACATCATTGAAATTATCTCCCTTACACTGCTTTTAAATTATGTATAAAGTAATGGTTAATGAACAATAAAGATAATTTAAAACAGTGTAAGGGAGGTAATCCAAATACAACGTTTTGGTTACTTCCCTTACACTGCTTTTAAATTATGTTTAAAGAAATGCATATTTATAAAGGAAGACCAGTAAAAATATCTGCAAATGTTGCATCTTTATTTTTACAAAAAAATCCATATGAAAGATTTGACACTATATTTTTAATTCTATTATAAAATAGATTAAGTCAGCACTATGGTAAATTTAAATGGGTAATTATGGTTGCCAACTCCATTGGAAATTTGAATTGAGATTTTGACCATATCTTGAGGGAAAGAATTTTTTGGGGGAAAAAAGGGGGGGGGGGATAAAAAGAAATTGTGGGGGGTCAATTTTTTCTCATTTCAGATTTCAGAAATTAAAAAGAATTACTCTTCAAATATTATTTTTTTTTCAAATTTCAAATATTGAAAAATTTCAAGAAGTAATCTTTAATTGCACAGTATGGCGCATTAGATTTGTAAAATCTTTGATCACATTTATTTATTTGTTATGCCGAATCTAACAGTGTATTTAGATTTTTAATTTTGGGTCCAGTTTTCAAATTGGTCTACATTAAGGTCCAAAGGGTCCAAAATTAAACTTTGTTTGATTTTAGCAAGAATTGAATATATGAGGTTCTTTGATATGCTGAATCTAAACATGTATTTAGATTTTTGATTTTTGGCCCAGTTTTCAAGTTGGTCCAAATTGGGGTCCAAAATTAAACTTTGTTTGATTTCAACAAAAATTGAATATATGGGGTTCTTTGATATGCTGAATCTAACCATGTATTTAGATTTTTGATTTGTGGACCCCGTTATCAAATTGGTTCATATTGAGGTCAAAAGGGTCCAAAATTAAACTTTGTTTGATTTCATCTTAAATTGAATTATTAGGGTTCTTTGATATTCCAAATCTAACCGTGTATTTAGATTTTTAATTTTGGGTCCTGTTTTTTAAATTGGTCTACATTAAGGTCCAAAGGGTCCAAAATTAAACTTAGTTTGATTTTAACAAAAATTGAACTCTTGGGGTTCTTTGATATGCTGAATCTAAACATGTGTTTAGATTTTTGATTATGGGCCCAGTTTTCAAGTTGGTCCAAGATAGGGTCCAGTATTTAAACTTTGTTTGATTTCAACAAAAATTGAATATATGGGGTTCTTTGATATGCTGAATCTAAACATGTATTTAGATTTTTGATTATGGGCCCAGTTTTCAAGTTGGTCCAAATTGGGGTCCAAAATTAAACTTTGTTTGATTTCATCAAAAATTGAATTATTGGGGTTCTTTGATATGCCAAATCTAACCGTGTTTTTACATTTTTAATTTGGGTCCCGTTTTTTTTAAATTGGTCTTCATTGAGGTCCAAAGGGTCCAAAATTAAACTTAGTTTGATTTTAACAAAAATTGAATTCTTGGGGTTCTTTGATATGCTGAATCTAAACATGTATTTAGATTTTTGATTATGGGCCCAGTTTTCAAGTTGGTCCAAGTTGGGGTCCAAAATTAAACTTTTTTTTATTTCAACAAAAATTGAATATATGGGGTTCTTTGATATGCTGAATCTAACCATGTATTTTGATTTTTTATTTGTGGGCCCCGCTATCAAATTGGTTCATATTGAGGTCAAAAGGGTCCAAAATTAAACTTTGTTTGATTTCATCAAAAATTGAATTATTGGGGTTCTTTGATATTCCAAATCTAACCGTGTATTTAGATTTTTAATTTTAAGTCCCGTTTTTTAAATTGGTCTACATTAAGGTCCAAAGGGTCCAAAATTAAACATAGTTTGATTTTAGCAAAAATTGAATTCTTGGGGTTCTTTGATATGCTGAATCTAAACATGTGTTTAGATTTTTGATTATGGGCCAAGTTTTCAAGTTTGTCCAAGTTGGGGTCCAAAATTAAACTTTGTTTGATTTTAACAAAAATTGAATATATGGGGTTCTTTGATATGCTGAATCTAACCATGTATTTTGATTTTGGACATTGGACCATAATAGGTAAATTAAAAAAATTCAAGTTCTTAGACCACATTCTTTCTGTGTCAGAAACCTATGCTGTGTCAAATATTTAATAACAATCCAAATTCAGAGCTGTATCAAGCTTGAATGTTGTGTCCATACTTGCCCCAACTGTTCAGGGTTCGACCTCTGCGGTCGTATCAAGCTGCGCCCCAGTGAAGCATTTTATTCTAGGTAGAACTTCAAATTAGTATTTGATGGCTATTATGACAATGTGTTATAATTAAACAATGGTTTACTAAACAAATAAGCAAAACAACTCTGTGTACTTTAGTGAAATACTTTACAGGTAACACTATTGAAATCTTGTTTCTTATCCTTTTCATATTTAAGTGACTTTGACAGTAAAAATGGTGCAGATCTGAAACATTTTACTTCTGTATATGAGGAAAATATTAAATTAAAAATTGCCTGTAATTTATAATATTATATTCAGTCTGCCTTGCCATGCCCAGTGATGTATGTCCCACTGAATGATGAAAATGATGAGATCAAGACCAACCCTGACCTGTTTAGTGATACCAATTCTCATGTAGGGAGCCAGTGTACAGAGGATGGATTTAGACAGTTACCAGATTCTGCTTCTGAAGTTGGAGAAATCCCACAGCTACCAAGCAAGAAACCAGTCAGTAGAGTTTCAACCATGCACATGTCTATGGTATGATAATATGTTAGATTTTGATAATAAAAACTGTGGAAAATCATAACATGCAGAAAAATATGAATTTCAATTAAAAGAAAAGTTATTTTCATAGCATCTGTATTAATAAAGAGGATGTAGCAACCTGACAACTCAAATTTACCCCCAAATAAAAAACAAAATACAGACATCTTTCGAACAAGACTGTAAAAGGATGACGCTACTGTACTTTTGGTATGACCGTAAGGATTTGTTCCCTACAGAATATTGAGGCAGGGTAGTTGTTCAAATGAAAACGAAATTCCAGTTTATTCATTTTAGAAACAATCATAGTAAATATTAGATGAATTCTGAGTTCAATTGTCTTGTTAAGACATATGAACCCTAACATCAGTAAATACTTTTTAAGTAATTGAATAATAATACATTTTATATTGTAGAAGAAAAGTTTAACGGAAGATTTGGAGCAAGATGAAGGTTTTGGTACTCAGTCATTCAGGTCATCAGGTCAGACTGATCACCTCAGGCCTAATAGACAAATGGACATGATGAATGGTCAAGAAGTTTATCATGAGGATGAGGACAGTGTCCAGTTAGAGGAGCAGAACCTTGACCAGGAAGAAGACTACGATGATGATGATGACGAGGAGGAGGAGGAGGAGGATTTTGATGTAATCAACAATTGTTTTTTATTGTTACCATATAAATCATTTTTTGTTCTAATCTATTGTAATGCAAGTGGTTAGTCCATTTTTAGTTAAATGAAGAGATGTTTAAAAAATATTAGATATTGAATCCAAGTTGCTTTGTTGAAAAAGAAGAGGCATAAGATACCAAACAGAGAATAAAAAAACAATATAAAACAAAGCAAAAAACAACAACACCATTGCAAAAAACAATGAGAAAACAAATAACAGTTGACAAAATACTAAATACATAACCAAAGACTGAGCAACATGAATCCTGCCAATAATTGTGGGTTATCTCTAGTGATCTGTAAGAGTAAGTAATTCCTGCTCCAAATGTGGCACATTCATATTGATCATGTCAAGTAAAAGCTGAAACTAAGATAAATCTTTGATAAACTTCCCTCAGAAATTTCAATATGCTACACATAGACCTATTGCTATTTCTGAATCAGAGACACTTGAACCAAGATCTGCGACATTTGAACTATTAACATTGTAAAACAATCACTTTTGCATTGCTGCAACAGACATTTTCTCTTATGATGTCAAAATTGTACGGGAATGTCTGTCATGGCCAGTAATGGCAGACAAACAGCGATAAGGTGTAATCATTCTTTATCCACTTTGATCAATATTATAGGATTTTGTACATTGATCACTCCTGAGAATAACAAATGTTGAATTATTTATTACAAGGAGGAGGAGGACCAAGATCATGTGACCTCAGAAGAGGAAGATAGACCAGTGACAGGTGCTACACTAGATGACAGACCAGTAATTGGATTAGGAGGTTAGCTTACTTCATAATAGATTTGTCAGTCATGAATCCTGAAGTAAGTTATTGTCAATAAGAGTATTGGTCTGTTGATTGAACTTTTTATTGTAACTTAATAAAAAATCTTATGATCTATAATTGTTCTTTCTCTGAAGAGAAGGATTTTCTATTGAAAATTCAGATAAATAGAAAAATTGTGGTACAGATCAACACAGTTTGAAGAAACTACAAATTTCAGGTTTGCACAGTGAAAAGCAAATGATAGTGTGATATTGCACAATTGTACAACCCACATGTAAGATTTGATCATTCTCGAAACATTATTCTGAATCACTGATGATTGAAATTTACCTGTAGTCATCAAGGTTTTCAACATAACAATGCTATTATTTTACCCTTCTTACTGAATTTAATACAAGTATAATCCTAAAAATGTGTCAACATTATCAACGTTATAATGTATGAATAATGAGATCATAACTGCATATAAAGGTCAAATGCAAATTATAACGTACATAAACCACTTAAACATACAAAAAATAGATATTTAAAAAAAAAATGTATTTGTCAAACAAGAAAACAATTTAAAAAAGGCAAAAATGGCAGAAAAAAAGCATTATTGATAAAGAAACTCCACTTTTTTAGTTTGAAGAATGTCAACAGGGACTATCATAATGGCAAATCAAAAGCTTTATTTAAAGTCGGCATGTCACATAACATTAACATAAGCTCTTTGAGCTTTTATAACTAACAAATACATACATTTACACAATAAACATACACAATACACATACACAATACTAATATTAAAACATAAAAGACATAGAACATATATTTCATTCACAGTTAGGCAAGGCTGAACTAATTTAAATACTACATATTATATACATGCATGAGCACTAAGCTAAAAGCAACATTAAAGCAGCAACATAAAACACTAAAGCACAGCAATCACAAATTATAAAAAGCTATGCAAATAAAACACAAAAAGAGTGGAAGTATAATAAGTAGCACTATTATGTTTCAAAGCTGTAAGATAAAACATAAAAATAAATACTAAGCACATGCAATGCAATGGCATGAGTTGCCATTCCATGAGTTTATTACTCTTTAATTGGGTAAAAGATGTTTCAGTTCTCAAGTGGTGGCAGTACAATAAAATACTTTTTCAATAGCAGTTGATCCTTTGAGTGATCTGTGGTTGTTTCAAACAAACTTTTGTGATGGCTGGTCACATCAAGTATTTGGTTGCTTAATAAATTAAAATATACAGGGAAATCTATTGTTGGCATTGAAAAGTGGTTGCATCAGGTGGCTTAATATACAATGTAGATGATATTTTAGGCAGGTTTCAATGATTTCTGGTGGTGATATTTTTCTGTATATGTAAATATGTAATATCGAGATGTATTTTTTTTTAGAGAAAAAGACTTTTGAAGAATTACTAGAAGAACAACTAAGAGCAGAGGAGGAGAGGGTATATATTTTCTGTCATATCTATTATAAGAAACTGTCCAAGGGATCATTGATTCTTACCAGTGGTTTTACTCACTTACTGTGGTAAATCAACTAGATTCACTGTACTGATGACATTATTATTTGTTGGGTAGGGGCAAACCATCAATTTAAATATTAAAGTATAAATTTTCTTAAGCTTTGTTTGTCAAATTTGGCAAAACTACAAAACTGAGTTTCCACTTAAAGAAAATAGTTTTTCTTCAATCTACGAAAAATTGGTTCCCACAAAAATCAAAGAATCCACAGTAAACGATCTTTGTTGTCAGCAGTAAGCTGTTTTATTACAGTTATGTAACATGTTTTGAGTATGAATTTCCATGTGCAGGTCAATCATCAAACACTATGTAAGATGAATTTTCTGTTCTTCGTACATTTTTTCACCAAAGTATTTGATACTATTTCATCATAGATCTTTATTCTTTGATAGTACATTTAATCTTAGAGGCAAGTAATACCTCACAATTTTTTTCAGATTCAGATGATGTTGTGTTAAAGGTGTTCAACACATTGTAATAGTGACAACTTTGATTGACACACATTGTTTTATTTTTTTTTTTAAGTACAAACAAATAACTCCCTTTACCTCCTAACACTCAGAAAAAAAGGCAATTATTAAACATAATCTGAACTAGAATCACATTTATATTGATGCTTTTTTGTCTACAGATGAGGTTACAATCATCAAAAGGAGAAAACGTAGACAGTCCAAAGAGATGTTTTTTGAAGAAGGGACAAGGTATTGCTAGGTATGGTTTACCATCCAAATCCAAACCAATAAAAGATTTGAAATCTGTAAAACCTAAAGTGGATAGTAATTCCTCACAGCAAAATAGACCATCAAAACCTGATACTCAACAAAATAAGTCTGCCAGACAAGACAGTAACTCAAGTCAGCAAAATAAAGCAGCAAGGGGAGATAATAGACTGAATAAAATGTCAAAGGGAGACAATTTAACAAAACTTCAGAAGGCTGGAGGAAAAGAAGATGGTCAAGGACCCAAGAAAAGAGCGGTAAATTTATCTTAAACATTTAGAATGAATTTTATTATAAAATGTTGCATCAGCCAACATATAAAAGATATTAATAGATAATCATTTAAAACATGATTTGCTGATGTGCCAGACAAGCTTTGATACTTTTATGCTTGAATACTTGTGCTTTAGATATTTAAAAGCTTCTAAGACATATTGAAAATGTTTTTAAGTAATAGTTTGGCAAGTGAGATGATGTTAGTGTGACATGTTGTTTTCTTTTTTTGTCAACTAAGAAAAAGGACAGAGTGATAAATAAGTTGTAAGCTTTGTGTTTCTAGAATTTATAAATGATCATTTTTGATTAGTTTTAATTTTATAAGTTATTTATGAAAATGAAGCTGACACCTCTAATTTTGGCACCACCTCGGTTGTCTCGTGGTAGCATGTTCGCCTCAAGTGTGGGAGGTCGTGAGTTTGAACCCAGGGTCAGAGTCAGAATAATGTGTCCAGGTAAGGTGACATGTCTTCCTGTGAACTGTTACCTTGTGAACTAGCACGTTAAAAATCCGGCTCATCGTGTCGGTCTAGTACAAACCAGGGTTAATATTCATATTACATTAACATGTTCTCGTCCTCAGTATGCATATTAATTTACCACTGGACATTAAGCAGCCATCCATGATGATGATCATCATCATCTAATTGTGGCAATTGATTATTCTGATTTTCTTTATTTGCAGACCTGGCAAGACAGAAATAAACTGAACTTGAAGACCTCACCAGCAAAGAACCAGAAACTAATTAAATCTCCAAATGCCAGAGAGGATACACTGCCAAAATATCAGCAAGCAAGTAATGTCAATGATCAAAAAGTACAAGATAAAAGACAACTTAATAAACCTCCTGCAAAAGGAGAACTTCCCAAAGGGAGACAACAAATTCAGAAACCAAGTGGAAATGTAAATAAGCAACAAAGAATTGAGGAAAGGGAAACACTGTCAAAGTCCCCTGATTTCATTTCTGATAATGATTCATTTGTTGCAAGGATTAATCAAAGAGCAAAGAATGATGTGTTAGAAAAAGAGGAGGTTGATGAATTTGAATATCTAGAGAACTGTGCAGACAATATGTCATTCTGTAGTCAGTCATCATTTGTTACCAAAATATTACAGAAAGATAGAATGAAACATGATCCCTTAAAACCTTTACAACAGGTAAATTTTTAATCTTATTTTTCATACCAAATGAAATATCAACTTATATCCTACCTTCTAAAGATTTCAGAAAATTCAATTGGTTGTGCAACAAATAGTGTATAGTTAATACAAGGTGTGTACAAGAGTTATTATTCATGATAATATTAGTTACATAGTGTGCTAGTGACCTAATACGATATATATGGGGTCAGTAAATTCCATATGAAGATTCGAACGACCTAATACGATATATATGGGATCAGTAAATTCCATATGGGGTGAGAGCGAAGCTTGAATCCCCATATGGAATTTACTGACCCAATATATATATCGTATTAGGTCACTAGCACACTGTGTAACAAATTTTTCTTACCGACTATCTTAACATGTGGCATTTAGACTAATGGCCTATCAAAGTGATTAAGTCTTCAATATTAAGAACCTACTTCCATTAGTCTATAGAAAAACAAATGCCAACAATAACAACTTGTTAGGTTTAGATGTGTTTTATGAATTTATTTCAATTGTTCATCATCAATTTCTTTGTCTGTTGAAACCTTTCAGATTTTTCCTCAACACTGTGTTGTTTTTACAAAGGGACGTAACACCACTACTAACCTTGTATTGAAATAAACCACGCCTACTAACCCCATATGAAATATACATGGTCTCCACGCAGTTGCTTTTAACCAATTATATTCCTAGAAATGTATAGGAGGTAAGATAATGCCCGATACAAGACAGCATCAGTTAGATATTCAGATTTAGTAATAGATACACATATTTTTCCTAGTAGAAGATAGGCGTGGGTATGATATAAATATTACACAGTCTGTCAGTGACCTTTTATGGTAGATACAAGGTTGGTAAATTTTATATTAGGATTCAAGCTGCGATCTCACACCATATCTAATTCAACTGTGTATATACATATAATAAGGTCACTGATGGACTGAGTTATAAAATATTAAGATTATATTTTTCAGATAAGCATTGAAAATTGACAATATAAAAATAAGGAGATGTGGTATGATTGCCAATTAAGTAGTTTTCTTTTGTCCAATCAAAATAATGTATAAATAGTTATCTTTTTGTTCTTTCTTATTTGTAGTCTCCCAGAACATCAGTTGCCATGCAGCTTCAAGCTACAATAAAAAATGCTACACAACAACATCAGAGTTTACAGCAAAATGCTCACAGGTTAGTTGATTTGAAAAATTGGTTTGTTGTCAATGTATAAAACTACTGTATGGTTTATTGCCAATAAAATGTAGAAAAGAACTATGGTTAGTTGCACATAAATGGTGTAGAACTGTATTAACATGTCAGCACTCTGATCAATTCTAGAAAGTTTTTTTTTTAATTATTGAACCTTACTTCAAAGTCTAGAATATTATGTGGACACTTGTTGCAAGTAACAATGAGCAATACAAGAGTTTGAATGGTGGATACCAGATTTTTTACAGAATACTGTGGATTCATTATTATTCGTTAGATATCAATTTTCGTGGATTTCGTGGGTGCAGTTAAACCACGAAATTAAATGTTCAACAAATGACAAATTTTCTTAAGGCTTGTATGCAGACTTTGGCAAAACCATGAAATTAAATATCCACTAACATATAAGTTTTCTTTCATCCACGAAAATTGGTACCCACGAAAATAAATGAATCCACAGTAGTTTAATATCTCTGTTGGTTGTTAAAAAGCTAAGATGTGGTACAGTATCTTTGACTAGAAAGTTAAACTGACAATGTTAACATATTTGCATTAGTTATGAATACACAATTTTGAGTTTGTTTCACCATTAAAGGAAATAACATTTTCTGACAAATTTTTAGTGCCACAGACTGAAAGTGAGTTTTTAACCGGATTTTCGAAGGAAAAATCGGTTATTGAATTGGGAATGTAAGGCGGGCGGGCGGACTTGCAGCTGCCAAACAGTGTCCATTCATTAACATGAAAACGCTGTGAAGAAATATTTTTAAATTTAGATATGTTGTTTCCTGTGGAAAATCCGGTTTGCTGTCACTCTGACACCCTCTTGTTTGTAAATGCATCAAAAATTATTTTTTTTGCAGAAGTAGTAAATGCACTAATATAGAGTTTGTTCACATTGAAGGAAATAAATACTTTTTCCGGAAAGTTTACAACAGAAAACATTTGATGTTATAGATTCAAACTTGATACTGGTGGAAAGTGGTATAAAACATAAAATGGACATACTTTTAATTTTGTTAGGTATAAGGTAGTTAATGAAGCCATTTTTTTTTTATTAGAACTTCATGTATACTGCATGTATGATTTAGTTGTATTTAAAAAAAGACAACTTTTGTTCCCTTTCCTGTACATTTTCTATGTCAAAATGCTTATTTTATTACATCACAGTATTAAAGAACCAATTGTTCAATGACATCGTTTATGCTGATTGACCTCAGGTCAACCGATGTAACTCATTCATAAAAAACAACTCTACATTGGTCTTTATTTTTACAAAATAAAAGCATGAAGGCATCTTTTTCAGATTCATGAAAAGAGCATTATAATTCTGAATTCATTTCATTATCAATATATATGTTTTTGCAGGAACGTGGAGTCAGAAAATATTGAGCAACCAGTACTTCAGCCTGAACAGGTGAAGAAACAAGAATTGAAAGTGATAAAACCACAAGATCAATCCGATGAGGAGGATGAAAGTTCTGTAGAAGAGGATGATGACGATAAGGAAAATGAAGATGAGGAGGAAGAGGATAGTGAGGAAGAAAGCAGTGATGAAACTGAGAGTGAAGATGATAGTGATAGTGATGATTCTGATGAAGAGCTGCCAAAATCTCCTACAAAGGTCATGACAAGGAAAGTGGCATCTCAAAACACTGTATCAAATTTATTACAAAAACTGAAAATAAATTCACATAATGATTCTACAGCTAGTCTGAATACAAGTTCATATGTACCGAACCCTAAATCTCCTTTAGTTATATCTAAAGAAGTAACTACGGCAAGTAAATCTAAGTCAGATACTAATTCTCAAGGATTTAATGGTCTAGATGAAAGTATTGATTCTACAGATTTTAAAATTCATAGTCAAATTTCTAGTCTAAGAAAATCAACAGATTCTACGTCTGACGATGGGAAAAATGACAGTGACGATAGCGAAAATTCTTATTCAAACTTGAAAATTCTTCCTAAAAGGACTGGAAAATATGATAGTAGTGAGACTGATAGTAAATTTACCTCTGACTCAGATAATAAGCTTCAAAGTGAATCAGATGATAAACATTCAAGTGATTTTGATGATGAAGAGGAATGGGGAGACACCACATTAAAGGCCAAATCTCCTAAGGAGAAGTGTAATGACCAAGAAGGTGAGAATTTTACAGATTGAAATAAATCTTGTAGAAAATGTTGGAGTAGCCCAGAACAGTGATCATTGCAAACGATATGAGCTGTACGAAAACATTAAAACATACAGAAAGGATTGTGATCAGAAAATAGTTCTCTCTATTTTCTCAAATTTATCTTTGATCTTTCTGAATGATCATTTTCTATATCACACTACCAGTACCCGAGTGATTTGGCTTCTTCTTAGTTGAGTTAAAAGAGAATATCAATGGTCTTTCAAAGATGAAGATGTTTCTCAGCTGTATATCATCTCAGGGCTATCACCCTTAGATGAGATTGTAGCTGAGAAACTCCCTAACGTTTGAAGAACCACCAATAGTCGATAAAGGTATATTGTGCGTATGAAATCTCAACAAATATTCAGTCAAATTGGTGCGCATATGTGACATATTCTTTTCAAAATATTTAATCAACACATTGTTAAAACTGTCTTTAATTTATTTTCCTAACTAAGAAAATTCCTTATCAAATTTCCAATTTGTAAAATTAAATTGATTTCTTCATTGTGACAGAGCTGTCTATGTTAGGTACTTTATTTTATGAATCACTCTGCATGATTGTCGATTTGATCGAGATTCATAGCTTTCATGACAAAGTATCAAGTTATCAATTGACAAATTATCAAAGCATCTTCTATTAAATAGCCACTCATGTGGCAGGTGTGCTCGACTCCAATCTTAATTGACTTAGATTGTCAGTTTTCCTACCAAAGGAAAATAGCCAATAATGCTGAAAGTGGTGTTAAACACCAATCAATCAATCATTGTTAAGGAAAACTGAAAAAAATTTGTCATAATATTTTGTAATATATAACATGTACAATAATTATGTGATATAAAATATTACTCGTTTATTGATATTTTAACTAAATTTTTTCTTGCAGAAACCAGTAATGGAAGTGAAACACCTCCAACATCAAAGTTGGTGTCAAAATTATTTCCTAAATTGAAACCTCAGCCATCTAAACAACAGATTAAGGTTTGTATGGGAACAAAAACTGCAACAAAATTATTATCAAAATTCAAACCTAGACTATTTCAACTGATAAGAGTGAAAACCCAATTATACCATTTGTCAAAGTTAAGCTCACAATTTGTAAAAGAAAAATACATAAATGCTTTGCAATTTCTTTTCCTCCCATCATGGAAATTTATGACACAAAGTCCCAACACGCACATGAAAAAACCAAAAGCGAAAGAATAGCATATTTATTATTGTTCTTCATCTCAAAGATACATTAATGCCTTCAACAATGAGCAAAAACTCTAACCTGTTTTCAAGAAATCTCCAGCGCAGGCTTGAGCAGAACCCTTTGCTAGATGTCCATCAATTGCATGCTACATTGAGGTTACACTGCTGCTGGGTTATATCAACAAATTATAATTTATATCTGACAAAGAAAACAAATATCAGTCTTCATGAAAAACTTTTTAGCTTACTGGCCTGAAAATCAAATGTATCACAAAATTTCTAATATCTTTAACTATTGAAGAAACTTGTTACGGGCCCTATTATACATTTTCACCAGCCTGGGCCAACAGTCATGACAGTCTAGAGGGAAATTGTGAAATTTGTCCCAGTGGAAGTCAATAATTTCTGCCGTCAATCTTTTTTTTTTAAATCTTGTCAAGACAATGAAGAAGCAGAAAAAAAATGTAACGAATGGAAAAGTTTTATCTATTGATTCTTCTTGGTTGTTATGTTCCTGTGTTAGTCATGTCATTCTGTTAATAATCAACAAACAAATTCAATATTGATGCATTTGACATATTCATTCCTATTTAGGATCAGCAAAAACTACAGACAGTAAACCATACAGCAGCAAATGATGGTGTTCAGTCAAAGGTCTTAAGGGAGAAATTAGCTGAGCTGGAGAAAGAGATAGAGAAGTTCCGAAGTGAAAATGTAAACCTAGACAAACTACGCAAAGAAAGAGAGGAGGTATTTACTTTTAAGTAATAAAAAGTTTAAAAAATGAATTGTAGTTGTCTAGAAGATTAGGGCTAGTCCATTAAATGAACGTGGGAGGGTAGAAAGGGAAGTTTTTTTTTTTGGAAATGGGTTGAGGGTCCTTATTAGTCCCCTACCGACAAGTGGACAGGGACTATAGGTTTGCACTCTGTCCGTCTGTCTGTTTGTCCATCCGTCAGTCCAGCAGGACAGTTTTCCATACTTTTTTCTTCGTGCTCGAAGATATTGATTTGATATTTGGTATATAGTTTTATCATGACCAGTTACAGATTAAGATTTAATTTTGTTCTAGTCTGATGATTTTGTGCAGAGTTATGGTCCTTGGACTTAGAAAATTCATGCAAATAATCAGTTTTCCACACTTTTTTTTCGTCATGCTTGAAGATATTGACTTGATAGTTCTTATATAGTTTACAACATGACAAGTTATATATCAAGTTAGCATTTTGTTTTAGTACAATGAATTTTTAACTGGTAGGGGACTATGTATTGCCATGCAATATTCTCAGAAAGCTTGTTCATGTTATTGGTTGTATGTCTATTTGATGTGTGCCAAATTATTTAAAAAAAGTATTTTGGTTGTGTGGTAGTGGGAGGAAAGAGATGAAAGCCTTTTCCTTCTCTTTCACATATATCTTTTAAGTGAATAGGCCTTAATACATAGTTTCCATATCTTTTAAGAATTTAATGCTTACTTAAACATTTTCTGGTGGATTTGAAAGCTTTTATGTTAGCAAATTTTGCAGAAAGTGCAAAAAGTTGTACCTTTTATTGTGAAGAATAACAGTAAAACTAAAAGCAATGTTTTTTTTTCTGACAAATGGTCAGGTCTTTGTATTTAGTTTAATATTTTTTTCATGTAGAACTTCCAATATTTTGTTTTTCTACATGCAAATAAGTGATTTATTGATAAATCTCTGAAATGTTAGAGGTTTCAAAGATTTAAGTTTTTAGTTTTTCAATTTCTACTTACTTTCCCTATTGGATCTTTAATTTGTTTTGTTGACTAGGATAGACAGTTTTCATGCATAAGGTTGGTTGTTTTCTATAGCAATTCAAGCTTCCTCCACAAACAAAAACTGGCCGCCACAATATAGCCAATAGTGCTGAAAGTAGGGTTAAACACCAACAATCAAACAAATCAATCAATTTAACTTTTTTTTAACAAATTCTTGCAGTAACTCATAGGATAATGAGAAATGTTTTTGAAAGTACTTTTTTGTGAGCATTCCCCTCATATCCCATCCTTATCAATATATAATCATTCAGATATAGTCATGATTGTTGTTTAATCTTGTCTATGAAGTACAGAATACCTACCTACCTAGTCCTTATTATGCCCGGAGGCACATAGGGCAAGGACTAGATCTTTCCACTCATCTCTGTTCTGTGCTTTCTTTTCTATTTCGCCCAAGCTGATTCCATGTTCTTTCATTTCAGCTTCAACTGTTCTTCTCCAAGTTGTTTTGGGGCGTCCTTTCTTTCTTTTCCCCTCAGGTGTCCATCTTAGGGCAACTCTGGTCAAGTCCTCTGCTGGTCTTCTAAGAACATGGCCAATCCATCTCCATCTTTTTTGCGTCAATAAGGTCTCCATGCTGTTGGATCCTGTTGTTTCATGGAGGTCTTTGTTGGTGATCTTACGTGGCCAGAATATCCTTAAGATCTTTCTAAGGCAACCGTTGTGAAAACTGGAGAGCTTGTTGATGTCTTTTTCTGTCATTCTCCAGCATTCAGCCCCATATAGCAGCACTGCTAGTACACAACTGTTATATAGTCTAATTTTGGTTTTCTTACTGATGTTGCTTGACTTCCAGATGTGACTTAGTTTTAAAAATGCAGTTCTTGCTTTTCCTATTCTGGCTCTGATGTCTTTGTCTGCTCCTCGTTCAGATGTTACTATGCTGCCCAAGTAGGTGAAAGATGAAGTGCAATCCAGGTGTGTCCCGTTTAAATCTATTACAGGAGGCTCTGAGATGTTAAGAGGCATGACTTCTGATTTCTTAATGTTGATATTCAATCCAATCATACTTGCATTCTTTTGTAACTTAGTGGTTTTGTCTTGCATGTGTGTTTCTAGATGTGACAGTAAGGCCAGATCATCTGCATAGTCCAGATCTTCTAGGTAGTTAAAGAGAGTCCACCTGATGCCTGTGTTGTTAATGCTTATGGTGGATTTCATTACCCAATCGACAACTATTATGAATAGAAGGGAAGACATAACACAGCCTTGTCTAACTCCCGATTTTACTAGAAAACTGATGTCTGATGATGTTCCTACAGTGCATCTGAATTCTGTATAAAACATTTTGATAAGTTGTACTATTTTAGCGGGTATTCCATAGCTTCGTAAGATCTTCCATAAGCTTTCTCTGTGTATGCTGTCAAAGGCTTTTTCAAAGTCTATAAAGTTTATTATCAGTTGCCTCTGCCATTCTGTGCACTGTTCTATAATGTTTCGTAGCACAAATATGTGGTCGCAACAACTCTTTCCTTTTCTAAAGCCTGCCTGTTCTTTTCTGAGTTTGTTGTCAATTGCTGTTTTAATTCTATCTATTAATATTTTGCTGAAAATTTTACTTGGGATTGGTAATAAGGTGATTCCTCTCCAGTTATTACAGTTTGTGAGATCGCCTTTCTTAGCCAGTCTTATGATGTTACCTTCTGACCAGTTTTTAGGTATTTTGATATTTTGCCAAATATTTTTGAATGGTGTGTGCAGAATGTTTGCTGTTAAGGCTGGATCTGACTTGAATAGTTCTGCTGATAGCTTATCATTTCCGGGGGCTTTATTGTTTTTAAGGCTCTTTACTGCTCTGATAATCTCTGATTTGATGGAATTTCTATGTTTACTTCAAGGTCGTGTTCTGCGATGGGTATGTTTGCTGGTTCTGGCCTATTTAGTACTTCTTTGAAATGTTCATTCCATCTACTCTCTTGTTCTCTTTCAGATGTTATTAGATTACCCTGTTTGTCTTTTACTGGCATGTTGGTGTTTCTTTTGTGGCCACAAAGTTTCTTTGTAATTTGATAAAGGTCGCCCATTCTTTGCTCTGAAGCAGCTTTTTCAGCCTCTAGAACCATTCCTTCGATGAACTCTTTTTTATCTTTTCTAGTGGCTTTCTTAACTTCCTTATTGCAGTTGGAGTATTGACCCATTAGTCTATCTTTTAGTCTATCAGAGTGAGTGTTACATATCTTTTTCTTTAGCTCTTTTCTGTTGTCAATCAGATTCCATGTCTCTGGTTTGATCCATTCCTTGTGTTTTTGGCGTTTGAAACCCAAGATTTTTTCGCTGGTCTTTTTAAACAGATCTTCAACTTCTAGTCATTGCTCATCTACTGTTTCACTTTCTTCCATGTTGTTACTTTTACGTTGTTCTAATATTTGAAAGCGGTTCTTCAGTTCTAATTTGAAGTCATGGTTGGTTTTCATGTGTCTGAGTTTTCCTGTGTCAAATCTCTGTACCCTGCAAGGTTCTGATGCTCTCATAAGTTTGAGTTTGATGTTTGCTGTGACAAGATGATTGTCACTTCCTACATCAGCGCCTCGCCTTACTCTCACATCTTGTAAGGATCTCCTCCATTTACCGTTAATTGCTATGTGGTCTATCTGATTTTTATCTCTGCCTCCAGGTGATACCCAAGTCAGCTTATGGACCTCCTTGTGTCGGAACAATGTTCCACCTATTACAAGATTGTTCAGTCCACAGAAGTCTACTAGATGTTCTCCATTTTCGTTCATGATTCCACAGCCATGTTTCCCCATTATTCTCTCAAAACCACTGTTATCTTGTCCCACTTTAGCATTAAAATCTCCCATGATGATTGTTAGGTCTTTTTTGGGGATTTTCTCTATCTCAACTTGGAGCATTTTGTAGAATACCATCTTTATTTCTTTATCAGCTTCATTTGTTTTGGAATAGACTTGGATGATTGATGTCTTTATAGGTTTTGTATTTAGACTTGCTGTTATTATTCTTTCATTGACTGGATTGTACTCAATGAGTGATTTAGATGCTGATTTGTTGAGGATGATGGCAACTCCTCCCTGGTGTTTGTCATCTTTTCTACCAGAGTATATGATTGTATCTCCTGTATTTGTCAAGTTTTTTCCAAACCCTGTCCATCTGCATTCACTTATACCTAGTATGTGCAGCTTGTTTTCCTTCATTTCTCTTAACACTTGAGCTTGTTTTCCCGTCTCGTACATGGTACGGACATTCCAAAAGCCCTGTTTAAGTTTGGTTCTCGCATTCAGGATACTTTTCGTGTGACTAGCTTCCTGTCGGCTTTCACTAGTCCCATTCATATGCGCAGAATTCTGCTGGTATTCTGATGTTACGAGACGAGGTAAATTTTTTCTAATCCTTGTTTCCGTAATCAGATGCTGTTTTATGAGTAGGGGAGATTACCCCCTAGCTCAACCTCCAACCTGGTGGACCAGGGTTATTTGTTTATGGTTTTCCTTCCAATAAATAGATGCCTTCCTAGGCTTACGAGTCTGATCTACCCGTTGTTTGATTTTAGAGTTTTCTTCTCTTAGGAAAATTGCTGTAACCTGGCTGCGACCCTCTCCTGGCCGACTATTTCACCCATAGTTGGGGCAAGGTTAATGAGTGCTAGGGCATGTCCACATACCAATGGGCCTACACACTGCATTTCTGGGGCCCTTGCTGCTCCGAGATCCCCAACAGATTCGCCTGATCTATGCAATCAGTTTCCGTGTGCTACCGCGGGGAGGCTACTGCTGAAGTCTTGATAATGCAGAGGCTATGTACTGGCAGGAAAGACTTACTCACTCTGCTTTCTTTTCGCAAAAAATATTGCTAGCCAGCGGCATAAGACATCCATAGGACAGTCCCATACACTAGACGCATATCATTACCCTGTGATGCACTACCATCACCAACACACATGAAGTACAGAATATGATATCTTTAATAATTATTTTAGGGTCTTTCACGTTTAAAGAAAGAAATAACAGACTTTGAAAAAGAGAAAAATAAGGAACTGATTAGAATACAGGACTATAAGACTGAAGAAATGAAGAAATTAAAGTAAGTAACTATGAATCTGATATAAGAATTATATTTCACCTGTAGTTAGTGTGAATTTTTTGCTATATGAAAAAACAAATGAAAAATTTCCATATGACTTTTGTTTCCTATTGATTTGAGTTTTGTGTCCTATTGAATTTGATTGAACATAAGTGATATATGATTTTTGTTTGATCTAATAAGAATCAAGAAAATACAGAGTTTGAGATTTGATCCTTTTATTTATAGGCATGAAAAGAAAATGTTTGAAAAGTATCAGAAGGCAGCTAGAGACATACCAAATAAAAAGGAAAGAGAAGAAATAGAAATGTTAAAAAATCAGGTCAGTTTGGTTAAGTTATATTGCCACTCTAAGACTAAGGTATGTTTGGTCAAGTTATATGGCCACTCTAAGAATCAGGTCAGTATGGTCAAGTTATATGGCCACTTTCGAAATCAAGTCAGTTTGGTCAAATTATATGGCCACTCTAAGGTACCATGTCAAAAGGATATTGCCAATTATCATTGGCTCTGTCCACCTGTTGTCCATTACTCCATTATGCAAATTTAAAAAAATATACTTTGTAACCACCTAGTCAATTTAAACCCTACATTAGCCTAAGTCATTTTTAAGTTATCAATTATGAGATTACGTTCCATGACATAGTATCAGCAAAGAAGTGACATTGAACCACCATTTCTTTTGGAACCTCAAATAATATATGCCTACTACTTAAAACCAGAAAAAAATAAGAGCCAATTTTAAAGTTCTTGTTATCCTATCCTCTTTTTTATATAGATATATAGCAAACATATAAAAATAAGAAGATGTGGTATGATTGCTAACAAGACAACTCTCTACTGTAGACCAAATGACGCAGGGATCTCCATGACCTGTTTAATGATGGTGCACCTCCACTGTTAAAATATCTTCCGCCATCGTCAAATGATTCCCGCCATCGTTAAATTATCTTCCGCCATCGTCAAATGATCCCTGCCATTGTCAAAATTTGTTTTCGTTTCGCTAGCGCCCACCATTTTTTTTTTAGCAATTATAATCAATTGCATGTGATTGCATAACTCTTAGGCTTATTGTATTATAATCCAAAGGGCCCTCCTGATTACAGTTTTAAAGCCCTCTGGGATATCAGACTAAAGATTGCTAATCACTTGTACAGGTAGATCCACAAACCTGTCAGGAGATCACTTGATAAAGATTGATTGCATTATTTAATTACGTTTCAGCAAATGCCAATGAAAATTTAGATTAAACTATATATTTTAAATCCAGTTACAAATAAAAAAGTTTAACAAGTCAAACATATATTTTTGTTTTATATTGACTTACGCAATCAGCATCGTCCTTTTTAAACGAGAACAAATGACATTAAACAGAACATAATTTCATGCCAAATAACACGAGTACAGCAATAATTGATAAACTGCAACTTGATAATCTGAAGAGAAATTTCGTATCATAATTTCGAAATTCATTTCATAGTTTACAATAGAATTGATGCCCCCGGTTTACATTCAGAATCAAAAGATAGTATATTACTATGAAATTTGCAATTTAAAGTCATAAAAATCTTTAAAGTTGTAAGTGTTTGTCCTCCAAATCTTTCTTCAATATTTTACAAAACGGATACGAAGCTTCATGTTGTTGATGCTGCAAATTGTTGATACCGGTTCATGACTTCTGAATTTGACAGTGAAAAAAAGATCCCCCCCCCTCCCCTTCTATAATGAAATAAAATATATATTAAGCAGTATATCAGTCTGTTCACCATTCCTTACATGGAAATGGAGGAATGAAATACTTTTGATCATGCCATGCCATAGACACAGGGTTTTGTCATGGTGAAAGTTCCTCCATCGTTAAATTTCATCCATGGAGATCCCTGTATTGTAGAAGTTTATAGCAACTATAGGTCACTGTACGGCCGTCAACAATGAGCAAAACCCATACCGCATAGCAAGCTACAAGATGCTCCATTGTAAAACAATTTAAACAAGAAAACTAAAGTCAATTTTGTGATGGGGAAACCCTAAATTACATTCATATTGGAAAAGAAATTGAAAAAGTGCAGTATGCCATTAGATTTATACAATTGTTTTACCAGCATCTTTAGGATTATTGATATTATTAGATGAAAATCTCATTTAACTGGAATTGTCGTACTCAAATTGTATTTCACACTTAATTATGCAAATGATAGTAGATACACATATTTCTGTAAGCTCTATGCCACAAAGGAAAAAGAAATGAACTTGTTGTTGTTATTGGTTTTGGTAGGCGGCTTACTTATGTAGTAATTGCAACTTAAATTCATATAACATAAATATTATGTATATACTCTGTCCTTAATTTATTTTTAATATTACATTTTGGCGAGTAATTATATGAAACTGTGACGAACATGGTTGACTGTGTTATAATAAAGTATTTATACGTAGAAAAAAAACACTGAAAAAAATGTTATAGGAAAATTGATAGTTCCTAATGAAATGTAAATTATTAACTGATAGGTATCATAAAGTTGTTTAGAAATTTCAGCACATGTTTCTATTCTGAAATATATGAGCTTATTGATTGTGTTTGTATGTTTCTTATTTTTATGCCCCCACCGTAGCAGTGGGTGCATTATGTTTTACCCTTGTCCGTCTGTATGTACGTCCGTACGTCCCAAAATTGGTTTCCATTCTCTAACTTGAGTTTGCCTCAACCAAATGTTATGAAACTTATACAAAATGCTTATTACCACAAAACACAGATCAAGTTTGAATTTTGGTGGCGTCACTTTAACCGTTCTAGAGTTATGTTTCTTTATAAATGGAAAAATTGCAAAATTTTTAGTTTCCGTTCTCTAACTTAAGTTTGCCTCAACCAAATGTTATGAAACTTATACACAATGCTTATTACCACAAAACACAGATCTAGTTTGAATTTTGGTGGCCTCACTTTAACCGTTCTAGAGTTATGCCCCTTTATAAATGGAAAAATTGCTAAATTTATATTTTCTTCTTAATATGAAGTAATTTTTATATGACCGCAAAAAAATTTTTGTGGTCGTATATTGGTATGACGTTGTCGTCGTCGGCGTCGTCCGGCGTCGTCCGAAGACACATTGGTTTTCGCACTCTAACTTTAGTTTAAGTGAATGGATCTCTATGAAATTTTACCACAAGGTTCAATACCACAAAAGGAAGGTTGGGATTGATTTTGGGGGTTATGGTACCAACAGTAAAGGAATTAGGGGCCAAAAAGGGGCCAAAAATAAGCATTTTTGTAACTTCCAGACATAACTTGTGTGTTAGTGTATGGATCTCTCTGACATTGTACCACAAGGTTCCATATCACAAAAGGAATGCTGGGATTGATTTTGGGGTTAATTGCCTCAAAATTTTAGGAATTAGGGGCCAAAAAAGGGGCAAAAAACAAGCATTTTTCTAGTTTCATGACAATAACTTGTGTGTAAGTGTATGGATCTTTCTGAAATTGTACTACAAGGTTCCATATCACAAATGGAAAGCTGGAATTGAGTTTGGGGGTAATTGCCGAAACGTTTAGGAATTGGGGGCCAAAAAGGGGCCAAAAATAAGCATTTTTCTAGTTTCCAGACAATTACTTGTGTTCAAGTGTATGGATCTCTCTGAAATTGTACTGCAAGGTACCATACCACAAAGGGCCCAGTTTTCAAGTTGGTCCAAATCGGGGTCCAAAATTAAACTTTGTTTGATTTCAACAAAAATTGAATATATGGGGTTCTTTGATATGCTGAATCTAACCATGTATTTAGATTTTTGATTTTTGGGCCCCGTTATTAACTTTGTCCACATTGAGGTCGAAAGGGTCCAAAATTAAACTTTGTTTGATTTCATCAAAAATTGAATTCTTGGGGTTCTTTGATATGCTGAATCTAACCATGTATTTAGATTTTGGATATTGGACCATAATAGGTGAATGTCCAATTTAAAATTTTTAAGTTCTTAGACCACATTCATTCTGTGTCAGAAACCTATGCTGTGTCAAATATTTAATCGCAATCCAAATGCAAAGCTGTATCAAGCTTGAATGTTGTGTCCATACTTGCCCCAACTGTTCAGGGTTCGACCTCTGCGGTCGTATCAAGCTGCGCCCTGCGGAGCATTTTATTAAGATTCGAGTTATCTTCCTTTGTCCATGATTATAGTTGAATCAACTACAATCAATGCTTTATACAATGCAATGTTTAATTTTGACTTCCACTGATAAAACACAGATCAAGTTGAATTTGGGTAGTGTCACCATTATTGATTTATGCCCATTTATAAATCGAAAGATTGCAAAATTTTAAAATACCATTCTGTAACTTAAGTTTGCCCCAACCAAACATTATGAAACCTATACACAATATTTATTACCACAAAACTAAGATCAAGTACAAATTTTTTGTTTCCGTTTTCTAACATTAGTTTGCCTCAACTAAATGTTATGAAACTTATACACAATGCTTATTACTACATAATACAGATTAAGTACGAAATTTGGTGGCGACACTTTTACCATTCTTGAGTTATGTCCCTTTATAAACATAAAAATTGCTGAATTTTTCGTTTCCGTTCTCTAACTTTAGTTTGTCTCAACCAAATGTTAAAAATCTTATACACAACCGTTCTAGAGTTATGCGTGTTTACAGATAGAAAAATTGCTGAATTTTTAGTTTCTGTTCTCTACTTAAGTTAGCTTCAACCAAATGATATGAGACTTACACACAATGCTTATTACCACAAAACTCAGATCAAGTTCAAATTTGGGTAGCGTCACTTTTACCGTTCTTCATGATCAGTTATGTCCCTTTATAACTATATGATATGCAAGAGGGGGCATTTTCTGTCTATCCACATTTATCTAATAATATGACTGTCAGTTTGTGAAATTCTGAAAGAGATATTGTATTTTCTTTTGTTCTTACTTTTCCTTTAGCTTTTAACATATACCGTTAAATAATTAAGACAAAAGTTAGTGGTACTTTCATAGAAAAGGCTGTAGCAAATGGTTCTATTGTTAAATATATGAGCATAATGTGTTGTTTTTGTTGTTTGTTTTTCTTAATTAAAAATATGACTGCAATTGTCCATTAGTGAGAATCTTAAAGTGATATTGTTTTTTTCCCTTAGCATATACTGTTAACTTATCTAGTGTCGGAGTTACTACTTATCTTCACAGGCGGAAACCCAGTTGAAATTAAACAAAAGAAATGGAACTCTTTGTTAGAGAAGGTAAAAAAGCCAAATTGGTATATTTGAATTGTTTACTTCTGTTTCTATTGGCTTTAAAAGTGAACTTAATACATTTACTGTGGTCATTAATTTGTTAATTGTTATTCACTTAGATGACAGACTTACAAGAGGAAATGAAGAGAAAAGAGACAAGATGGACCTCCAGTAACTCCAGACTAAGGAGTAAGATAGAACAGTTAGAACAGGAAAACACAGAGTTAAAAGAAGAAATAAAACTAATGGAAAAGAGGAGGCTGGAATGGCTTCAGAAAGAACAAAATAATAAGGTATAACCAATGTCTTTATGATTCAGATTTGCTGCCACCAATGTTCATTTCAATAAGTGTTTATGGTTTTCAGTCTTTGAGGTAAAGTTCACTGAAGTACATGTAAGACTATACAGTAATTAATTGTGTTTGAGATTGGTTTAAATTTATATTTACAAATATGAGTTGAAAGCATTACTTCAAAAATCTGTGCTAAAAATAAAATTAGCTGAATGTTTGAAATTTCAGGGAAAATCTAAATCAGCACCAAGAAGTAGTACCCCATCTCAGCTAGTCCCTACACAAAACTCAGCAGACTTTCAGACCACAGACTCGGATGAAGAGAAGGACCCTGTTAGAGGTATTTTTTAATTTTTCAATGTATTGAAGTTTAAAAGCATTAATTGGGTAAAATTATCTTTGTGAGATCTTTATTTTGATGACTTCAAATTGGATAAAACTAAATTGAAACCTACAAGTACTGTAATTAGAACAAAAATTAAATAAATATCAAGATTTTTTTCTTTAAAATACTTAGAAATTATTTTGGTTACTGTAAATTTAGAAATTATTGCGATTTTTGAAGAATGGACTAAATTGCGAGATTAATTATTGCGATTTTAGGAAAATATGGATACAGATTTATGTATCAGATATCAGAATGCGAGTTGTTATTATTGCGATACTCACCAAGTTGCATTATTCGCAATAATAAATACCTTGCTATATTTTTATAAATATAACAATTTATGTTATCACACACACATGATTAGCCACTGTAAAGTTTAAGAATTAATTTTTCATATTCAGTTATTAAATATAACTTTCTGTGGTTGATTAGACTATACTGATTGATAAATTAATATTTTTACAATGCATTGGGACATAACATCTATAATTGTAGTAAATGTCATTGATATAAGAAATATTATGCAGTAATACATACTGATCAATCCCTCTACCCTGGAAGGAAAGAGTAAGTAATTCTCCTTCATTTGTTGGTTTTAAATACATTTTTACAATATATGTTTTTAGGATATTTTGACATTTTACATACTCTTTTAGACTCCTCTAGTTCTAAGACATCATACTCTCAAATGTCACTTAGAGCCACACAGTCTGCTACACAAGTCAGAGTTCCAGGTATTCCAACACAGCAATCATCGTCACAACCTTCACTGCCTAACAGAACTGCCCAACCAAATTATACCAGTCTTCCAGGAGGTTCAAAGACAGTACAGCCAGGTTTCACTGGCCACCCAGGTCCATCCAAAACTTCCAATTTTAGTAGTCAACCTGGTCCAGCTAAGTCACCTCAGCCTGGTTTTAGTAATGCCCAACAGAAATCACAGGACCACCTTTTGAGGATGTCATTGATGGAAGATGTACCCCGGGGTGGAGCAGTGGTAGCTATGCCACAAGAGTAAGTATATAAATATTATTAAAACGATCACGCTGATTTGTTTTCTGTTAGATTTCTGACTTTCAACAATTTTTGAGAAAAATTAAAAAAATGTATGCAGAACAACCCTTACCGGTCCGGTACCTTAATAAGAAGAAAAATTACAAGATTCTAATAAATAGAATAAAAAAAAACAATATCAAAGGACTATGAAGAAAATTGTGAAAGGGAAGAAAATTGTGAAAGGAAAAAAAAGGTCAGTAACAAACCACAATTCACAAAAACATGGAAAATACAAAGTGTAACATGAACCCCATTCCAAATCAGTAGTGAACTAAGACGACTCAGAAAGTTTTTCCTCACTACCATTTTTTAACATGTTTAGTAATACAAAATAGTCTTTTAAAATAATTTTATCACAAGTTTGATATATTTTTCAGTACAAGTTTATATACAGATACAGAAGGGGATACAACAAATAGTGCTAATGTACCACGGAAGAGAGCATCTAAATATAGTGTAGATAGATCTATGATCGATAAAGGCAATAGTGGCTACGATGAATTTCAGCACAATGATGGCAAGGTTGGTCGCCAATTCTCGCAATACCAGTTAACATTTTATAATACAAAAACTGTCACATTTGTCAGAAAAATGATTTTGATACAATAGTATAAGATAAAGCTACATTTAAATGACAAAGTCTCAATTAAGCAAAGGGAGATAAAAATAGAATATTTCAATATTTTGAATGACTTAAAATGTTTAATTTTGAAGCATCATCAATGATTTGATGGTAAAATGCATCCATTGAATGGCTTTTTACAAAAATGTAGATGTGTTACTGGCTTAATGCTTTACTGAAGACTTTCAATATTTTAAAAATATTTTGGATGGCTTAAATATTTAGAGCATTAATCAAACATTTATTTGGAACATCCATATCTTAGCTCCCTTCTCTTAAAATAGGCTTTTTCTGATATTTTATATAAAGCTTCATTTTATTTTATTGTTTTAGAATCCTTATATTTAGATATGGATCATATGTATAGCAGACTTTACTGTCTGTTAATAGAAACTGTATCAAATATTAAAAAATATAAATTTTTTGACAAAGTTCTTGACATGGGTTCCCTGGTAGTTACCTTCAAAATTTACTGTTAAACAGGATTTTAAAAAAAAATGGATAGCAAAAAATGTCTTTCTGGATCAATTTTTTATTACACTGATTTTATAAACTGTTTTACAGATTGAGAGGATATATAAGACTGGTGCCAGAGAGATTTTATTCGGTAATGGAACCAGGAAGGAGATATCAGCTGATGGAAAATCAATTGTAGTATCATTCTTCAATGGAGACATAAAACAGATCATGCCAGATCAAAGAGTGGTAACTTGAACTTTGTACTGTTTCAGCATTTAATAGAATAACAATATTCTGTGACTAAAGGATTCATATATGTACATTGTACACTGTTATTTTAAAACCAGAAAAAAAACGATTATTCATATTATGACATCTTAAATGTCCAAATCCTGTGTGTAGAAAGACATGGAAGGAATTTGTAACTATATCTTGGTGTGTGTGATGGCCTGTATATGTTATCATCAGGCATGGGGCGAATTACATTGCAATGTAATGCATTATATTACAATTACTTTGACAAAACCATGCATTAAATTACAATTACAATTACATGCATTTATCAAAGTAATGCATTAAATTACAATTACTTTTGCAAAGTAATGCATTGAATTACACATTACATTTGTAAATTTTATTTTCAAGTGAAAAGAAAAATCAAGCATTTTGAAAAACAACACGAAGTCACAATAGATTCTAGCATATGCAGTAACTGTTCCGTGTATTGAATTTAAGTATACATGTAAAAAGTCTATTCAATACGATTATTACATTTTAACATCATAAGGATTTCGAAGGTTTCATGCAGAATGATATTTCTGACTACCTGACTGTTTCACAAAACCTATCAAAGTTGATTGCTCTTCTATCTTTGGTTTTAATGTCAACTTTAATTATATAAATATACATTTGTTTTTTTAATTTCAATCAAAATATTTACTGAGAATTTCTTTCCTAATTATAAAATAAACATAGAGCTTAATTTATGACCAAGTGACAAAATGATGAAAAGATTGATTGTAAAACAAACTAATTAGTGTTACTTAGTCATGTGATGTTTTGACAACAATGGAACACTTTTACAGTAATGCTTTTCAAATATTAATCTTTTTATGCAGGAAAATGTATAAAATAAAATGAAAAAAAGAAAAAAGAGCTCAATCTGATATACAGTGTTGTGTTATTCATATAGAATTGTAATTTGGTCATTCTAGTATTTATACCACTTTATTTTTTTCTTTTCAAGTTCTACCTGGGGCAAGGCTTAATTTCCGAATTCCCTCTAGTGATTTGTGTAAAGTGTAAACAATAAATAGAAAATAAAAAAATCAATATTCAAATGATTATGTTTTTAGCTAATAACAAAATCTTAAATTCTGCTTTAGTTTAATCTCCAACAATCTGTTAAAGATATATAGTATGTGAAAAAAGTAATGCCATGTAATGCAATGTAATGCATGATATTACACAACTTTTTGCTAAAGTAATGCATTAAATTACAATTACATGTAATGCAAAAATTGCTGCATTACACATTACATGCAATTACTTGGAAAAATGTAATGCATTACCATGCATTACAATTACAAATTTGCATTACCCCATGCCTGGACTTATCATAGGTCATGTGAAACATATGTATTTCGGGCAGTCTGGCTTCCTCCACCAAAAATACTGAGAGACACAATTTAGCTGATAGTGCTGAAAGTGGCATTAAACACCAACTATCAATCAATGAAACATATTATATATTTGTCACATCAGTGAACCAACAAAAACTTTACCTGAAAGATGATCTGTACACAAATTATTGTCAATATTTAAGCTATAACCTTTTTAATTCTTAATTATGAAGAAAATTACATAATTTTGGTTTAAAAAATAAATCAAGTTGTGTTATGGTGGCAGACTTAATTTTATTTTTAGGTATATTACTATGCTGAAGCTCAGACTACACACTCTCATTATCCTGATGGCCTAGAAGTTCTACAGTTTCCAAAGTAAGTACAGTTTTTAAAACATTTTATTGCCAAATAGTCCTGTCATATAAGAATTAAATGAAATGTAGGGTAAATGAGGGGGACCAAAAAGTGTAAGTCAACCAACAAGGACATCTAGTGGTCACCATACTGTCTCCAATGATGGATAAACATGAACTATAAATAGTCCATGTACTTTGAAACATAATGAAAATGAAATCAACAGTGATGCCCAAATATCTACACAACACTAAATTGAAAATAGAAAAAAGACACACAAAGGATATAAACTCTTACAGATGAGATTCCTGACTTGGAATAGGACTCTCCATTAAATCTTTGTTTTTTTTGGCATTATTTTTCTTATAAAAAATGAAATACAATTTTTGATGATATTTTCAGCAATCAAGTAGAGAAACATTATCCAGATGGAACCAAAGAAATCACATTTGCAGATCAGACCATTAAATACTTATTCCCTAATGGGTCAGAGGAGAGCATCTTTTCCGATGGAACTGTTATAAGAGTAGATAAGAATGGGGATAAAACCATGGAGTTTCCTAATGGACAAAGAGAAATACATACAAATGACTATAAAGTGAGTTTGTAGTCTATAAGGCATACTTTTCTCTTCTTTTTGTTTGTTTGTTAATTCACAGTTTGTCATTCAGGTATAAGATGTTAATTGTTCAAATTTGCTTAAATAGTATACTGTGGACTCATTTATTTTGGTGGTATCACTTTTCATGGATTGAGGAAAAATTGTATTTGCGTGGAGATTTGATTACATGGTTTTGCAGGAATCTGCATACAAGCATTAGAAAATTACACTTCTTTGAACATTTAAATTTATTACATTGTATATATTGATTCACTAATACCCATGAAATCCTTGAAAATTGGTATCCCATGAATGATAATGAGTCCACATTAATTTACAGTTCTTTCTGTATTTTTTACCATCAGTAATTTTTACCAAGAATGATTTTACCATCAGTGATTTTAGTCCAATTTTACCATGAGTTATTTTTCTACCAGAGATTCTACCATCAGTGATATAATCACTGCATTCCTATTTGATTGTTAAAGACATCTCTGAGACCTTCTCTCATCTTGACCTTCATGTTATGTTGGTCATCTCATTTTAAGTTATACATTTAGATGATTGTGGCAGAGTTTACTTAGTCCTTTTAATCTTGGGATTCTCATCATAAGGGAAGATCATTAAAAAATAAAATTATCAGGAAATCATAGACCTTTAGAAATTGAACTATAAAAGAAAAAAATTAAATAATTAGTGTAATATTTTTCTTTAAAGATAAATAAATATAAAAATAAAATCACCTGTGAAAGGAAACAAAAAAGAGCAGTTTTTGTGCATTTGTTACATTGGGTCATTTTAATATTGTTACATGTATATAAGTGATGTTTTATTTTACAGAAACGAGAATACCCAGATGGCACAGTTAAAACTGTTTACCCAGACGGCAGACAGGAAACCAGATATTCCAATGGTAGAATCCGTGTTAAGGACAGAGATGGGAATGTTATTGTTGACAGACGATGTTGATACTAAATGACAGAACATAAAATGTGCAGCATTACAAAATATAAAATGTGCAGCATTACAAAATATTGTATCATAGAAAAATACTCAGGCAGTGTTACTGTCTTGGCAAGTGTGACCCAAGGCCAATATTTATTTTCGATTTTTTCTTTAATCAAGAAGTTGTGTATTTATTGAAAAGCTTTAAATAAATAAGTAAATGAATGGACACATACAATCTTTATTTTATGAGAAAACAATATTTTATTCAGGAGAAATAAATCTTAAGTAAACCATTCTAATTAAGTTTACACCTTCTATCAAATAGCATCTGTTTAATCTTGCATGCTGATAGATAAACAGTAAAAGATGATGTAAAACGATATAAAATGAAAATCTGAATAGCCTTGTTCTTGATATCTTAATACTATAAATACAGATCTAAATTACCATAGATCTGTTCCTACAAAAAGAGACATGCATAAAAAAATTTATTTATTGAAATTTTTTATGTCATCTCGAAACATGAAATATTGCCATGCTTCATGATCTGCATATATTTTTTAAAACCCAGAGTCTTTCAAGCTTTGAAATATTGTAAATATGCAATTGGTACATGTGTATTTTCTCATTATACTGGCATTGCTGTAACTGTTGTAATTGGTACATGTGTATTTTCTCATTATACTGGCATTGCTGTAACTGTTGTATTTTGCACATGTACATTTTCTCATTTGCTGTAACTGTTGTAATTGGCACATGCACATTTTTTCACTTGCTGTAACTGTTGTCATTTTTTCAGGTACATAATTTTAAAGGAGGCAGCCATTTTACCTGTATATAAAAGCACATGCATATAAAACATCACAAGGTGCCTGTCAAGTTTAATTTGTTCCACTATTTTGGTGCTATTTCATCACAAATTATTTATTTTCATTTCTCATCTGAACGTTTAAAGATAATATTGTTTGTACAAGAAACATTTTTTTTTTTAATTTTTTGTGAAAAGTGTTTGTAAAAATGCTGATCAAAGGAGAAACAAGACTCATGATGTATTATATTCATGGATTCAAATGTAAAGGTAGACAATTTATGTGAATTATACATTGGATTAAGGTATTTATGGACACTGTGTCATTGTTATAATTCTATTTTCTCAGAGAGCCAGGTGTTGGTGGTTTTTGTGCGGTATGATGGACTATCCATAATTTGTGGTTGTTCCTGCTTTTTATGCCTTATTTTTAGCTTACCTGGCCCAAAGGGCCAAGTGAGCTTTTCTCATCACTTGGCATCCATCATCATCCATTGTCCATCGATGTCCGTTATCTTTTACAAAAATCTCCTCTGACTACTGGGCCAAATTTAACCAAGCTTGGCCACAATTATCATTGGGGTATCTTGTTTAAAAAATGTGTCCGATGACCCTGCCTGCCAACCCAAGATGGCCGACATGACAAAAAATATAACATAGGGGTAAAATACAAGTTTTGTCTATTATTTTGAAAACCATTATAAATAGAGAAAATCTGACAAATCAAAAATGTTCAGAATTTTGAGCTCTACCAATTGTCATCATTCTTTAAAACTGTCAGACAACTTCTTATAGGAGTTATTGCCCTTAAATGACATAATTTTACCATTTTTTTTTCATTTTTGCCTATTATCTTGAAAACTATAATAGATAGAGCGAAACTTTAAATTGCAAAAATGATCAGCAAGACAAGTTCTACAAATAAGTTTTGCATGATTTAAATCTTCAGCTAACTCCTTATTAGAGTTATTGCCCTTTGATGAGGATTTTTACCAATTTTTTGCGTTTTGCCTTATATGATAAAAATTATAATAGATAAATAGACACTTTAAATGACAAAAATTATCAGCAAGGCAAGATCTACTAACAAGTTAAATTTTGCTGATATAGTTAGTAGACTGTCACTCTTTATAGAAACGATTGCCCTTAAATGAGAATTTTTTTTTACTCTCTTTTGTTTTTTGAGCAAAAACTAAAGAAGATAGAGAGAAACTAAACAGACTAAATGATCAGCAGTAGACAGTACACTGTTGGAGAGTGTCTTTTGTTGAATATGCACATAGAAGACCAAGGTGAGCGACACCGGCTCTTTAGAACCTCTAGTTTCTACACTAATCTGTTGTCAAATACATGCATTTCTTGTCAAAACTTTAAAAAGGAATACATGTAAGCCATATTGATTGAAAATGAAACCCCAAAGCGTCTGTAATGTTAAGAATACATTTGTGTATTTGTAAGAAACTACTTGAAACAATTGCATTATGTATTTACCGGTAGTCAAAATAATATACATTTACACAGTAGCCTCAAATTGCTTGGGTGCTGTAAAAATTTTAAACAAGTAGACAGAGTTGTCTAAATTTTTTTTTGGCTAGATTTTCATGTTGAGAATAGTTTTCTGTAGTTTTGACTTTTTATACGCCTGTCAAAATTTCGTCTGTCCCTCTGTCTGTCCGGCGTAAACATGTCGCACCGTAACTTGAGAACGACTTATCCAAATTTCATGAAACTTAACATAGTTGTTTCTTATGATGGTCAAACGATCTGTATACTTTTTGGTGAAAATAAGATTAAAACTTTTTGAGTTACAGGACTTAGTAACTAAAACAGATGTGTGTTTTTTTTCACATGTCGCGCTGTATCTCAAAAAAAATTTATGATTATTGCTTAAAACTTTACACACTTCTTACTTATATTAATCTTAAGATCTGTTTACTTTTTGGTGATGATTCAAAATTTTGTTTTTGAGTTATTGAGTACTTTGTAAAAAAAGGGGGAGGGGTTTTTCACATGTCACGCCGTATCTCAAAAACGATTTATGATTATTGCTTAAAATTTTTAACACTTCTTAGTTATATTAATCTAAAGATCTGTATACTTTTTGGTTTTGATTCAAAATTTTATTTTAGAGATATTGATTTTTTTTTTTAAAAAGGGGGGTTTTCACATGTCACGCCATATCTCAAAAACGATTTATGATTATTGCTTAAAATTTTACACACTTCTTAGTTATATTAATCTAAAGATCTGTATACTTTTTGGTTTTGATTCAAAATTTTATTTTAGAGATAACGAGTTTTTTGTAAAAAAATGGGGGGTTTTCACATGTCGCGCCGTATGTCAGAAACTATTTATGATTATTGCATAAAAATTCACACACAAGATGACAGCTTATCATGCGCTCATGGCTTTAGGCTCAAGGTTTTATTCAATATCTGATGGTATCTAGAACATTAACATTTCCATATTAGCCTTTCTGTTAATGCTTTGCACCAAAAAATTGTGTGAATGAATGATGAATGCGAAAGGACCACCACCTCTGAATATATTTTCTTAAGTTATTTGTCATTTGTTGCATGAAAAGTTCAAGATTCCTTTTTCTGAAGTAAAAGTCATTTAATTTAGTTTGTAATATTCTTTTGTTTTAAATGCTTGTTTTTGAAGAATTTAAAAAACAAAATTCTTATTACGGTAATTTGCATCTGATAATTTTACTGGATAAAATAGTTGTAGCAAACTAGATTACACCAATTTCATGTACTAGGACTCTACTATGAATTACCACAGGTTGGCCTTGATATTTGCAAATTTTATGCCCTCGCTGCAAGGCGAAGGGGGCATTAAGTGTTACCCTTGACCGTCCATCTGTCATTCCATCTTTCCGTCCGTCCTTCCATCCGTCCCATTTTCGTTTGAAAAGCAAGCTTGAGTGGGGGCATTCATGTCCATAGACACATTCTTCTTTTATTTTTTGTGAAGTCACTTGTATTTGTGGTGGACATACTTAAAATTGATGAGTTGTCCTTATTTCATTATAAATTTAAATGTTGAGTGTCATATAAATTTAATTTAATTTAATTTTCCTAGAAACCTAATTCTTTTAATATGAGTCTCTACATAATAAAATTTATTTCTGATGTTAAAATAACATAATGTTATTCTATAATTTTAAAAGATGAATTCACAACAAAGCAACTTTATGGTAAATATAATACATCAGTACTTAAAGAAATGAAATGATAACATATTTTTGTTGTCTTTCTGCAGTCAGAAACCACATATTACTATCTTAAATAGATTTATACTACATAGATAATATGTATTACAAAAGTGAGATATTAAGAGTTCTCTTGTCTATTGTTAAAGACTTTTTGTTGACTGCTAGATATCTTTGGCTTCATTGTGTTGTTGCATTGCTGTCTCATTGATGAACACCAACATCTCTTTTTCATATTTATTGGCATGGTATCTTCTTTTAATTATTTTTTTGAACATGGCAATTATCATTTCACTGTAAAACACCTGATGCTTCTTTTAATTATATTTTTGAACTTGGCAATTATCATTTCACTGTAAAACATCTGAAGCTTCTTTTAATTATATTTTTGAATATGGTAATTATTATTTCACTGTAAAACATCAGGAACGATTGAATCCGTCCTCAGTGCTTAATGATGTTGATCTACACAATTTGTTGTTTGACAATGAAATATATAGTTTCAACATTTTGAATTAGGTGTTAAAATGTATGCAAGAATCTTGAATGTCTTTTTCATAATAAGTTATCTTAAACATGAGCAAAAAATTTAACTACATCTTTTATTTGTTTATATGGTAGTAAATATTTATCCATATAGATTCCAGAAAACTTTCTGTAATTACAATTTTTTCATTCTGAACAATGTTATTTTGTTGTTTTTTGTTGTTTTTGACTTCTACATAAATTTAGATGCACTTTTGTGAATAAAAAATAAACTAATTCCAAATTACCGTACTTTAAGAACAGTAGACCAAGAGAAGTTTTTCACATTGTTCCACCTGTTTTATTGTTTATCATATATTTATTGTAGATCTGGCAAATTTCAGTATTTAGTGTTTTAATGTATTTTGTTTGACATCATTAGTATTTTAAAGAGATGTAAAATTAGTATTAGATGTACAGAAAATGTAGTTTTTTTAGTGCTTAAGATCTGAGTAAATAGTTTTTAGTGCTGAATTCTTATATTTGTAATAAAAGATAGGTAAATCATATTTTTTTATTTGTTTTATTCATGTTTTAGATGCTATAAGGTCATATAAACCTTATGATTGTAGTACATTCATTTTCTTAGGTTACCAAGAATTTGTCCTCGTTAGAGAGGATGTTTCTTTCTGTATCACTTCAGCAGAAAACAATGGATGTGGAATATATAGATATTCATGACATAATATTATACAATTATGGCTTATTGAAATGGTAAATATCCAAAATTGTCAAATAAAGGACATTTGATCCAGTCAGATAGGAATAGTGACGGTTGTGTAGATGAAACGTGTGTCTGGTGTGCCAAATTATAAGCCTGGTATCTTTGGTGTGTTTTTACAACCAGTAGATCAATCCGACTGCTGGCGGAAGACTTGTCTCGCCTGCGATGAAAGTCATGGAAAGCGAGACATTTGTATTGCTTTTACAGAGGCTGCGACGACAGAGGAGGATGTGTCAATAATTGTTAAGTTTTCTGTTTTTAAAAGTCAGTTTGATAGGAACTACTTGTGGAAGATCAATGATACTTTCTATATAAAGTTGCATTACTATCAGTACATATCAGTTTGACGGCTATTTCGAGGCCCTACCCCCCTAGGTTTTTCTATCCCCAGGTAAAGATTGCCGTAGCCGTATTTGACATAACTTTTTGGAATTTTTGGTTATTAATGCTTTATATCTTCGGAATATTTGATGTGGCTTTGCGACTTTTTTTATTAGAGCATCACTAATGAGTCTTGTGAGTACCAAGTTATAAGCCTGATATCTTTGATGAGATTTTTGTTAACATAGTTTGACCAAAGACCAACGTTAAAACATGTTAACAGTTTCTTCATGAAAAATATTTCATAAATTAAATTCATATTATGCATTGAGAACGCATGGTTGGCTGTTTGCACAATTATATTCTAGTGCTATTGCAAAGAAATGAAAACAACACTTTATAAATTTCATGCCGGTCCGAAGCGCTTTTCTGGATTTACCATCATCAGGAACTCTCAAAGCTGAATATTTGAAAACCAAGGATATATTAGAACCAAAACAGATGAAGAGCTAAATGACCAAAAAGGACCTAAAAATAAGAGCCAAATCCATCTCAGGCCAACTTTGCCTGACTGAGTTGAAACCTTGGTGTAAGGTATTTTTATTACACTTTCTCAATATCTTTATAATTCTAAATTTATAAGCTTAAAAAAGTTTGTTAAAAATCATGTAAGTGCCGAAGTACTGATTACTGAGCTGATGATATCATCGGGGACTGATAGTCCATCGGCAGCAGTATCGACTCAGTGCTGTTAAAGATTAAAACAACGCCTTATAAATACTCCATCCGAAGCGCATTTGTGGATTTACCTTCATCAAGAACGCTCAAAGGCGAATATTTGAAAGCCAAGGATGCATAAGAACCGAAAGACGAGTTTATTTAAAACAATTAATACCAGCATAAATAGTACCATATCTCTGTAGCTTCTACTTATTGCAATTCTAAATGTCAAATTGGACTTCTGTTCGTGATAGCAATCATTTAAATGAGATATGAAATACGTTTTTCAATCTCTTACGGGAGTCATTAACATCAAATAAGAAGTATTCCCATTTCTGTTATAAAACTTGTTTGATAGTTTTCTAATGATATTCCAATGACATGGAAAAATGTCATCTTTTAATATAGGTATATATGCTTGTGCGAACTTTGCAGACAATGATTTAAAAAAGAACAATCATCATGATTTACTTAACATTTTTGATATTGAGTGCTATGCCTATGATCAAACCACAGGACATTTTTTCTGCTCCTGGAAGTATTTCCTTTCACGTGGACAATATTGGTGAAGTTTCAGTTGATGCAGATGATGTAACTGTACATCCTCTCGGAAACACTGGACTATCTTTTGTCCTTCATCATACAAATGATCTCTTTATCATAAACATCATTGACAGAAATTGTCCCGGTGTAGACATAGATTTGTCTAATATCTATGAAGTGCTAGAAATGGAGAAATGTAAGAGAAATGTTCATATCTCAAAATTATTCGATGATGTAAATGATACTCATAGCGTAACTTTTGTCGACGCCGGTATTATTCCATTATTTGAAGACATTGGTATAACATTTGTTGACAAACTGTGTATTGATGAATTTAAACTGTTTTTATCCATTGAAGGAAGTGTCCAAATAGGCAATGAAGAAATACACTACTTTTTAAAGAACTGGACAGATTGTATAAGATGGGTTACATTGGCAAACCAACATTTATTTCGTGTTAATGTGTATGAGGAAATAGGCCTATCAAAAATTGGCATAACGTCTCTTGGAGGATCAACAGTAATGTTTAGTTTTGAAGATGATACATGTGTAGACAATTTTGTCGACTTTGTTACTTTGTACGGATACATAGATATAG